AGGAGATATATGCGATGACCAACCAACGCGGGTGTCGACGAAGGAGTAAAGATGCGTTACGTGTATTGCCCAGAGAAGCTATTGTGCATCTGGAGTCATGGGGCGTGGATTCGTCTCGTTCGGACCACTAGTGAGGCTGGAAACCCCCTGGTAGGAAATGTCAGGAGTTCCCTACTAAATCTAGCTACCAACAGACTTTAGGCTTGTTCCCCTTTTCAGAGGCGGTGGGCTTGCCTCGATGGTGCTACCGACCTCGGCCCGACCCTTTTGAGGTCTATCTACTCCCTGTTGTTGACGAGTTTCCCGTAAAGTTTGAAAAAGTTAGGGCCCTGCTTAATACCAAAAACAGACAGAACGACCTTAGATGGTAACAATAGTTCGAATATCATCAGTCACCTGCAGCATGTTCACAGTGGTCCCAATACTACGCTGTGTGGTTGGTCGAGGACCATGTCCATGATCACAACGGCTGTGTGAATGCTAGCTCCCCGGCTTGGAGTGGATATATTTCCTTACCCTGATGACCTCAATGAAAGGGGTGGCAGCATTGAGACTCACACCCTTGATGTCGAATTTATTTCCCATCGGATGTGCGGGAACGACTTGGAGTCAAGTTTTTTCAGTCTTCATGAAACCTTGACTGACGAGGGAGCAGAGACATGTAGAGTGAACATATGTGTACTTAGAACAGTAATCGAATGGCTTTGCAACAATAATTAGTCCCAACAAGAAACTGCAGCTGGTTCTCGCATGCTGTATGAATCACACCTTCTCCTTCATATGCAAGTGATAGTAACCAATAGACCACTGTCCTTTCCATTATTCCTGGTTACCCCTATGTCCCTTCCACATCCGTGTTCCCACCCTTACAGAAGTGAAAAACGTGTGATTACCACAACTCCAAGGTTCCAATGTTCAGCGTCTCGTGTAGTACAGGAGACCTTCCCCCCTTAATACCGACCAACCCTAACTCATCATCACTTCGCCGTCATACAGGGCCAAGAGCATGCCACGCGTAGGAGTCACAGGTAGGATGCGTCTTATGCCACTGATCACCAACCTAGCCATCGTATATGGAGTAGTACACGTAGACCGGTGTAACGGAATATACATGTAACATTAAGTCTATGTATGGATACTAAATCGCATGCAAGATATTTCTGGTGAGATGAGTGATTAATAACAATATGGTATCTAGGGTTAGCGTCATTTGTAAGCCATGCTCCTTCATGATAGACAAATGGGATGCACAGGAGCAATCTAGGGGAGAGGCAGCAACCGGCGCATTTTATTCAAGCCCTAGAGTAGTCGTAATGTTCAGTTTCTTGCTAACTATTCTCTGTATCATGATGTTATTGAGTACCTAGGTAGCGTAGTCAGATCATATCATCCCTTACGGACACCATCGAAAAGACAATATCTTATGCCCCTTCTTTCTCCACATGAAGTCTACAAAGCATCATACCCATTCTCCTTAAACCATCTATTTTTATCTGTCTAGCTATAATATCGGCAAATCAAATACAATTCATTTATCATTCGGGGTTTTTCCTAGGGCCTACGGCTCCTTTGATATTTTGCCCCTGAAGCAACGTACTCACCCCATGTAGAATGTATTAGACGCGAAAAGCCTCAAACCACTCAACCTAAATGAGTCCCGTCCCTAGCGCCTGAAACACGGCGTAGAAGATGCTCCCTAGATTCACAGGGCATCTTTACAGCCATAACTTCACCAGGCCTCTCCTATCGATACTCCGTCTGAACTTAGACATATAACCCTCCCGATTTCTCCATCCGATAGTCAGCAAACCGAGTGCCGCATATACTTAGAGGCGCATTTCAGACAAGAGTAGGGGATTGAAGATGGAGAGAAGGATGTGGGTGGTGGTGTGGCTATGGGTTATGCTAAGATGCTTTCGTCGCGTTGAAGCTCACTTTAATCCAGCCTTAAGAATATACTGGAGAGCAGTCGACTCCTTGTCCTGTGGCTAAAATAGTACACAATGTATTATAGAATCACTGCCTCTGCCCTTGATGGGGTTTCCTACTGTCAAGCGTTAATTGCTAGGAGACCTGGATGTACAACCGTTTAAGAGAGATAGAGAATTCCATACAGAGCAATTTAGACGATAGAACCTTATGGCGAGGGACTTGGGATACGAATATCGTCTCTTAAAGGATCCAGGGCTATCAAGGTATCCTTAGAGAGGCAAATTGTTCGGACCCGAGGCTCCTGACTCCCAGTATGTCTACGGTCGTGATGACCCGATATCCTGTTTAGCCAAAAGATTCCATCGAGTGCGCTCTGGACCTTGTGGCAGTCTGCTATACGCAATACAGCGGCGTCCTCCCCTATGTATTTTATAGAGCGACACCCTCTTAGCTCTCCAAGTACCCAAGAAGGAAAGTACAGTCCTCGCGCTCGCGACAAACCCTGATACCGGACTATCTTTTCTCGGAAGCTTCGTCACGCTCTTCTCTCTTGACCATCATATTCGTAGGACTAAGAATAACTAAGTACATGATATCGCCTTCTGTATTAGCCTAAGCATTGCGAGATGAAATGCTGTTGTGCTACATCACCAGAAGACCTTTCCGAGGCCGAACCAACGTAGGATTCGTGTTTCTTGTTAATGGTCAAGGCTACCTTCGCCGCAACATGAACATGTACTCAACAAACACCGAGGATTGGATCTACTGCAGGATAGTTGCAGGATCCCGTATTCTCGATCCTCACTCACCTTCTGCAGCCCCAACTGTTACTTATGCCCACAAAGCTACCGAGTATTGAACAGCCAGTACCATAGCATCACACACCTTACGATGTGCCTCGCCGCGGGCATTTCCGTAGGAAGGTTACATATGGTCCCCATTAGGTACTTGCGCGGGCAATAGGATACCATTGTTCGCCGTTCAGCCCAGTTGTTCGACGTACTTACATTAACCGACATTACTAGATGAGGGACGCGTGGCAAATAGGTGCAATTTGATGAGGATATGATTATCTATTAGCCTCATTTGCTCCATCTATCTTATTTTTAAGCAACACTCACCCCAGACACATTCAGCGCAAGCGAATGGAGCCCCCACGGCGCCGATGTAGCCGAAAGAACTCAAGGAGGTACACTACCGCTACCTCTTCGCGCTTGAGGGCCTGCCCGAACTCGAGCACGATGATGCTTGAACTATGACGCATAATACGTTCTTCTCCGTCCAGCCTTGACAAATTTAGCACTGGGCTTCTTGGGGGCTGGACGCTGGTTCCCATTGATAATACCCACCTAGGTAGCCTCGCGTATTTAAAGATATCTCCAACATTCAACACAGGCTATAAATGCTTTATTATAGTATTTTAATGTATATATAATCTAATATGGTGCCATAGGGTTGAGATATAGGGGTGGCAAGTTCGCCAGACTGAAGCACGCAGGCATCTCACAATCTTGCCTTGATGGGAGCGACGTATCCCGTTCCCGTTCAAAGTTGTCCTACAACCCATATTAGCAGTTAGCCTTGCTAATTCCACTAAAGATGCCTCAAACTTGAGAACTAGATATGAGGAAATGTCCATACCCCCTTTTCTCCTTTTCCTCGCTATCATACGCATTTTATTAATACGACATCCCCTATCCCTTAGTGAACCTACCTTTTATGCATATATGCATATAAGTCGGAGTGCAGGTACGTGGCTTCCAAGTTCAAATTCCCGATTATTGCTCATCTTACTACGGAAGTGACTGCGTAGTTATGAAGCAGGAGCAGCTGTGTTCCGTGATTGCATGACGGCACTTCCGCTGAATAGCTTCCATTTTAGGAAAGACCGATATCTCCGGGGCGCCCCTGCGAGATCTTATAGGGCCTCTCCGAACATTCCCGTTAGCGGCTTGGCCCACCCAATCGTAAGCTGTCCAACCTCCGAATTCAGAGCCATTTCTCGCCGTGATGCCCCGGGTTATCGGGTGCCTTTGCTGTTGATTTAAAGTCAAGAGGAGCCGCATCTCTCTTCTCCACACCCCTTCTGTTTCATTATCATATGTTCTCGGTTGTCTTGAGCCTCAAAGCCTCAGAATGAGCCGCGGGCGACCGCGCCTTGGATCGAACATGTCCCGCTCACCCGCCCGTCTGCCACCATAGGCCACCTGAAACCGAGGATGCGATCGAACCTTTACTAATCACCTCCCAATCAGATTAAGTCGATGACTATACCTCGGATACAATATACCACAAGAGCAAAATCTCCCTTTCGTTCGCATTGGCTCGTGTGTTCTGACCTGCTCCTTCGATTGTTTTGCGCCCGGCTATTCGTTGCCAATTAGCACCCCACGTGTACCCCGTGCGTGCGTATACAGCCCTTTTGTGCAATGCGCTCATAACTCGGACATGTGCCGCCTATGTCCGCGGGCAAGCGGTCGGCGCGCCCAATCAGAAAAATATGGAAAATGAAAAGATAGGGTCTGGGCTTCCCCCCGGTCACCACCATTACCTATTATCACTCCGTCGAGCCGGGATTGGATTTCTTAGGATTCCTGGGGGCGCGGATGCTGACTGCTGAAACTACCCGCAGGTTGCGGCACAAAGAAAAATACAAACCCTTCTGGCAAGTCTTGGCGACTCACTACCAGAAACGCACCGATGCCCCGGTTGCTACCTACCAGAGAGATCGGAGCCTGGTACTTATCGGTGTACACCAAAATGTTTATAGTGTGCAATGGTTATAGGGGTGGTGTGGGGGGACAAAGCCCTTGGCTTCCTGGCTTCCCGCCCTCTCCTCCGTAGGGGCTGCCTGGCCATTGTCGACGGGTATAAAGGACGCATCCCATTCTCCCGAAAATCTATTCTTGCTCTCTTCATATTGTTCTTCATCCAACAAAGACCTACAATACTCAGACCAAACTAGAATTCTGTTGAGAACTTTGACAAAATTTGAGCGCGCCTCGAACTTTATCTTCGCGAACATAAACTACACCACAAGTTTAAACATCTATACATTATCAACAAAAATGTCTAGCGCCAGCCAGAACCTCGCCCAGCACGTCCGCAAGGAGCAGCCTTTGACTTTCTTGTCTCTAGCTCCCACAACCTCTGCCTCATACCCCACCGCCCAGAGCATCAAGCCCGCCATGCACCCCCGTCGCAGCTCCAGCCAGAGCAGCGTCGGCAGCCTGCGTTTCCTCAAGCTCGGTCCCGTCCACTATGGCGAGCACCCTGGTGAGCATAAGGAAGATTATCACGAGGTTGCCGTTGTTGAGTAAATCAATAAAACAACATCATTGGGCGGGTTCCTTTCAACACTTCTTTCAAACATGATTACCTATTCTTTTCAAGCGAGCAAGCACGCGCTCCAACTAGACAAAAGTTGAACAAAAAAAACGTAGCGCTTACGAACGACGAACTAAAACTTTACGACATGGCCAAAATTATTGTAACGATCTACTTCATAGCATGCACCTAAATTGGCGGGGAGGCCGGTCTCTTGCCTCTCGTTCTTTGTTTTTCCCCGTGGCGTTTTGAGGGTACCCTTTTGGGCGATACGATGGATAGGTACGGCTGGGATGGGTGGATGGGTTGGATTTAGGACATCTGAAATGCATACACATACATAAATTCGTACAACGTATGGGTACACACCTTGGTTCTTGGGTTTCTTGGCGGTTATCTGCGGGAGATTGACTCTTATCTCTACCCACCTTGATGATAGACATGGGATTCTTAGCTGGTTTAGCTTAAATGTATTGCATTTTTGGAATCTCAAGTGGAACGATTTGGATTTCACATGTGGTGGTAAAATCAACTAACATGACAGTAATAGCATGTGCTCTGCAGTCTCCCCTGTTATTTTGCGCGAATATGTAGCAGTAGTCTCAAGTGTAAGCGGGCCAGCCAGTAAGCCATGTGCGCTAGAGCATGTCCGAGGCGTCAATCACGTTGACGTGTTCTACGGAGCTTAGCTAGCTACAGCATAGCGGAGTAGGGGACCGCATACAACATCCGCAAGGAGTAAGGGTCAATGAGAATTAAAGGTAATCCCCTGGTTACATTTTCCACCATCACATACAACTTAACTTTCGTTTTAGAAGCGATCGTAATTCGTGATTAGTTTAATTATGAAGCTCAAGCTTGCCCCCCCATCTTATATCCCTTGCTTTTCGAAACCACACCAAGCTTCTAGATGACCAAGCAACAATAAGAAATGGGTGGCTAGATTGACTTAGGGATCTTCCACATTATGTACCAAGGTATTCAGCTGCAGACACCCACAGCCGATGATGACCGCATCGTAACCCCCTACGCAGCCTCTAGCAACTAATCAGGTACAAGACAATTTACAAACACGACAGGCCTAGCAAAACATACCAAGACGGACTTTAGCGAAGACAATCTTTGAGTGTTTCCTTGGCAGGGAAACAGACAGAGACCATTAATGTCATAGGTATTATTATTAGCACTATAACGGGCACGGAGTTTAACAAATCTACCAATCAGACACTGGGGCGAGATGGACCCTTATCCGCTTGCACGGGATGAATGCCCCTCCGCTGATCAGATAGAGAGCTCTAGGGTTTCGATAGCTTACGCCCACTATAAAATACCCATAGCTTAGCGTTTTAGAGGCGCATCTTACGCAGCACATCCTAGCTAATAAAGGCCGGGTAGCTAGATGAGGCAGATAGCTTACCAAGCCAAGGCCCAGATGCCCAGAAATCAAACAAGCATTTCTTTTCTCTGACCTCAAAAGTTTGAAACCAAATCTAGGCATTGTGCATATAGTACGAAAATCGATGCTGCTGCCAAGTAAATGGTGACGCTTGGCGGTAGTATTTTGTTTTGTTTTATTATCTGCGGCGCTTTTTTTATTTTATCTTCTTTTCTTTCCCTGTCCATAGCTTAGGAAACGTGCCGATGTTTCAACGCATAGATAGTAGTATTACTATGTACCTACTATAATAGTAGACGCGGTGTATAGTAAGTTGAGTGCAGTATCTCCGATCGACATAACACATAGGCCTGCGAGGTATAATATCCCACCGACTTTTACAGGTAGCCTCTTTTTCTCAGGCGAGGTGGATAATGAGTATATTACCCGCACGCATATACATACCTCGTACATATAACTATACATCTATAGAACTATACTATAATTATGTAGGCTGCACAATTAATGCCGGCGGCGTTGCAACGCAAGGTTTTAGTACGGACGAGCAGCTCCTGACGTCTCGCTTCCCTACCTTATCCACGGTCTTGGGATGCCATCCATCTTCTAATTTCTATTCCTCCCATCACCCTCTTCCCCCCTACCCCACGCGCCTTACCACTACCGGCTTACACCTCTCCCTACTTAGCCTACCAAGCTTTCGGTCGTGATGACGCCCGCACGGGCGCAATAAGTCGCAGGAGCGAAGAGAAATGTGACAAGAAAAGCGACACCAAAGGACGTCCGACCCAATTGGGGCGTTCCCCTTTCAATCTTCTTCTACCACCTTCTTTTCATTTCCTCATTTTCCGTTTACGAGGTACCCAATGGAACTACGGTGTCTTTATCTAGTATTATATTCGGTTGACTGCCGAACTAGTGCACGTGGACCATTTTTCATGTACGCGATGGAAGAGCGGAAAGGGAGGGAGGGGAGATCGAGTGAGTGGTGCGATGCGAGGGACTGATTGCGTCGAGGCTGGCTTCCCTCGGTTGTACGACATCTTACGATAGATTAAGAGGCGCATACGCAATTTGGAGTACGATGGGAGGTAAGGAAAGGTAAGCCTATGAAAATGTAATATTCTGTTAGATGAGCTTCATACTATAGTCTATCTTGGCCCATGTAATTGTTGAGATATCGCTTTATTTTTTTCTAAGCTTGTCTCGCTTTCCGTAATATGAAAGCTACGCTAAATCAGCGCGATCGTCTTTGGTATACACGTGTACGTAGCTCGTGAGCAGGGTTCGCAATGAAGATCTATCTTGCCTACTGCAAGCCTGCGGGATTTTATATGAAAAAGGATGTAAGATGCAGAGGATTTAGCGAATAAGAAACGTCATAATTCCGACGCGACCATTCTCACCTCAGAGATATACATATGATAGCTTAAGCATGTTGGGGATTCTATTGCACACTAGGGCTACGATCCCGTCGCACGGGCATGGTAATGAAAAGAAGCAACCTTGAAAGGGATGAGCATTTCCTAGAGTCACATACCATTCATTATATCAGAAAGCGCTATCTCGTAAATTGGTGGCTGCGTTCGGAAATGGGATTTGTAGGATGTATGGGATCCCAAGATTATGGTAACGCAAAGGACCATGACGTCGTGCTTATTAATAAATATTCGGTATCGACAGGCATTCCCCGGACTCCAAATCTAATAAAAGTGCCTACTACGATAAGAACCTTGATGTTTACTTTTGGTAGCCAATTTGAGCAAATGCCGAGGTATCTGATAATCGTAAATTATTGTGATAGCACCACGCTTCGGATCGACGCTTATTTGAAATTCTGAGTGAGGCAAACGTCATATGTGATATGAGTACCAAGGTAGATACGCAATGTATATTTCTCGGATATACATCAGGTAACTAAGACCCTTTCTTGGCACATATGAAAGCCTTCCCGTAGGACCATAGGATTATGATAACGAGATATTGCGTATTACTGTTCGGATGCGCCTCGGTGCCAAGGCTATTACGCGTGTCGCAGAGCACCGCGAATTCAGGCAAGCGTGAACAAGTACCTGATGTCTTTAAGGAGGGATGTATCTATGATGTTGATAGGAGGATTGTAACGATATGAAAAGGCTGGCGGCATAAGCCTTTACTCGGCAGAGCGAAATCCGCGATACACCGCTTGATAGACGACGCGCCAAGCTTATTCCAAGCATACCAAGATTGCGCAAGGCGAACCTCTATAAGTCATACTTGTTATTGTGCTTCCTGCCTGCGCAATCTCGTCCCTGGGGTTTGTCTTCCAATCTGCAGCCGGCAACTTGATCGACGGATCAAAAATGCTATTGGTTTCGTTCATTGTTGAAAACCAGTTCCGTCCTATCGTGTTCTGCTGGATACATCACATAGCTCGGTCCATTGCTAATAGATTTAGCCAAGCTTCTAGGCTCAGATTATGGTAAGACAGGGCACGGTGGCGTGTTGGGGGTAAGCTGTAAAGTCTCACGAATGGTAGCCGACGGGTGATCGACAGGGCCTGCTTTAGCTTCTAGCTAAGGGAATGCCGAAACTAGATGGTGATTGGGCAAGCCTGGCTACATAAATTATACGGACCTGAGCCCTCTTGGCAGCGTATCTTGATATTCCCTTCCATCGCCCCCGGCTAAGAGGCCTTGGTAAAGGTCGCGTATTGCGGAAAGTCCGATGAGACGTAACACCTTGGTAGATAAGGCATCATTGGGTTATCGACGGAGTTTGTCGTGTCTTGGCTTTGAGAATCGAAATTTGATCAAGCGTTGTGACTTTAGCCATGGCTGTCACATTTTCGATACGCTGAAGCATCGAAATTGCTAGAATTACCTAGTCATGCTTGGCGTGAATATGCCCCATGACTTAAGATGTCCAATAAATGAACCTTCCATTTGAATCTGGGGCCAATTGGCTGGTCGTTCGCCCATTAGACCTGGCAGTACCGATGGACTTCGGAAGATCACGCGGGAAGATTTCCAAGTCGTCTAGACCGAATAGCAAGAAGACATGCATCTCGCCAAGACCCTGATCGATCGCATTCATTCGTTTAAGGTCTTAATACTTTCGTTCGCCGATTGTGACTATCTGCTGTCCTCCACCAAAGGCCTTGACCATAGCCTTCCAATCTAATTCGATCCAACCAGGCCCATCACGCAAAATAGCTATTCCTTGGTCGTCTACCGACTCGGTGTCTTTCTTTGACGAGGTAGTTGCTTTCCGGTGAAATGGACATAAAACTCTTAGATGAACCTTCCAAGCCAGCAGTTCAACGGTTTCCAAGTATGGATCGGCCAATAGTCTTAAAAGCGCCTGGAACGGAGGTCGTAGTACCATATCTGAGTCGGCCGGCCGGATAGGAGCACGCCAACTCGGCGGTCCTAGGCGTAGTCTTAGATCACGCAGACTACCGCTGAGGATCATATCGGAGATTGCAGGTCCTAGAACTCTCTCAAACTCGCCTCCCACTCTCGTGAGATGAAGCGTTAAGCTGCGCACGCGCCTACGGGCATCTTGTCCCTCTTCGCTAAGGAATCCGCCCCGGCTGGTGAGATGTACAGGCAAGCGATGGCTCTGGCCGTTCAAAGTAAAGCGGTTCTTAGAGTAGAATATGGCGGACGCTTCTTGGTACATCTGCATATTTACGAGGAAGAAGTTTAGGAAGTGTATGGTATTTAAGAGCGGCGGGATGAAGTTAGTCGTGTTATGGAGTATGATATCGTTGTCCGAGACAAGTAGCTGTGAGAGGATGGCCTCTCTCAACTCGGCCGGGAGATCGAAAAAGCGGAAGATACCGCTTGTCGCTATTGCCATGATATATGAAACTGACCCAGCCCCTCGTTATAAGTGGTGATATTCCTAGGTAGAGAGAGGAAGCGAGATGTGCTAAATGACCCTGATGAATTGATGGAGTAGGTTTCTAAGTTGGTTCTAAGTGCTCTCTGGTAGTTTAACTACCTGTATAGATACCTATGGCTCAAATATTCGTTAATTAGTTGAGGTTTTGTGAGAAATGCTTGTTGGTTGGCGATGATTTGAGTCATGTAGTCTTCGTCATTTAGCGGTGTAGAGGAGTAAGAGAGGTGAAGATGACACCAACACACGTTAGAAAACTATTTTAAAATTAATTATAGTATAATATTTAATGAGAAGGCATCCCCTAGATGCAGCTTCTAAAGTATCTAAAGTTTAGATATATGGTTAGCACCCGCATGTTGCGCATGTTGTGACTTCTTTCGATGAGATCGTCAATGAACATTTGGAGTGACTACCATGAAAAGCAAAGGTACCTGGGAGATTACAAGTATCTTACCTAAGCCTGTTCTTATGAGATAAAAAGAGAGATTATCTAATTATTATGAAATTAACAGCACGTAAACTCAACTCGTATAGATGCATATCTTGCTTAATGAGCTATCTCCTTATCAAGAGCCTGGCTTATGCAGGTACCCACCTAGGTACCTAACTGCACGTTACGAGCTGTAGCCTTAGCGCGCTTTCACCTTTGATAGCTTGCGAATTGACAATTCAATTCAATTTCCCATTCCTTCTCAATTCACGTCTTTTTCGCATTGCGCCAAACAACATTGCGTTTGAAATGAGAAGACGCAATCCAAAATGCAGTGCTATGCCGAGTTGACGCCTCCGACGGCTGTCACACATTCCTTGGTGCTATCCTTCATCTCGGCGCAAAGCAACAATCTCGTTGTCGCAAGAGCATCTATCCTTCAGATCTTCACCACTAAATTGGTATCTGCAGAGCTTGACAAAGCCCAGAATGCTCAATTGCAATCCTCTAGGTCCGCCGATCATTACGACTCTCGAGTAAATGATGACGATGGCCTCGAAGCTTCTTTCCTCGGCGGCGAATCCCTGCTCGTTCGGTCGGATCGATCCAACTTCACGAAATTGGTACTTGTTGCTGAATTCCCACTGGCTGGGACTATAACAGGACTTGCGCGCATAGAGTCGAAGACGACCGCATCCGGCGGGAATGCCTTGTTGGTAGCATTCAGAGACGCGAAGCTTAGTATGGTCGAATGGGATCCCGAGAAGAATTCGTTGAATACCACCTCCATACACTACTATGAACAAGAGGACCTTCAAGGGAGTCCGTGGGCTGCTCCTCTAAGCCAATATGCCAATTTCCTAGCAGCAGACCCGGGCAGCCGATGTGCAGCCCTGAAATTTGGGGCGCGGAGCCTTGCTATTATCCAATTCAAGGGTGCAGAAGAAGATATAGACATGGACGATTGGGATGAAGAGTTGGATGGGCCAAGACCAGCGAAAGAATTATCCACTGCGCTCGCAAATGGAATTAGCAGCAGTCAAGAGACACCATATTCAACCTCATTTGTTCTTCGACTGCCTAACCTTGACCCTGCTCTAATCCACCCCGTACATCTTGCCTTTCTCCACGAGTATAGGGAACCGACGTTTGGCATTTTATCTTCGACTACATCACCCTCTTTAGTCCTCGGTCGAAAAGACCAATTAACGTATATGGTATTTACTTTGGATCTTAATCAGAAGGCCTCTACAACCATTCTATCAGTGACAGGTCTTCCCCAAGATTTGTTCCGCGTCATCGCGCTGCCTGCGCCGGTCGGCGGTGCTCTCCTAGTCGGTACAAACGAACTTATCCACATCGACCAGTCTGGAAAATCGCATGGCGTAGGCATAAATCAATTTGCAAGGCAATCGACATCTTTCAGCTTAGCTGATCAATCCGACCTTGCACTAAGGCTGGAAGGTTGTGAAATCGAGGTTTTATCCGCGGAAAATGGTGAATTTTTAATGGTTCTTCGAGACGGTCGCCTTGCCATGATTACATTCAGAGTTGATGGTAGAATCGTATCTGGATTAAGCGTTCGATTAGTTTTACCAGAGGCCGGCGGGACTATCATACCGACTGGCGTTACAACCTTAAGTAAAGTGAATAAAACTTGTGTATTCGCTGGTAGCGAAGGTTCCGATTCATTGATGATCGGTTGGACACGCAAACAAAGTCAATCTGGGAGGAGAAAACCACGTCTGCAAGACTCCTCATTAGAGCTTGATATAGATGATGAGGATATGGAAGATCTGGACGATGACGATGATCTATACGACGAAGATGATACAACGGCTAAGCAGCCCACGAATATGTCGAAGTCGGGAGAGCTCATCTTTCGTATACATGATCGCCTTCTAAGCATCGCACCCATAAGGGATTTTGCCCTTGGGCAAGCGACATCACCTATAAAAGAAGATGACACGAATCAGGCCGGTGTTACGAGCGAGTTAAGCCTCGTGTGTGCATGCGGTCAAGGAGAAGCCGGATCTCTCGCTATAATTAACCGAGAAATACAACCGAAAGTTATTGGGCGCTTCGAATTCCCAGAAGCACGGGGCTTCTGGACTATGGACGCGCAGAAACCGATACCGAAAGCGCTACAGGGTGAGAAGGGAGTTACAGCCATAGCCGCGGACTATGATACGTCCGCGCAACATGACCGTTTTATGATTGTTCCCAAGATCGACTTGGATGGATACGAAACCTCGGACGTATATGCTTTAACAGGCGCAGGATTTGAGGCCTTAACTGGAACAGAATTTGAACCCGCTGCTGGATTTACCATTGAAGCTGGTACTATGGGCAACCATATGAGAATCATTCAAGTTCTCAAAACCGCTGTCCACTGCTACGATGGAGGTAAGATCGTCTCCTATAATTATTAGATATCTACTAATACACCAGACCAGACTTTGGACTTACTCAGATCCTACCAATGCTCGACGAAGAGACAGGTGCAGAACCAAGGGTAAATTTCGCAAGCATTGTTGATCCCTTCATTCTACTAGTACGGGATGACGCAAGTGTCTTCATTGCTAAAATATTCAAAAACTTGGAACTCGAGGAACTTGAAAAGGAAGACTCGGCACTCACATCCACGAAATGGGCCACTGGCTGTTTATACGAAGATAGAACTGGCTTGTTCTCTCAAAGTCCCAGTGATAAAGGCTTCAAGGAAGGTGAAAATATAGTAATGTTTTTGCTCAGCAAGGCTGGAGCACTACATGTAAGTGGGTTCCTGAAATCTTAGTATCGCTACTAATAATTCTAGGTATACTCCCTACCCAATCTCTCGAGTCCTGTTTATGTTGCAGAAGGCTTGCCATTCGTGCCTCCAGTACTTTCAGCCAATTTTGCAGCAAGGCGGGGAACTGCTAAAGATATCATAAAGGAAATATTAGTAGCCGATCTTGGTGATCTGACATCGACGTACCCCTATTTAATTGTAAGCAAGTCTGGCTCTGTTAACAACGGCATCGCAACTAATCAGCTATAGGCTCGACATGATAACGATGACATAACGATATACCAACCCTTCCGTATCCCTTCAACGGAGTCACAAGAGCTTTCTACGACTCTTCACTTCCAGAAACTTCCTAATCCCGTTCTAGCCGACGATCCAATAATACCTTTAGATGATGAAGATGAAATACAACAACAGACACCACCTATGCGCCGATGTGACAACATTGGCGGATATAAGACAGTATTCTTGCCAGGAAGTTCCCCAAGCTTCGTCCTCAAATCGTCAAAGACTCTGCCAAAGGTCCTAAGATTACAAGGTGATGGGGTTAGGGGCATGAGCCCATTTCACACTGAAGGCTGTGAGCGTGGCTTTATATATGCAGATTCCAAAGGTATCGCACGTGTTTCCCAGATACCGACCCGCAACAGCAGTTATGCCGAAATAGGCATGTCCCTCAGGAAAATCCCTCTAAACACCGACATACACTCTATTACCCATCATCCACCCTCTGGTACGTTCGTCGTGGGTTGCGATACACTAGAACCGTTCGAATTGCCGAAAGAAGACGACTATCATAAAGAATGGCAGCAAGAAAAAGATCTTGCCTTTAAGCCCTCAGTTCGGCGCGGCCAGATCAAATTAATAAACCCTAGTAATTGGACGATCATTGACACTATCGAGATGGAACCCTGCGAGATGGTAATGTGTGTAGAGACTGTCAACCTTGAAGTCTCGGAGTCGACGAATGAACGAAAGCATCTTATCACTGTCGGCACAGCAGTATCTCGTGGCGAAGATCTCCCCATTAGAGGCAGAGTCCTCGTGTACGATATCGTGACCGTCATTCCCGAACCGGGAAAACCAGAGACAAACAAGAAGCTCAAGCTGATCGCAAACGAAGATATTCCTAGGGGTGCAGTTACGGCTCTTTCTGAGATTGGCACACAAGGTCTAATGTTGGTGGCTCAAGGGCAGAAGTGCATGGTTCGTGGGTTGAAGGAGGATGGGACTCTATTACCCGTTGCATTTATGGATATGAGTTGCTACGTGACAGCGGTTCGCGAACTCAAGGGCACTGGTCTTTGCCTTATGGCTGATGCCGTCAAGGGTGTCTGGTTCACAGGCTACACAGAAGAACCCTACAGGATGGTGCTCTTTGGAAAGAGTTCTACCAAATTGGAGATACTCACGGTAGAGTTTCTCCCAGATGGGAATGAGCTGTTGATCGTGGCCTGTGATTCAGATGGTGGAATCCATATTCTACAATTTAATCCCGATCGTAAGTTTTCCTTCGTCCTAATTATTCCAGCTTAACACATGCTAACGACGCAATAGATCCAAAATCCCTACAAGGCCATCTTCTTCTCCACCGAACCACATTTTCAGCTGGTGCGCATCCTCCCACGCGTAGCATGCTACTTCCTCGTACCTTACCCGCCGACTCCGACTACCTAGCTCAATCTGCTACAAACAACGCTACTCCAGCCAACGGAGCATCAACCGATGGCAACACTACTAGAGAATCATCTCCCTCTCCACAAGCTCCTCCTTCTATTATCCTCTTTTCTTCTCCTACAGGTGCTCTTGCCACACTCGCACCGCTCTCCGAGCCCCAGTACCGCCGGCTGTCGTTCCTGACGGGTCAAGTGCTCTCATCGCTGCCGCACCACAGTGGGCTCAACCCCAAGGAGTATCGCGCCCCAGCCGCTGTCCAAGCAGGTGTCGTGGGTCGTCTTCCTCCAGGGGTTGACGCCGGTGCGGGACGTGCGGTTGTGGATGGAGCACTGCTGGCGAGGTGGAATGAGCTTGGTGCTGGTCGACGTGCGGAGATTGCCGGCAGAGTTGGATTTGCGGCAGGCGCCGAGGAGGTTAGGGATACGTTGAGAGAAGTTCTAGGAGCGGCTGGATTAGGGTATTTGTGATGAGTTGAGGAGCGAGGGGCGTTTTTGAGTAAGATAGGAAGAAAAGAGAGGTGGTCATGAAAGTAGAATGCGGATTCGCGAAATTATATCGATTCGTGAAGATTTGTATTCTGGAAGTCTCGACCGCAAAAGTCCGACACTTAAAAGATCTGCTTTCGCCGAAAAGATCAAGAGACAGCAGCAGACACTATTTAGTGTACAAATAATACCTGACAATCACAGAATTTGAATTGGCTTAAACATGAAGTATTTCTTTTGGCCATCGGGTTATAGGAACCCGAGGCGATTGTGTAGCAATTAAATCGTGGGAACTAGTAGTATCTGGTATCCCTCATTCTGTGAACTGATCGTGACCTTTGCCATCTTCCTTTCCTTTATTTCCTCCTATCTTTCCGAAACCTGGCCGAACATGCCATACCAGATTAAAAATGCATTACTTCCATCGCCGTGCTTTTCATTACGTTGCCCTCCTGCGATACCGTGCCATGCCATGCGGCGTCATGTCTAAGAAAACGTGACCATTCGGAATCATTCCGATTTGAATACAAAGGAAAATGTGGGGGAGTTTTGGTGTATTAGAGCGTGAAATTCGTCTGTTCCTTCGTTCTCGCATTCTTTCAATTAGCTGATGCATTGAGTTGAATGTGCGAAATAATTAGAGCCTTTCGCATAAAGCTCCTTCGAAAACTCTGCGAAACCCGACCGGAGGCAATTAGCCGTGCATCTAGTCGTAAGTCAGCGAAGTAGAAAACGCCGAAAGAAACAAAAAGCACAGCCATGCATGCATGCCATGCAATTCCGTGCTAGTGGGGGTGCAAGTAGAAGTCATAGCGCGACGACAAGTGCACAATAAGCAAACGAGATTACCCAAGTACATCGGATCGAATTACTTAAGGCTCATCGTGCTTTCGGCGAAGACTACCAATGCGGCGCTTGATACCATCGCTCAATCGCTTGCCCTTAGGAGAAGAAGTTCCGGCGGATCCGAGACTGGTGCTGCGTTGTCGCACAACGACGTCATCGTCCTTATCGTTGCGTCCGCTAGTGCGTGCGGTGGGCTGCATCTCATAGACGCCCGAGGGGTGGAGGGTCTGGTTCTGCATGCGCTTTTGCTTCTTCTGGTCCTCTTCGATGGTGTAAGAGGGCTCTCCCTTGCCCTTGAGATCGTTGGGGTGGTACTTCTGGAAATTTGTTAGTCTGAGTTATTAAACGTTTGGGGAAATGGCAATTGGATTGGATGACTTACGACATTGTCCCATCGCTTGTAAGCACCGCCGGGCGCATCGGCCTCACGCATTAAATCGGCGCCTTCCTCGTAGTTCATGACGCGACCACCGTAATCTCGTGCGCCGGGAGGAATGGTAGCGGTTCCCTGAAGAGGGACGTGGCGTTCTAGAGAGTCGACGACGTTCTCTCGCGGGGTGGCTTTAAGAGCCTCTTGGTTACCGTACTTAACAGCTTCTACGGGAGCATATCGCTTGTCGCGATTGCGTGAAGCCAGTGTTGCGTCGTAGGGACCATCGTGATGATAAGCTCCGCCGAATCCGGTTTCGTCAAGAACATCAATAGTGTCCATGCCAGTTTGGTTCTTCTTACGAAGGTGAGGGGCTCGGTCGGCTTTCTTGCTCGCACGCTTGACTGCGTCTAAAGGTCTCTCAGACATGTTGCCGATTAGATCGCGAGTGTCAGAGTAAACTTTCTTGATAGTCTTGCCAGCTTTCTCGAGAGAAAAGCGACGCTTTATGGAGTCCGGAGTTTGAGGGGAGCTGTTGTCCTTGTTGGGCTTTTGAGCTGACGGTTTTTTGGTCTTCTTGGAGGGTTTAGGGGTCTTGGGAGTAGCTGGGAGTTGCGGAGGGAAGTATAAATTGAAAGCTTCCTCCTCATGGAGTGCAAGAAGAATGTACTATTGAAATTTCGAAGATTAGTTAAGCCCTGCCAACTCAATACCTGCAACACACGCGTTCAGAGGCATGGCTATGACGTAACCACCGATGCGGCACCGAGCCGAACCGGTACTTCCAAAGCTTATTCCCATCCTTGCAGGTCCTCGTATCCTTGTCGACCCACTCCCCGACGCCTAAGTCGCACATGACGTCATGCAGCAGGGGAGCTTTAAGTGGCGCCGGGAACGGACAGGGACAAGGGAAATGACGATCAAGATCAACAGGAACAGGTTAATGACCCCCACGTCGTCATTAGGGGTCTTGTATAAAATACTAAGATACATTCATCATGTATCAAGGAAATTATACAAATAAGAAGCCAAGAAGGACTAAAAAGCATGAACTGGGTGCTCCGGTGTTATATGTCATGTCAAGGTTTACCCTTTTCACGTCATAAACCGTCGAAGTAGAAGATGGCAGCGGCTCATTGCGTGATACAAAGCATGGAGTTAAGATTAGAAAAAAAGAACTTACCGAAGACATCTTGTCGGTAATGATTTTTCAGCTTGAAAAATGAAAAGAGTGGACGCCGAAAACCCTGTAGGTTCACTTGCGGCGAAAGTTGTGGGCAAAGCCAGAGAAGAAGGAAAAGTCGGCGATCAATATGTAAAGGAAGGGGAGGGATCACCAATAACGAAGAAAAAATCGGCGATAGGAGAGGGCAATGAATGCTCAATGATGAAGAAAAGGCAATCGCCGAGGTAAAGGATTATGTCCAACGGAGAGATGTCGTCGGCAAAGGAAAGAAGCTCTCAGTGATGAAAAAATGGTCGGCGCCGAGGGAAGGAAGGTACTCTGACTGATGAAGGAAATTTCAACGGCGGGGGAAGAAAAAAGCTCCCCAGTGAAGGAAAGTTCGGCGACTAGAGAAGGAAAGAGATCCTCAACGATAGAAAGAAGGTTGGCGCCGGGGAATGGAAAGAAAGCAAATAAGTTCTCAGTATTGGGGGAAAGGTCGCCGTGCAAGGTAGGGAAAGGGTTTAGTGGTGAAGAACGGACCGCCGTCAAGAATGGCAAGGAAGGACCGCATCGACAAGTGAGATATGTAAGAGAACGCACTTAAGGTAGGAACGCCGAGGGGGGGAAATACATGGTGAATTACACCTACCTAGGACAATCAAGTGATTCATTGGTTGTGTGTGGTCCAGGGCTTACAAGAGCCCTGAGCAGAAAAGCCCAGCCTGAGACGTGTTGACGGCTGTCAAACCAACCGAACGGTGAACTTTAAATCCTTAAGGGGTATGGTCTTATTCACTCTCGTTGCTTCCAGGGGTCTTCTCTGTACGGTTATCCTTGGGCAAGCTGGAAATTCATCTCAACCGTTCAGTAATGGATATAACGAATCGGAGAGCGATGGTATACATCTTGGTGGGTGATACAAATTTCGAGTCTCAGGGATACGCATGTTTAAGTCCTACAACAACATGCCTAATTGACCTAACGGATGGATTAGAGTGACTATAGAAGGACTTGAAATTTGCACATCTCGAAATGATAGTATAAAAGTAATTATCTAAGAGTTCTTCGTTACACGATTAGTTACACACACTGTTACGCGACTTCTCTTTGTTTGACCGACAGTAGCAAATAACCAATGGTATTCTGGTAATATCTACGGACTAGTATACGGTTTCTATAATATCGCCGGAAATAAAGATATGGAAGATGGCACTACATACATTTTTATACCCATAGAAATCTAACACTCACCCTCTCTATACTTCCCCATTTAGTCGCTGTGCATTAATGTAAACCGGATACATATTTCCTATTTCCTCATACCTAGACATTTACCCTGAAATGACATATGGAATGTCTACTAACTTAGGACTCGCATCTACAATAATAGGAAGTAATACTTACGCATACCTTATTTCTAAGCTACATACAAAAGCATTTGCAATTCTAGATGGCCTTTCTACTATGTTATACGGCAAGTAGGGGTATGAACAGAAGTACCTAATGAAATCAAACAATTTTAAAAACAATCACGACTGCTTCCATCACTTAGGTTTCTGTGTAATAATGAGTAAAGCTATTAGTAATCTACCTCAAAGTAGAGATGTGATATTACATAAACCTATTCAGCCCTATGCGTCACAGCGGTGCCACTAATGCGGGCCGGGTAGGTAACAATAGACTTAAAATAGGAACTAATGCCACACCATTAAGGCACCTTAAACATGAACCTGCATAAACTCACCGTCTATTAACAGGGTGCCATTAAGTTCAACTTATGCGACGTTTAACTTACTGTGAGCTTCATTCAACTTCACAGTTCGGAAGAGGTAGAGACTACCGCGATGTCGCAGTTTGCTACCTAGGTAGTAGATGGCGCTAGTAGATTACTCCTCAGACTCCGAGTCTGAGGCCGGGGAGGCGCCACCTGCGACAACTGCGAAGAGACAGAAGACAAGTCATGACGAAGTATCTAGCGAATCATCAGCTCTACCTCCATTACCAGCTTCTTTCCATGACCTATACGCATCTACTGTACGTGTGAGTACAACCGACGACCCGACGCTGCATCAAGGTCGCAAGAGAGTAAATCCTCATAAAGTCGGCAACTGGCCGAGCCATGTATATATCGAGTGTAAGTATCCCCATTATCTAACGGTGGCGCATTTACGGGCTTATAACTAACATATACAGGGCATCCTACCCCCACTCAACGCACCACTCTGACCTCTCTGCTCTCATTACTGCAGCAAAACTTAGCTTCTCTCTTAGTGGACGTGACATCCCTTTTAACATCAGATCTTGGAGCGCCGCAACCTTTGCATGTCAGTCTATCGCGGCCTTTAGCCCTAACCACTGCACAGAAAGACGTCTTCCTTGAGCGCCTAGAAACCGAGATAGCACGCTGCGGTGGTGCTCTAGGCGGTGGAAGTTTTGACCTCGTACCACGAGGACTAGAATGGCATCGCACGAGGGAATCCGAGCGCTCATTTCTAGTGCTGAGAGTAGGGAGCGCACGAGTTGTTTCTCCTTATGGGTGCCCTGAAGGTGGGGCAAATAGTGCTACCGGCAGTGGTAGCAGGCGCTGCAGTCGCGGAGAAGGAGATGCTACAGCGGCTTCTCCCGCTGTAAAACAGGGCCAGAACCCCGAACTCGCGCAGTTGCTCCAGCGGTGTAATACGCTAGCTCAAGAATTTGGACAACCGCCACTTTACGCATTTAATAGCAACAGTGGTATGAATAATGCTAACAAGGGAAATGACGGTAGCGAAGACGCTTTCCACATCTCCATCGCATGGTCCCATGCTGCGCCTTCTCCCGAGATGAGGCAGCGTACAGAGCAGGTTTATACCAGCCATTCTACTTTAGCTACGTTACCTGTGAGTTGGAAAGAGGAGGCCCAAGCGATACGGGTGCCTGTTAGCGGCATTAAAGTCAAGATAGGTAACGTGGTGACGCATGTGGCGTTACCTGTTCGTGGGAAGAGGGGGGCCAGTGACTGGGATGCGGGCACCAGTGTAATGTGATACCCACGAGGGCTGAAAAATACGGAAATGGCACGGTAACGACGATATGAGACAACAACTTATTTTCTCAATAACAATATGTAACTCTGCGAATTTACCCTCTACAATAGTAGTGGTAGGGTGAACGCTGCTTATTTGCTATACACAATGACAGCCTCAAACTTGTGTTAAGTACCTGGGTAGGTTGAATACTATCCATCCATCAATGAAACGCCATGAACTCCACCCACGAATGCTAGTTTTGACATTTTCGCCAGTAATTAGGGTATGCAGATATAAACGCCTAGTAGATCACTAATCCTGTACAGCCCGAATATGCATTTACGATTTTACAGCTCGTCCAGGCTCGGCCTTTGGAATGTCCAGGTACGTGGCGTAACCGGCAGCCCAATATAATATTGCCAGAGGCGGTTAAGTTCTGAGAGGAGGATATAGTAACTATTGGATTTATTAGCATTTTGTTAGGGGAGTGTTACTAATGCGTTTCAACTTACAAGGTCTTTGGGAAGGAGATCCATGATTTTAAGACAATCTTGAATACCTTCATTATTCTACCAAATTCCTGATCGAAAACTTCGCCGAATGTTTCGGGCTTCTTGCGCTCCCTCTTGGGTGGCAAATCATCTTCTTCCTCATCCCACTCGTCATCTTCTTCCGACTCAGCTTCGGCTTCGGCTGTTTTCGCTGCATTTGTTGTCGAGATACCGACTGCATGTGGCTTCTTGGCTCGATCAGGGATAATGTTCTTGTTAGATTTTTCTTCTGCTTCCACCATGCCCCTGAACCCAACAATAGCTTTCATAGAGCTGCTAAGTCTGGCATAAGTGTTGAAAAGAGCCACAAGTTCTGTTCGCTTCAACACTGGGATGTCTTCGCTGTCATTGTCGAACTCGAAGAGTACCTTCAGCGCTGCTCCGTATCCAGCGGTCTGCAGCTTGCCCCATAGCCTACACTTGTCGCAACCTACGCAGTCCATAATGCGGCTGACATTTCGGAATCGATTCTTGAAGTCCTCCTTCAGTGACGGGCCCTCACCATTCTTAAACATGAGACTCTCGTCGAATATTTGAGGCACCGAGGCTGCTCCTTGTGTTACGGCAAGAACCTTTGCCTTCGTAGCAGCGTCCTGGCCCGGCTCGCCTGTACAGAACGTATAGTCCTGTAAGTGTGGGCCGATCTTGGCAACCGCACGGGTAATGAGCGCGTAGTTGAAATACAAGTTTGAAATGCGTTCGGGATGGGTGTGTAAGCGGCTCTTATAACAACCCACATTGGGCTGCCATTGGCCGGTAGTCTGGTTCAAGAAGTCCCAGCAGAGGTGAGTGCTGATGCTCGCGTGCATGCCGGACATCACACGGTAGAAGACACGTTTCTCCAGACACTCGCCCTCGTTTTCCAGCCCGGTTTGGGTGAAGGTGGTGCTTGGGTTTTGCTGGTGTTGTTGTAATATCTGTTGTCGCTCTGCATCTTGGAGCACATTGCGGAAATCCTGTGCCGCGGGTCCCTTAGCCAGAGGGCTGACTCCAAGGGAGGCAGAATGTGGGAATGATGACTTTTGGAAGCAGTTCTCCCTGTAGATGGCATCCCATACCATCTTAGCACCATCGCCAGCATATCCCGTGAAACGTTCCGGATTGTGAACCAAACTGACATAGTCACCCTTGGCGCTGACGCTCTCGTCCTCTGGCACACAGTAATCTCGCTCATCGCATTCGTCGTCGTATTCCACCACGCAACTCTCGCCAACGTTTTCTCCTAATAAACCTTGTAGTGGCCTTTGTGGTCGTTCTTTCTGGACTTTCTTCCCAGGGTGTTTCGCCGATGGACCCTCTAGCTTACTCAATTCACTCGCCCTCCATATTTTAGGTATGTCTTCCTCGTTGTCTATCGTGTTCACAGCACAAGCTATGTTGCCACACATGGCATTCTCGTCGTTCCAGAAGGGACATTTTTTATTAAATAAGTTCAGGCGGTAATAGGAGAAGAAGTCGGTTTCTCTGGTCAGTTCGTCTAGGTCAGGCTTGACTCTGCGGTTTAGTTTCTCGAGAGTAGAGTAGGAAGCACAGGCGTCGGATACGATGGCTCGGGGGGAGATCTGAAAGGTTTCATTTTCGTTAGAGATGAGGGATTGATATTGCGAAGGCGTCGCAGCTAGAGAACTGGCCGCGAGAGAGAAATAGATAACTACGTTATACAATGAAGGCGACATACTGCGCATGAATCATTTTGAGCTTCTTTGCTCTTACACTGCCCAGGTGTCCCCCAAAGCGTAAAGAGTGACAGGTAAAAGAGTTTCGCGGACTTCATGACGGACTCGGGGGCGCGTGCCGGGTATATAGGTGGAGGTATGGACACCTAATAATTATTAGATTGGGAGGAGAAAAGGCAAGACAAGGCTAGACCTTTCCTCTCCTTCGGTATTTGGTAGGAGGATACGTATGATGTAGTGTGGGAGGTAGGTAGTAAGGGAGTCGAGTCTTGGGAGTCCTAGGAACCAAGCGGGTGCTACACGGTTAAATTCCAATGGTGTCGAAATGGGTTTATGTACATATTATAAGTGTATGCGCTACTGGGTGTACAAACACATCCATCCCTTGGTTTCCATTTCCAAGTGACAAGTAAATAATCCAAACTATGGAATGAGTAGTTGAATGAAAAGACGGCGCGTCGTAATAAATCAAAAGTGTGAAATGTGTAAACGTGTTCACTTTTTTAAGAGTGAACTTACTTTTTCAAGATAATTCCCGACGTCATACGATGATGGGCTGTAGCTTCTTTCCCGTATTCAACTTGCGCTGAGCCTTCCCTTCCTGCCTGGAAATTTACATACGGATAATGGAATGTTGCCAGCTTGCATCGCCTCAGGGTCCATTTATCGAGGTGATACATTAGCAATGTACTTAAGTACCGCTCTAAGTCATTTTGGTCATTTTGCACCTATCAAACAGCATCTGACTAACCTAATTGGCAACTCCCGATGTTCCGGGTGGGTGCGGGAGGTTCTAGAAACGGCAGGTCAGACACCTAGCAGTTACCTTGTACCTGGTTACTCTTTATGTGTATTCGGATGTACATCCCTCTGCATTTAATATTAAAGATTACCTTCCTCATATATGTCATCGACCTGCCATTCTTATTCAACGTTGTCGTACCTATATAAATGTCAAATACCCCTAATGTAATATACAAATATTTTTGTGATCTGTCTTTATTCATAAACGCGGTGAGATAGAATCATATGTTGGATATATTGTGTTAATATGACCATCCTGCTTACACGATTTTTCTCGGAGGCTACCGCCTGCGCTATACACTAGGTACAGCACCTATCGCTGGTCTGGACGTGTGGGATTTGAGCCTTGGCCGCAAAGTCATTGGTGAACCAACCAGACCCTGCAGATAAAAATAAATTTCCGGGTTGATGGGTGAACACTCTAAACCACTATTGCTACACTTTAACAATGCTGCGATCGATTCACTGCTATGAAGTCGATATCATTATTGACCCGGTTTAGCTTATCGTAGACATTCTCAGTTGGTTGCAAACTTTAAGAAGAAAAGTTTTCATGACATCATGATGCTCTATTCCTATCTAGGTTCCTAGGGGTCTTCATAGACCTATGGAAACTAATATAACACGGTTACTCGTGTTCTATCAAGAATAGAGCCTAGGCTTGTGCCGCGTTTCCATACTCTCTCATTGTGGTGGGGGGGGCTCCTCGCAATTATGTTGCTCGAACCTCCTTTAGAACGAACGCGTATAACTAACCATCCCCTGTTATATCTGTTGATGTTCTAGTCGAAATTCGCCGTATAAGCTTAACGGCAATCTCAACAAAAGAACGATCGCAACCATCCACTAACAGGTCGAGCAGAAACTAGATAGGGGGGAGACTTGTGTCGGTTAGGAATAGCCATAAATCATCGCGAAGCATTATTCCCTAGTAAATGCAGACGTCGCTATGCAGTCGTAGACGTGTCAAGAGTGGTAATCTACAAGGATGAGGAAGGTCGGTGAACTTCTAGTTCGGCTTGCTCGTGGATCACTGTTGAGGTGCTTGGTAGTTTAGAGGTCGCCTAGGCAGAGTCAGCATTGCTAGAAAATAAGCCGAGAATCCTGCGGAGAAGACTCACTTGAAAAGCAGAATGTGTGGCTCCGGTTCATGAACCTCATAGTGTTCCCAACCTAGACTCTGGATTTTAAACTTGGTTAGCTCTCTAATTGTGGTTATGGAATTAGCATGGGAGAATCTTACCTGGGTGATACCAATCGCGCGCCACTCATCTTCCCACAGTAACTTCAATGTGCCCTTGGATGGGTCGTGGTAGTCCTTGGGAATGGCCTTCAGCATGGCTTTCGGGAGCTGAACATGTCGGTATTCGTATTCGCTGTCCGAATAGCTAGTTTCACTTTGTCAGCAAGGCTTCATGGAGGGGAACTATGTGACGAAAAATGCACTCCAAGTAACATACCGAGCTGAGTAGTGGATAGAATCGATGTACTCCTCCAGCCGTGCGCGTTCGTCATCGCTAAGAGGACGGGGTACCTTATTTCGTCGACTCATATCAATGTCCATCGGCATCTTGGCGAGTTGAGCAGTCAAATACTGCTTAGATAGTTGCAAATGGCGGGTTTCTTCTTTTCGTGGAGTTTCGCAGTCACGCGAAGTTGCGCCAATATCTAGGAGATAGGGTTATAGGAGAGAAAGGATGGTCTCCAAGGCGGTAGGCTGATCAGCAAACAATATATGTTGTCGCGTGAAGGGGTCAGCGAGAGACGATGCCGTCACCTTCCGAGACGGACGGGCGTCTATAAGTTTTGCTGCGCAAAGGTGAAACTGTTTGACGAAACCCTGGATTGCTCAGAGGGTTTAGTTGCTGCAAGCCAAAGTATGTTGGTTAAGAAAGAAAACGAAAAAGAGGTCGCGACTTAAGAATCGAAGTGGTTTAAAGAGGTAGAAAATAAGAAAGGCGTGTTTCTTAAAAGTTGAGGTTGCGGTTCCCAAATTTTAGTTGCATATGTAGGGGAGTAAACAGTGTTGAAGTGGGGGCATTCATTGAGCACAAGCCACATGTTATATAGATTGTTAGGTTATAATAGTACTTAGCTAGATATCTATTGGCTGGGAAACTGCCTACCAACGGTGCTAAGTAATTGGTACCCCTGGTATCTCACTTCCCTAGGCACTGAGGGCTGAGGGGCAGAACAACAATGGCAACAGCCCTGTGGAACGGGCAACAAGGAAGGGGCTATGACATAATTAGGTACCTATACCTATAGGCGGTGGGCACTGCACTTATAACAACGCACCTACCATGTGCCTAGGTGCATTGATCAAATGTACCTAAGGTTGTGGCGCATTAGGTAATGTTACTTACATAGGTACCTAGGTACCACCTGCAAACCGAGAATGGAAGCGGCTGGCTGGTAACGGCGTTTGCGTTGGTCCAAGCTGATTTAGCTGCTGCTTCCAATCGTTAATGCCACCCATCACCTAAATGCTTGCGCCGGAAACTTTCTCCATAATTCGTTCTTGTGTGCACTGGTGAAGCTTGATGCATTAGAAAACCACCCCATACTCATGTAATCATTCTTCTGCACTGCACTGCACTGCAGTATTATTTTTTATTTGTCTCGGCATTGATTTTCAACTAGAAACGGCATCAACCTGTGCTAGCCCGGCGGGAAATACCCAGTATTTACCTAGTGGCACATCAGCCAGCCGCGTCGGATAGTCCACAAATCATCACCACCATCGCATCGCGTCGGGTCCTGCAACCCCATCATTTTCGCAGACAATATTGCTGAATTAACACCATTCGTTTCGCCATTGATTTCTTGGGGCGCTAGATAATTATCTGTGTCTCTTTGAGCCGATTCTGAATGCGCCCGCGATTATTTCCCCGTTGCAGTAATGGAGAACAAGAGGAAGGCGAGCGGCGCAAATGGCCTTGACTCGAATGATCCGAATGATAGAGCCGCAAAACGTCGCAGACTGCAAGAGGTAGGTTATGTCCCCTATGTCCTTAATCTATATATTCCACATAATTGCGCGTATGCGCAGTTGCAACTTGGTCGAATCGGTTTGAATACAGGCGCGGTGTATTGTCCTGCAGCATTGATGCGAACATCCTATGATTTTCTTTTTTGGAGAAGGGGAATTGAAGCTATTGACCAGGGTCTAAGACGAAGCTACTGAAGAAAAAATGCATGCCAATGTCATCTGCTCGTCTGCCAAAGGCCCGTTCATTATCCTCCATGCAAACCTTCCAACCTCCTATCTTTAAATCCCGCTTCTTTTGATGCCTCGCTGTTTCCAATCCACAATCCTTTTCTTTCGCTAATACGATCGGCTACTCTAGGAATTCGGAGATCTTTCGCATGGCGAGTCTGCCGAATCAACGACCGCATATGGATTGAACATTTTAGAGTCAATCAGAGCTACCACCGACAAAAAGTATGGTTACTCCATTTATTATTTTCACATTGTCTGCGGATATTTCGTTGGATTCAATCATACGGTGCCCGCTAGCTATTAAATTTGGATATATTATCCGTACCTGGTAATGCTGACTATATTATAGTGGCCGTTCGGTATCGCCATTTTTCGAGAAGCTCCCATCTCGGAGCGAAGACCCGGAATACTATAAGAAAATACGACTCCCCCTTTCCCTAGAATCGATCGAGCGAAAGCTAAAGAACAATGAGTACGACACACTCTCAATTCTCGAGAGTGATTTCAAACGACTCGTTTCGAATGCGAAGGAAACCAACGATCGCTCATCCCAGGCTTTTGGTGATGCGGAGCGAGTACGTAAAGCCGTTAGCAACTTGATGGTTAAATATAATCCTGCGTATAAGAGCGGCAACTATCAGGCTGTTGCTACTCCGTTGCCTCCGACACCCGAACCAGACGAGAATGAAGCAGATGAAGAAGCTGATGACGAAGAAGAGGGTAAGAAAGAAGTTGATATGCAAGATGCAGAGGATACACCAGAAGTTGATGAGGAAGAAGCTGATGATCAAGAAGAGCAGGAAGAAGGCGGCGGTGAAGAAGACGAGAACGATGGCCAGGAAGAAGAAGAGCAAGAAGAAGAGGAAGAGGAAGAGCAGGAGGAGGATGCTGAGGAGGCTGAAGACGACGACGATGAGGCTGAAGGGGATGATGATGATGGTGAGCCGGGCCCTGCCGTTCGAAGACGACGGCCTGGACGACCACCGAAGAACCCTGTTGCGCATGCTAAGAAAGTGGCCTCTCGAGGTCCAACCCCTGGCAAGGCCATTTCGCAGTACGAAAATGTGCCTTATAAGGGCTTGTCTTTCCAGCAAGCACAGGAGAAAATTGTCGAGGAAGTGCTCCGAAAGAAAGATGAGACGTAAGTACACTCCTCCTTGGTTTCCTAGTGTATGCATTTGGCTAATACGTATTTAGTGGTGAATACCCCTATTTTGAACCATTCATTCATCTACCGCCTCGAACATTGAAGGATTATTTCGAGGTCATTGCCGAACCTCTAGCTCTTAAGGGACTGCAGAAGCAAGTCAGAGGTCAACACGGTAGAGGTGCAGCAACATATGTTAGCGATTTCAAGGCCTGGGCTGCCTTTGAGGATCAGGCCAGTTTAATTTGGAAGAATGCGTATCACTACAATGAGGATGGCAGTGAGATCTTCCTAATGGCCCAGGAACTTGAGGTAAGCTTCTCCAGACTCCTCGGGCATTTTAGGGTCTAATAACAGTAATAGCAATTCTTTCTCGAGCAACTAAAAGAAGCTAAGCTTCATGTCCCGGAACCGCCTCAACCAAAGATCAAGCTGAAGATGCCGCCCAACTCGGAAACTCCCGTACATCCTAAGAAGATTACTATCCATGTTGGCGGCAAGACGAGCGCTACAGGCTCTCCGGCACCTGTAACAGGCCAATCTGGAGAGGGAGAGCCCGCTACTAATGGTACACCCGCGCCCAAGAATCCGTTCAGTGGTTCAGCAACGTCAGTCAATCTAAGTCAACTCGAGAAGGCTCGAAGTCTGTCAGCTTCTGCTGGTCCTCCTAGTCCGTCGGTAGCAGGGCTTACAAAATCCGACGATGCCGCTCGACCGTCACCTGCGTTGATAAATCACCAACAATTTGTACCTCCTGTGATGCCACCCTCAAACGGTGTACCTAACGGTGCAATTCCACCGCCGTTACCCCCTCCTAAACTTTCACCTGCGGAGATGCTCGAAGCCCAGAAATACCGTCCGCACCCAATTAGTAAGGATTATTCCCTTTATATCTAATTACATATAACTAACCAAGTCACAGAGGAATCGGAAGCTCTCCTCCCCAAGCTCATCATCACAACTCACCCTGGTCTCCAACTTGATAATCGATTATCAATTACGATTCCAGCTAGTGCTACCGAGACACAACAAGAACTTGTTTTCAATGCACCCGCAAGTCATTTCCGTTTACAGCTCAAACCCCAAGTGGCGCCGTTTCTAGAAGCCCAACAGCGTGAGTGGAAGTTGAACGTGCTTCACGATACGCTACGCTTATACCCGCCGCCTACCGCTCCGTTCGACAGACGAGATGAGCTGGTGTTCGATGTCACCTTGCATTTTGGAATCAATCGGCTTGAAGTGTCTCTAGTCGCAGCCCTTCCGAAGGGAGAGAAAGCACCTAATGGTCTAAATATGGAGTTGGAGAAAATCGTGGTTCACTTCAACCTCCTGAAACACTCGTAGGTTCAGGCTACGAGCCGCACTAGAAAGTGTTTAGGGATGATCCGCATAGGTAGTTGTGATTGTCTATGCGGACGCTGTTGACGTCTCCTTTTCTCGGGACATTGCGTTCGATCAACGGCTGGTGGTAAAATTTACGATGGATGTGCTTTTTAGTGAGTTTCGTGGAGTTTTCGGTTTATCTCTCTGAGTTATGTACCTTCTAGCTAGGTAGCCGAAGGGACATTGCCAATCTGCTTTTTTACAAAGGTGGAAATTGATTTATACAATCATCGTCGCAGGAAAGAGAGGGAAAAGGAGTGGTTGTCAACATTGATGCTGGAAAAAAAATCTTGCAGGTGTTTGCTCATGCTGTAGCTATGGCCTACATAGAATAGGGCTGTTCAAGTCGATTGCTTTACTTTCGAGTAGCTAGCTCCCTTGGAGGTATATAAGAATAAATCACAATTTTTACAATGAACACATGGGGAATTCAGGTACTGGGCATATCCGTATATAGTAAAGTTTTCTAGAAAATCGGAGGTCTTTTAGTATCTCAACAAACATTTACAGAGTGCAAGAGTGCTAGAGCAGAGCTACATGTACTTTACGGAGTAGAACCATCTTAGGTAGGCAAACAGATTAGGTATTTGGTGGGGTCGTTTGTATCTGGACCCTGAATATTTTTTTTTTCTTAGGAGTATCCGCCCGCCGTCCGCAGCCCCCCCTCACAGTACGTACTCGAGGTACCCTAACGCACTAAACCGGAATTAAGTTGGTCCCGGCGGCAAAGGTGGGATGGGGAAAGAAAAAAAAAATTGAGAGGGATCGAATTATATTTTTCACCGCCCGCATAAAATTCATTGAAATTCCCCTCCATACATCCCTCCATCTACCTTCTGACCCATCGTCCCCCGAACAAATTCTCCCGCAACCACAAGTAATCCTTAGGAATTTGTTCACTTGAGAATCATCTCTCAAAATGGCGGAAGAAGTTTACGATGGTGCCATCGGCATTGATCTAGGTAAGTTATTACAATTCTTTTCGCCCACAAAATCACTTTGTCGCAAATGCGCCGCACCCCAAAAAAATTCATGTGGTGGGATGAATATCCGCTGACGATCGCACCACGCTGTGGGCAATAGGCACGACCTACTCCTGTGTCGCCGTCTACGAGGGCAACAATGTCGAGATTATCGCCAACGAGCAGGGTAGCTTCACTACCCCTTCATACGTCTCCTTCAACGAGAAGGAACGTTTGATTGGTGAGGCCGCCAAGAACCAGGCTGCCATGAACCCGCGAAACACCGTTTTCGATGTCAAGTACGTTTTGACCAAGCTCCGCAATATTGCACTCTCAATTTCGTGCAGCTAACCCAGTTATGCGAAAGGCGTTTGATTGGTCGACCCTTCAGCGACCCCATCGTCAAGAAGGACATTGAATCATGGCCCTTCAAGGTCGTCGAGCAAGGCACCAACCCCGTTGTCCAGGTCGACTACCTAGGACAGGAAAAGACTTTCTCTCCCCAGGAGATCTCTGCCATGGTTCTCGTCAAGGTGCGTACACATTACCCTATACGTCAATCGCAATAACCTTGAATTCTAACAAACAATAATTGTAGATGAAGGAGATTGCCGAGACTAAGCTCGGAAAGAAGGTTGAGAAGGCAGTTGTCACCGTACCTGCCTACTTCAACGACAACCAGCGTCAAGCCACAAAGGACGCTGGTTCTATCGCAGGTCTTAACGTTCTGCGTATCATCAACGAACCTACCGCCGCTGCCATCGCGTACGGCTTGGGTTCCAACAAGTCTAACAAGGAACGTAACGTTCTCATCTACGATTTGGGTGGTGGTACTTTCGATGTATCCCTCCTTAACATCCAGGGTGGTGTCTTCACTGTTAAGGCCACCGCTGGTGACACCCATCTTGGTGGTCAAGATTTCGACACCAACCTTCTCGACCACTGCAAGAAGGAGTTCCAGCGCAAGACTAAGAAGGACATTTCTGGTGACCCGCGAGCCCTCCGAAGACTTCGTACTGCTTGTGAGCGTGCCAAGCGAACCCTATCCAACGGTGCCCAAACCACCATTGAAATCGACTCGCTCTTCGACGGCGAGGATTTCTTCCTTCAGATCACCCGTGCCCGATTTGAGGACTTGAACGCCAAGGCCTTCAACGGTACCTTGGAACCCGTTGCCCAGGTTCTTAAGGATGCGTCCACCGAGAAGAGCGCTGTCGACGAGATCGTGCTTGTTGGTGGTTCTACCCGTATCCCCAAGATCCAGAAGCTTCTCAGCGACTTCTTCGATGGCAAGAAGCTTGAGAAGAGCATCAACCCCGACGAAGCTGTCGCCTACGGTGCCGCCGTCCAGGCCGGTATCCTCTCCGGCAAGGCCACGTCTGCCGACACTTCCGACCTTCTCTTGTTGGATGTTGTTCCTCTGTCCCTCGGTGTTGCCATGGAGGGTAACATCTTCGCTCCCGTCGTGACCCGTGGTCAGACCGTCCCCACCATCAAGAAGCGCACATTCACCACTGTCGCCGACAACCAACAGACTGTGCAATTCCCCGTTTACCAGGGTGAGCGTGTCAACTGTGAGGACAACACCTCTTTGGGAGAGTTCACTTTGGCTCCTATTCCCCCCATGCGAGCTGGTGAGGCCGTTCTCGAAGTTGTCTTCGAGGTCGACGTCAACGGTATCCTCAAGGTCACTGCTACTGAGAAGACCTCCGGCCGCAGTGCTAACATCACCATCTCCAACTCTGTTGGTAAGCTCTCATCGACTGAGATCGAGAGCATGATCAACGGTTAGTCCCATCATACCTAAAAATATAGTAAATGCAAGACAGCTAACCATGTTTAACAGACGCCGAGAAGTTCAAGAACAGCGACGAGGCTTTCAGCAAGCGATTCGAGGCTAAGCAGCAACTCGAGTCCTACATCAGCCGTGTCGAGGAGATCATCTCGGACCCGACCACCTCCCTCAAGTTCAAGCGTGGCCAGAAGGACAAGATCGAGCAGTCGCTCAGCGATGCGATGGCCCAGCTCGAGATTGAGGAGTCGTCTGCTGATGACCTAAAGAAGAAGGAGTTGGCGTTGAAGAGACTAGTGACCAAGGCTATGTCCTCAAGATAAGCTGCTCTTTCATCGTTCGGCGAGTTTTAGGTCATGGATTATAGATGGGCGGCTGGTTAGGTTCCCTAGTGTGTCATAGGTGGCACTGATGCACATCTATACGATGATGGATTGGCATTGGCATCCTGAGAGTGGAAAAAAGGGAACTCGTATGCTTTGCTTGGTTTGGCGAAGCAGGGAGGAAAACACATAAAAGTCTTCCGGGTGGTTTCCGCACTTCCGAACTCATATTGTCCACTGCCTCCCCATCCTTTACGAAAAAAAAACGGCCACATGCTGGCCGACGGCGCATTTGCATGTAGACTAGGGAAAAGTGATCCGATAGGAACGAGCACTAAATGAATTAATGGTTCTTACGTTATATATACCTACTTATTTATACTTCTACGTGTTTTTCTCTCTGAATGATTGTAACTCTTTGATTCATACAACGGACTAGCCTAGCAGCGTTAGGTAAGTCTTAAGGTATGTCGTGATGAAGGACCCCCGCAGCCATCGGCATTATTTAACGCGATTCCCATATCGGGGCTCCGCAGCTCTACATCCAATAAGGATGAACGTAATTATCATGACGCTACCTAGGTCAATGTAACTGTCTCGTGAAGTACGAAATTTGACGGTCTTGAAGAATTATAACTTTTATATCGTTTTATTTTGCCTAGCTAGCCATAATGCCGACGAACACCGGAGACGACGCCGGCACTGCTGCTACTGCCAAGCCCGAGGCAGAAGCAGAGCGCCTCCGTGACTACAACCTCTCTCAACCCATCGACCCAACGCAAGGCGAGGGCATGCGCCGCGGACTCACATCCTACGGGGACGCGCATTTCTCCCTCTTTCTTCGCAAAGCATTTATAAAAGGTCTTGGGTACACGGACGACTCGCTCTCACGCCCGATTATCGGGGTCGCGGATACGAGGTCGGGGTTTAATCCGTGTCATGCTAATATTCCGCAGTTGTTAGAAGCGGTTAGGAGGGGTGTACAACTTGCGGGTGGACTGGCGGTGGAGTTCCCGACGATTAGTTTGCATGAGTCGTTTGCTGCGCCCACGAGTATGTTTTTGAGGAATTTGATGAGTGTGGATACCGAGGAGATGATTGGCGCGCAGCCTGTTGATGCGGTTGTGCTTGTTGGTGGTAAGTAGGTTCGCTATTTAAGGGAGCGTTTTATGTACAAAGAGGGAATGAAAAGGAAGGGATACTAAGCGATGACAGGGTGCGATAAGACGACGCCGGCACAGCTGATGGGTGGGATATCGGCGAATAAACCGATATTACATCTCGTTACGGGTCCGATGTTGCCTGGTAGCCACAGGGGTGTGAGGATTGGAGCTTGTACTGATTGTAGAAATAACTGGGCGAATTATCGGGCTGGTGTTATTGATATTGAGGAGATTGCTGCGTTGAATGAGGAGTTGGTGCCATCGGTAAGCACCTACTGAAGAATATTAAGAACAAAATAAAGGGGACGAGATGTTTGAGAAGTAGTACCTATGCTAAACATAAATTCGAGAGTAGGCCGGAACTTGTGGCGTTATGGGCACTGCGAGTACAAGTGAGGATGTTTCATTTATTTATTACCCCCTTCCCCCTTTCCTCTGTGTAACCGGACAAATCTCCGAAAATTTGGGAGTTCATTTTATTTTTACTTTCACACTTTGAAACCCTCATACTAATTATATATTCGATAGTGGCATGCATATTAGTCGCCCTCGGTCTCATGCCGTTCAAAGGAGCAACTGCACCCGCCGTCTCCTCAGCTCGTCTTCGAATAGCAGAAGAAACAGGCGCCAACGCCGTCAAGATCATCGCCGCCGGTAACAAACTAAAACCCCAATCCTTACTAACACGAGAGTCTTTCCTCAACGCCATTACTGTCCTCCAAGCCATTGGTGGCTCAACAAACGCCGTTGTGCACTTAATGGCTATTATCAATAGGCATCCCCGCATTGCCGGGACTATAACGCTCGACACATTTGATGAAGTTGGCCGTCGTACCCCGCTACTTGTCGACCTCAAACCTAGCGGGTCGAATTACATGACCGATTTCCATGCATCGGGTGGCATGACTGCGTTACTGCGTGAGCTGCGACTATTATTGCATCTTGAAGCGTTAACCGTCACGGGGAAGACTTTAGGTCAGGAGCTCGATGCAGAGCGCCTGATTCCCGTACCCCGAGAACTGAGCTGTATCCAGCCATTCAATAGCCCGCTATACCCGGCTTCCTCACTTATTGTGCTGCGAGGTAATCTGGCGCCTGGGGGCGCGGTTATGAAGGCCAGTGCGTCGAAGGATCGACGCTTATTGAAGCACTCAGGTCCCGTAGTGGTATTTACCAGCTCGGCGGACCTGGCGGCGAGGATTGATGATGAGAATTTGGATGTCACTCCGGATAGTGTATTGGTGCTGCAGAATATTGGTCCGGTGGGAAACCCGGGGAGTATGTATCCCTTTTGCCGCTTTGAATAAGGGGGTTCATCTACTGATACTTGTGCTTACAGTGCCGGAGGCCGGACTCATTCCGATCCCGCGAAAGCTAGCAGCGCGCGGTGTGACCGATATGTTGAGGGTGTCAGATGGTCGGATGAGCGGCACAGCAGGCGGGACGATTGCTCTTCACGTCTCTCCTGAAGCGGCAGATCCGGAATCAGTGCTAGGAGTTGTGAGGGATGGAGATGCGATTACATGCGACATCGAGCAGCGCCTACTAAAAATTGAGATCAGCGACGAGGAGATCCAGCGTAGACGCGAAATTAGGCGCACGGAGATTGGCAAAGAGGGCTCGGAGCACCCCTGGAAGGAAAGGGAGAAGATGAGAGGTTATAGGGGCTTGTACATGAGATCGGTGAATCAGGCAGACCAAGGGGCGGATTTTGATTTTTTACAGGCTCAATATCGAGGTAGCAGCTAGGCATACGGTTACAGTAAAGTCATTATAACTTCGCACATATAAAATTTTCATATATAGACATAGGTAGGCGCTTTATATGCAAGTGGTTTGAACTTGCAAGTTGGTTACACCAAATCGGATAGATCCGAAACATACCTAGGTACTAAGCGGCTATCTAGCCGAAAGCTGATCTACTTCACTGGCCCTTTACAACAATCGGAGGTTTTCCGACACGCTTTGCTTCCTCATTAAGGGCGTCAATTTCGGCCTGCACAAGAGGGATTCCTGTCTTCTCCCTTTCCTCCTCTGTCAATTGCTCAATCTCGCCCGGGAAGTAGATCCGATCAACGCCAGCAGCTTTTTCCGAGTCAACAATGCGTCGGTAGAGAAAGTCCATTCTCTCTCGGAAGTCATTAAGACTCATGAAAAGGTCAGGCTTAATGGCTACGAGGAAATGTCCGACATCCGATGGTCTACTTGTATCATACGGACCTGTAACTCCACCGGCAAATGCCGATCCTGCAACACAAGGTTAGAAAATGTTAGAATGATCAACCCTCCAGACGGAGTTCGTACCCGATAAGACACCTGAAAACACATCCATCATAATGGATAGACCAGAACCTTTCGGCCCTCCCATTGGCAACATGACACCTTCAAGCGCTGCAGCCGGATCATCCGTCGGTTTACCTTCAGCATCTAGGGCCCAATCTAATGGAATTTTCTCTCCCCTCCTCTTTGCCTTATAGATCTTTCCTCTTGCCGCAACGGATGGCGCCATGTCCAAAATAAATGGTTTTTCTTTGCCGCCAGGAGCACCACAAGCTATCGGAGAAACTCCGATCAACTTACTCTTACCACCAAAAGGAGGCAGGGCCGGGCTCGAGTTGGTAAACACAAGGCTCATCATACCGGCGTCAATTGCCTTCTTAACGACCCAAGCAGCCATACCGTAATGGTTCGAATGCTTGATGCTGACCATACCAATGCCAAATTCGCGCGCCATACCGCAAGCGGCATCCATCCCAATTGCAGCAGCCAAGAAGCCGAAGGCATTTTTTGCGTTGACTTGTCCGACCACAGGCGTTATCTTAGTCAGCTCTGGTGACGCAGTGGCGTCGAGGATGCCGTCACGCACTCGCGCCATATACGACGGGATGCGGTTGATCCCGTGTGTATCGACGCCCCGCAGATCCGCAGCAACAAGGCACTTGGCTACGACGGCAGCATTGGCCTCAGGAACGCCGTTCCCTGCTAGTACAGCTTCGACGAACTTACGCGCCTCAGAGGCTTCGACGTAGAGCTTGGCGTCGGCCATTTTTAGGTACTTGATCTAGGGCAAGGGTATTAGAAGAAGTAATAAATTGCAGCGGTAGTTGAGTAGCTTCACAACTAAAATGATTGTGGATGAGGAGAGAAATGAAGATGGTGAGGGTATGCTAAGAGTATCCCGTATAAGTCGGTTTAGCTAGCCCCACCTCGGAATCGGCCCGCTGCCGAAGGCTAACGGAGCTATGCCGAGGTTCTCTGCTCCTTCCTGAATCCTTCGTGATGTAAGATCGGGATACCGCCGAGAGTTAAAAGCAGCTAATCGCCCAATATAAAACGGCTGTTTAATCCAGTATGCGACATTCGTATTTCTCAGAGAAAAAGAAATCCGAGTGCGACGTACCTAATTTGCACACCTACATGGATCTGCGGGCTGCCCCCTACATCTCCCTAGGTTGCTTCAGAGAAGCAACTGAAAATCAACCATATTTCTTAATGCGAAGAAACATCAGAGGCGCGGTGATTACACAGCTCGAGAGTTCTTAAATCGTCTGAACCTCGTATGTTTTATCCACCCCATTTTTAGCCCCCGTTCATGTCCCAATTGCCCCGTAACCCAGCAGTGTTTGGGGGAGGGCTTGGCGGTTTTTGCACTAATCCAGTTGGTAATTATAGGGGGTAAGCGCCTCCTTTTACAAGCCATCTACGTAACCACAACACCACCGGATTAAAGATATAAACAACCACGATGAGTCCTAGTAATACTCTCTACTTACCTACTAACTGCTATACTAATCACGGAAACATTTAATTGGCGGGTAAACATTTAGGAGTGACCCATCGCAAGTTAGTTATGCCGCGGACACATTTCTCGGAGACATTTCATATATCTAGCCGGTAATGAGACAGGGTCGAGAACATTATACTTAAGGGCCAATGCGAACCGCGGGCGAGTAAGGAGTGTATGAAAGTCAAACAAAATTCAACTACTGAATCTTGAATAAAAATGGCATACTTAGAACTTTTTGACCTCCCAGGGGCAGTGTACCCTCGTCGCGTACTCATTTACCTCCACGAAAAGGGGCTCATCAACTCCCCACACATCAAAATCACACCAGTGACCATATCCCCTACTCTCGAAACATCAGCTCCCGGAAAGCCCAAGGGCACGTTACCAATTCTAGCCTTGCCAGACGGAACATTTATCAAACAGTCAATCGCTATTCTAGAATATCTCGAAGACATATGCGACAATCCTCAAGAAGAATGGCAGAAGGAGTTCGTTGCTACTGCCAAACCTTCAATGAGAGGCATAAGTGCGCGCGAGAGAGCCACAACCAATGAAGCATTGGCTATAGTCGACGAGGCTGCAGCTTTCTTCGGCTTCGCTTGCCATAAGGGAAGTAAGCTCTTCTTTGGACGCGAACCGACAAGTCCCATTACCGCGAAGTTAGCTATTGGCTGGGCAGAGAAGAACCTGAAGAACCTCGAACCTTATTACAACGGCCGATACGAGGAAGGGAGCCCGGAGACACAAGTTACCATCGCCGACTGCGTTTTGTTCTCACTTCTACAGTTCGCTAAGGAACTATATCAGGTTGGCCTTGTGGCGGATCCTGAATTGTTGAATCTGAAGAGATTTTATAACGCTTTCAAGGAGAGGAAAAGTACCTTCCTTTCGCCAGATATGTGGCCCCCGCAGGTTAGGGAGCTTGCCCCTGTTTGGCTGGAGGAATGATTTTTTTCCCACGAAGCAGTCAGACAAGTGTATATTCCTTTCCTATGTGAAATAGCCAATATCTACTCCCGATGAGATGAATCTCGTTTGGTTCGGATAAAAATCCTTGATATTGTTAAAATAGCACCTAAAAAACACGCGGTATTTAAATCCTTTGAAATCTCAGGTCATAGGGAACTCCGTCAAGTTGACTGCCAATACTGAGAATAAGTACCACATTGTATAGCCCAAGTCACCGAAGATGCCAAGTTGAATCGGCCGATCTTATCTGGCCTCTGGATATGAGTGTGCCTAAGTAAGTCACTCAAGCCTTTCGCGGTTTTCTTGCTTTGAAGAGCAAAGTCATGCCGACAAGCCAAGTGTCCACCTCTGCGAACTCTTTCTTCAGGGCACTTTCGACATCCGATTTTGTGTCATCCCAGTTGTGGAATATGCCAATTCTGTTATATAAGGCATTATACCACCAAGGAAGACTGCTTGGGGCATGTCTTTCGCCAAGAACTGTGCAGCCCGTTAATACACCATCGTCGGATAGCACTTCCTTAAAGATGCCGAATGCCCTCCATTTCCCTGAACCACCAGGGATGCAGTGGAACAAGTTAAACATGGAGATAGAGTCAAACTTGACGCCCTTAAGTTCCTGGACCAGAGGTGCTGTTACGTCGGCCTCGATCGTCCTTATCTCCGTTGCTGGCGATCCTGATAGTACATGCGCTTTCGCAACCTGTAAGGCATTGGCATTGGCATCCAATAGAGTAAGGCGCTGCTTCTTTTGATCTCTATAGGGTCGTTGTAACGTCGAAAGCGGAAAATATCCGTCCGCTACACCGCAGTCAAGATGGTTCTCTGAGAAATTCTCACTGAAGAATGGGAAGACAACCGACATCAGGGAGCATTTCCACATATAAGTGAAGTTGAATAGAATTATATAATGATATATGGAGAGTATGGGACGTGAATAAAAGCTCACAGAAAAATCAGTCTGTTTGGTGTCGGCCATCATGGACAGCACTGCCGAGATGTTTCTATCGTGATGCCTGTTATCGAACGGAAGAGGAACAGGAATCTATGAAGTGCAAAAGAACCAAAGGAAAATGGCTTACTTGGTCACCTTTTGAGAAGAGGGGTACTGCTGATGAATCCGCAATGTGCTAAGTGCCTAGGTAATTAATGTAGACCTCGTTATTGACGTTGCTGACGTGTTGCATGATATTAGGTCGCATTGAACCAGGAAAAAAAAGGCTCATCGGAATCCTCGAAAGGTTACCTTATCTATAACCTAATTTCCTCCAGTTAAAGTCTCTCTGAGCTTTTCTAGAGCTTCTTGTTCATGAACATCGTAATCGATAGCATCAATAACATCCCATCTAGAAAAAAGGGATTGCCTAAACTTGTCCACATCCAACCCAACCTCCTCGTTCCGACCACACATTATCACTCCTGTCCCTTGACTTGAATGGATGATTCGTTCACATCTTACCCTCCTCATGGCATCGAAGGCTTTGAACGCCGCACTAATTCCTTGAGGCGAAGATATGTTACGGAAGAGAACTCCGAGAACCATAGCATCTTCAATCGCCATGCCGGCCCCGAAACCTTGCCACGGAGTCATTGAATGCGCGGCGTCACCTACGATACAGACGTGGTCTTTAGCGTAGGTCAGAGTTAACTTATGTTCCCATTGCGAGTACCCAGAGGGTTCGGGTTGATCTAATGTCAGCTATCAAGGCTGTCAGCTCACTTATTTTCATGGAATACCTACCTAGGTAGATATGGGGCTAGATTTACCTCTATCATACCCTTAGCAATTGGACCATCAAGCCAATTGCTCAGAATCTCTGTCAGATATTCTTTTGTGAGTTGTCGTTTTCTGCGATCCTTCGGGGGATCTTTCTCTATAACGGAAATGACGCACTGCACCACAGCGCGATCCTCCAAGAACTCATGCATGATGAATGCTCCGTCGCCGATCCACCCATATTGACGGTCGAGCTTGAAGTACTCCTCTCCGAGAACGGATTTGGCTTTCTCGTACGGTATTAAATTCCGGCTGTCCCAGAAACCAGCCGGCGAAGCGGAATACGCCTCGTCTGCCGCAGTCCCCACAACGTGCTTGCGAACACTGCTGAAAATACCGTCGGCACCAATAACAGCATCAAATTGACTCGAAGTACCATCTTCGAATAGAATGTCAACGTAGTCACCTCCCGCAATGATTTTCGTGAGTTTCTTGCTAGTATAAAGAATCTCCTTGGGCAATAGGGAGAGGAGTTCGCGCAAAAGCGAAAAGCGAGAGACTACTAGGCCCGGAGTGCCAGAGTTCCCAAGATCAGCAATAACGGCGCCGGCTTCCGGACCAGATCCCTATATTTGTTAACCACCACCAGTATGAAACGCGCCTTAATATTGAGGATTTACGTACTAAGATAAGCTGAGTTGAGTTTTTAGGAACAGCGCCAGTCTTTTTGAGGATATCAGGGGCTGATGGTATCGCCCGCTGAAAGCTCTTCTGAGAAGTATTGGTTAGCACAATAGCAGCGCCGCGCGACGAGAATTCCGGTGTAGATTCATAGACGTGAACTGCTACATGCGGAATTTGAATCAGGACGTTTGCTAAGGTGGCGCCAGCTAGACCGCCACCTATAATAGCAATTCTAAGGCGAGATTCTGCCATTGTGAGATTAATCAAAGAATGAATAGGTACTTCTCCCCAGTGCCGAAGTTTAAGTAGCAAGTGCTGGCTCCAACATGTTTGTTGGTCCGGGGACAAAGAAGTACCCCTTACATTCTCGAGCTCCTATAATTGGTAGCTGCGACCAACAGTTCAATATATTATACTATTTCAATGAAGTCCTTCCCATACCTTTCCAATGGGGAACGACCTCATCTGGGCGCATAAGTACGTCAGGTTGTCTTTTACTAATCTATCCAGACGTCTATTACACCTTATTTGGATAGCTGCTTGGTTAATAGTGGCCAGAGTGACCCCTCGGTTAGCAAAAGTCTTACTACGCAATTTTGTCGAGAAGCTGCTTCCGAGTTGGGTACCGTTTGATCCCCATTTCCAGACACGACACAATATCTGGGATCAACGCGTAAGTGGTGAGTAACATCTAGAGTTATTCGTCGTCCTCGCCCCCAACCGGTCTTGAGGCTTGTGCAAGCGGACACAACCATTACCGCAACCGGCTTCCGCATGCAGCTTGGTGGTAACATAAAGATGAGGGTCGACGGCGAAGAATTAATATGGAAAGATAAGTTCGTCTGGAATGGTGCGATGTTAAGTGGTGTTCCGAACATGGTGCTCCTCTTCGGTTACGCTCGAAATGCCTGGACTATGGGCGTTGATGCAACTGCTTTCATCCTGGTTCGTCTCTTCAGATACCTTGATAGCAAGGGGCTTCGGAGCATGATGCCGCACGTACCTGATGGCACGAACATGAAAAAAAGGGCGTATGTGGAGTCTCACTTCGACGTATGTCGAGCGGGCGATTGACGTATTACCGGTATGCGGGGATAGGGGCCTTTGGAAAGACAGAGTGACTCCTCTGATTGACTGGCCGCTTGCACGATGGGGGAACGTCACGGATGGCCTAGAGCTCTCTAGTTAACGAAGCCAATTATGGTCTTTCGGAGTTGTGCTACTCGCTCCTGTTTGGCGCAAGCTTTTAGAAATGATGAATTGGGACGCTTTTTCACACAGCAACTTAAGAATAGGGGGTCCTTATGTAACCCACACCATTAATGTATCTATGTGGGTTCCTTACCACGGACCCAAAAGCCGAACCTCACGCAAGACTGTAATGGTTGGTTGTCGTAGGTGTACTTATGTACGATGAATCGATCGTGAATTTCAAGATCTATCCCAGCCACGCCCAACATACGTCGAGTTTAATTGATTCCATAGTGGGGAGCCCCTAGAGTGGCTAATCGAGGAGACGCACAGTATTGCGTACCCGGAAGTATTCGATTGGGTAGGATAAGACGATTACTCCGAAGATATACTCATGTATCCCGAGTCTGTAGTACGATTTCCGATGGCATTGGGGGCGGATAGTGTTCCGATGGTTGGCCTAAGTCGCCGCCCGATTGGGCAAGCATTTTCACCAACGACTTCGACGAAAGCGACGGCCCCTTGATACGGACCTGGTATCCTTGATCATGGCGTGTTTGGAACCCTAGCAAAACCACTCAGTTAATGAGCGAATTTACCTAGCTGAACTTCCTTCATATTTCCCCTCGAGTTTGTCTGCTTGGGAGGAGAAGTAAGGGAATCATTTATCAATTATCGTATAGAATCTAGACATTATTTGCAGTTAGCCATCACACATCAGTTGTGATATCGTAGGTAGCCATAGCTCCTTGAATTATGGAGTATACAGCAGTTTTCAAGAGTCTGATTGGCCGAGATGTTGAAAATATTCCCGAAGCGGAAAATGCTCGTCGGTCCTAAGACCCTGATTGGCTGATGTTTGGATGTTGGTTCGTAATGTGGTCGATCACTTTTATAGGCCCTTACATGGTAGAGGGATCGGCTCCGACTAACATAACCAGCCCCTTTCCACTATGGGCTAGCTGAGTCTGAAACTTTTGTTGGCGATGTGAGGCACAGCCATCTTTGAGACCTAGGAGCATAATCGCTCTCCATGGGGGGATCGTTTAGGGCTGTCGGATGGGGGATGTTTGTTCATGCCAAAAGCTTGAATATCGTCAGACAAGCAGCGAGGCTAACTGTCTATATATTCGATTTGATGGGAGACAGGGATACGAACCACGCGAATTGCCAAGTCCTGCTCATCCCTATGAACGATCTTCTTCCGCCGTACCACGTTTAGTATGTCCGAAATCTCCTTCTCATTCAACAGGAGACCCGTGACATCCATGTTAATGGTATTAGCACGTAATGCTCCTTTCTCATAAGCTAGGGCATCCCTCTGAAAGGCTCCATTGGTCGCGTTTTCCCCCTTCTTGCAAATTTTATTGTCTGAGCAGCGAAGTTCGGAATTAAACCGCGTGCAACGTAGGTAGTGCTGACAAAACCTATACCGCCCTGGCACGTTAGCAAAGGTTGGTTCCACCGACCAACTAGAACTCGAAGCGCATATTTGGAAAGAGAACCCAACTTCGTTTGGGTGTGAGAATCTCACATGCGACCCCAAACCTCTTTCTCCCGACATTGTAATACTAATGTTGATGTCTCACACATCGTCCATTCGTTAGCAATCGCTTCAGCCTCCTTAACTTCTTACCACAACTATGACTAGCTCTAGTACCAGTTACCCGCCACTCACCACAGTCTTTACACCTGCGCCAGAATGTAGTTACATAACTTTCACCGATTGCTATTATTCGGACTCTTGCTCAGCGATAGCTTACACGGATAACCCCGACAACTGCAATGGACGCGTCCCACAATGCTTCCCAGTACAATCATCTTCGTTTGAGTCGACCACAAACTACGCATACGTAACCCTATCTCAAACATATTCACCAGGACTTTATTGCCCTTTGTATTGGGAAACTGCGGCGAGCGCCATATCTCCCGATGGCGTGTGGTGTTGTCCCACGTAGGTTATACCTTTCCACGGCGCAGCATTAAGTTTATCAGCGCTAACGGTGTAAGGGAATAGTGGATTTTCATTCAATCGGGATTCACAGAATTGTCAAGCAACTTTGACGGGGGGCCCGGCGGTAACAAGCGACTCCTGCGATACACTTAGTACATTTTCTTTCGGGCCTTCGGTAACGAGCGATATGACTGTTAGCTTCGACTCGACTAGTTCTTCTATATTTCCCTTGGACAATGTTCAGGTTTCGGTATCAGCAGGGGGAATTTTCCTTCTGGGTCAGACATGGGCCAACGACCCATCCAAGGCAACAGCAACAACTCCAGCAGCATCACCACCACCAGGAAATGAAAATGAGAGCCCCCCGTCAACTAAGGCTGTTATTGGCGCCAGTGTAGGTGGGACGATAGGAGGTATCCTCCTTCTGGGCCTTGGTGCCCTACTCATAATGCGATATCGTCGAAGACGAGTAGGCAGAGTACAGGAGGCGGAGGCTGCTCCGAAGCCCCATGATGGACCGGAAGATTATCCATTATACAAACCAGAACTTGATGGGAGTCTTGCGAGTCCTATGATGTATACAAAACAAGAGCTGGACGCTAATGCGACACGGTCGGAACTCGAAGGCCCTTCAACTCATAACCATGCAGAATTAGGGGGGAATGGGATACCCGCCGAACTCCAAACGGATGTCGTACGAGCGGAGCTTGAATGATTTGGTTCTTTGATGTTATACCCACCATCACAGAATCCAACAGCTTCCAGAGCTTGCGATATCTCCAAAGGCACTTCGTTCTCGCCTATCTCGGCGTACACGTTCGTCCCTTGCGTCGTAGGGGAGTCGGAAATCACTTTATAAAATCCGAAACCGAATACGATAAGACAATAGGAGCTTAAGCGACTAGCGTACTAGATGACCGAGCATCGCCGATTCTTTGCATCTAATGACGGTGTCATCTTAATCAATGCGTAACACGCGCAAGGAATTGAGGATAACGACGCCAGCTCGGAGAAGCGGGGCAGGATAACTAGTGTTCGATATAGGAAGAACTCATATCCAGTTTATAATTTTAGATACCACTTAATTATCCATTCGTAGATAACCAAGAGTCCTGGCTTTGACCTTGACAAAAATAATTGAAGAATTGACGAACAATTTCAAAGTTAAAGATCGAAGCCGTAAGCCCTGCTCAGCTTTACCGGACCTTGATTAGTAGGTTTATACATCAAAGCGGGCTTATATAATTATGGATATAACGTTAATTTGGTAAAACCACCCCATTACAAAAGGAATGTACGTAAGCAAGATAGGACTGCTATGCAGATAGGGGGGATTTAACTGTAACTAATACGTCATGACGACGGAAGCTCCAGCACCTGTGGCCAGCACCAGCATTGATTGACACTGGCACCAAGCAAAAAGATCCAAGCATCAACAACAACACTCCCGACATTCCAATCCTTCCACCATCCTCTCAGCAACGCGGGGTAATATTCGCCTGCGTCAACTTCATTCTCTCCAATGTTCAATTCAATTTCCCTTTGATCATTTTTACTTTCGATTCACCCATTACCCAGTAGTTGTAGTTGCTGCAGTTGCGAAATCATAGCTACCATTCGCCATCGTCAAAATGGCTGCCCAAGGCTACGTTCAGACCTCCCTTATTTGGGTGGCCTACGCCGTCGCAGTTGTCTTGGCTTTCATTGCTGCTGGCATCACCACTTTTATATGGCAGACACCTCGTGAACGATCCGCGATCGTTAGTACCGTCGCCATCATCAGTCTTACGGCTCTTCTCGCGACCGTATTCCTTCTCCCCGTCGACATCGCCCTTGTCTCCTCGACTACCTCCACTGCCCTCGGTACCAAGAAAGAATGGGCCACGCCGGATCGCGTCGAACACATCCTATATACTCTCAAGATCGTCTATTACTCTTTATATAGTTTCGATGCCTTGCTCTGCTTGCTCATTATCCCCTTCTCCTATTTCTGGTATGAAGAGTATGATGAGGTCGAAGAGCAGGAAGGCAACCAGACCTTCGCGAGTCGTCTTTGGGGTGCTTTCAAGTATACCATCGCTTTCATACTTCTAGTCGTCATCATCTTCCTCGTCGGCTTCTTCGTACCCGCAGCGGGTGCTCGCGGCGATGGCAAGCACCTCGATCTCGATTTCTTCAAGCGACTGCTCGACGAGAACCACGGCGAGAAGGCACTAACTTTCGGCATCGGTCTACTCGTTACCCTTGGTACCCTCCTTTACGTCTTATATACCGGCGCTGGCCTTGCCCTTTTCCCCGTCTCATTCATCAAATCCGCTCCTTCCGTATCCGCGCCCCAACTCTCCGAAAATACTGCCTCTCAACTAGAACAAAATAGGGAGCGACAGCGCCAGCTCGAGATGCGTAATGCGGGTCGTCCTGAAGGTATGCCTGCTAAAGATCGCCGTGAGCTAGAGGCTCTTGCCCGCGAGGAACGAACACTCGTTCGACGAGAACGACTCGCCGCCGAGGCACAAGGAGAGGGTAAAGGATTCGTCGTAAGAGCGTGGTCGAAAATCAGTGCTATATTCCGACCTATTAAATTGATTGGAGGCATTCTCCTCGTTCTTCTCGCAGTTGTCATCTGGGTATCGATGCTCATCACCGGCATCGACAAAGCAGCCAACTCGGTCTGCAAAGAGCACTGCGGCTACATCCTCGCGCACATCAACGTATTCCAGCCGATAAACTGGCTCTTCGTGCAAACTGCGCGTGCCTTCCCCGTCGACTACGTCCTTATGGCCCTACTCATCCTACTATTCTTCAGCGCATCCGTCTCCGGCGTAGCCGCGATCGGCATCCGCTTCCTCTGGCTTCGCATCTTCCAAATCCGCAAAGGCCGTACTTTACCCCAAGCCCTACTCGTCGCCACCGTAATGCTAGCGCTCATCACATTCGGCATCAACTACGCCGTAGCCATGATGGTAGCACCACAATACGCAAGCTACGGCACACAAACCTTCTGCGATCTCCCGCCACGTCACCCCTTCGCGCGTCCAGACTGCTTGGAAACCCCCGAAGCCGTAAAGCCGTGCTCCGAATGGGCCGACGGCAACAAACAAAGCAACCACGGCCGCGCACCCCAACAAACCTGTACACCGACCGTAATGTCCACCTTCTTAAACCGTGTCACCCTCAACTGGCCCTTCTTCGGTGCGGTAGCGTTTTGGGCGCAATTCGCGTTTTTAGGGGTGTTCTTAATCGTGTTTTTGACTAGTTTGTTTAGAACGCCGAAGTTGGATTTAAGTGGTATGGATGAGGAGGCTGAGGCTGATGAGGAGGAGGGTCTGTTGAGGAGTACCGGGAGACGGTTTGGTGCGACGTGGCAGGATATTACGGGACGCCCGAAGAATGGGAGTGCTGAGAGGAATGGTGGTGGTTCGGGGTCGTGAGAGTTTGTGGAGTGAGGGGGAAATAGTGGCTGGTTCTGCAGGCCGCGGAATTCGTCCCAGTAGTTCTGAGTATACACGAAAGGATTTCGGTATAGCATACATATCTATCTGTCTCGATTGTAAGGCGGTAGGGAACATCATTGGTAAAGGGGCACATGTACGGAGTATGGGTGTGGACCGGATTTTTTTCTTCCAGGCAGAAGAGCATATTTGGATGGCGGTCATTTTACTGAGATTGTATGATTGGACTGGGCGTCTATGTGATTAGGGTAAAAAATAAGGAATCGGGATTATGGTATTTATTCCTCCCAGTGTGATATGTTTTTGCGAATGCTTTGAGGTAAAAGTAGTACTAGCTATTCCACGGCGGTTTACTATAGGACATCATATCGAAGAACTTCAAGTGGAACCACGGTGAAAAGGTGAACATTTCGTATAGAGCATCGTAATAGGGTATCTAGCATATAATCAAGCCTAATCCAATCAAATCCATTATCGCCATAAAAAATCACAAGCAGTCATACATTCATTCAGTAGGTATATAACATCACCACCCCCTAACAAACTTCTCCCACCGATGTCCCCTCTCATCATACCCAGCACTCGGCCCAACATGCATCTCCCTCCAGCACCGCGCACAGTACACATCATCATCACAGTCTAAGCAGCGGATAGTCCCGTCTTCTAGGCACACAACGCACCACGTCTTCTGGTCCTCATCTGTGAACCCGTAGCGCTTGATCAACCCCGGGGCGGGCCGATCCGCCGGCGCGAAAGTAGGTGCTGCAGGTAGACCAAAATCGTCCACAGCTGAGGTCGGAGCTGAGGGGAGAGTACGGGTAGTAGAAACGTTAACTCTGAGAGCGGCCATGCGGGAGGTGATGGATGCGGCGAAATCGGCGTCGTCCTTGTCGTCTTGGGAAGAGTCCGGGACACCCGGTTGGTCTTGTAGGTCTGATGGTACTGCGGGTAAGTTGAAGGGGTCTGTTTCACCGATTTCCTGCGCCGGTTTGGGGTTATCTATTTGGTCACCTTGGGTGGGCGGTTTTACGTCGTGGCTTGGCGAAGTTGGTCCAGGCTCAGACTGAGAGGGAGGAGGTTCATTAGCCTTCTCTAAATCCACTTCATCCATAGCTTGGGCAAGTATGTCGTCAGCTTCACGAGTCATTTGTTCACCGTCGGAATCATCATCACTCTTATCCTCATCTCCGTCATTATGAGAAGAATCTTTGGTGTCGGGGTCCTTATCTGGATCTTCGTCGGTCTTGGATGATTTCCCTAATTCATCTAGAAGCGATATAACTCTACGGTGCTCTTCTTCCTCGGCTACTACTTCATCGAGCCATGGTTGATCAGATTCTAGATCCGCTAGCAGCTCCTCAAGTGTCTGGTCATCTGTGAAGAGTAGTGGATCGGCATCATCGTTACTTTCCTCCGTGGGTGCGGCATCCGATACTTCCGGATCTATGACCGAACTTTGGGGGCCGGACTGTGGCTGTGGTGTTTGGTTCGGAGATGATGAAGTAATGGTATCACCACCTTCATTATTCGCCCCCGAGCCGGATGTGGCGAATACTTTGTCACCGGATTGATTTCGGAGGCTCTTTAGCCTTTCCGAGAGTGCATCCTCCCTTGATAGAGGTTTGGCCGGCTCTATAGTAGAACCAACAACTGACCTAATGATAGTTAGTAAAGGTAAGCCGCCTATAATAAAATGGGGGCAGTCATATCTAGGTAGCGGTCATAATTTTAAACGAGGCATACTAGAAAAAATATGAGGTTACCTTACTTTGACGATGGGTCTAGGTTGACCGTGGTAGGTTTGAGGGCGTTTAGTCGGTCCAACAAAGTTCGATCCGAATCTGGCCCTGGGGCGTCGGCCATGATGAGCCTTGTGATGTAGAGAGGAAATGAAACCGATGTGAGATGATTGTGGCTTGACGGGACCGGGTGAAACCAAGTTTGACGCTCAGCTAGGCAAGCTGAGTGATCAAGTGGTACCCGAGGCTGCGGTCGAGTGGAACCGTTGAATGGCGGCGCTTATTAGATTACAAGGCTGAGTAGAAAATGCAATTAACGGTTCGTTAGGCTAACTGAAGCTATTCCAAATCGGCACTATCGAGAAAATGTTCATTTGTATCTAAGTTATCTTAGATTGTGATGTCATTTCAAGTTTGGTAAGGATGAAATTCAGAGTTCGTCTCGCCCAAGTTACACAAGCCCTACCAATTAATGGGGTAGATGCCTGATACGATTGGTTCTATCCACTAGACAGCATAACCCTACAACATACTATTCCTAATTAAGTATACGCTAACCCTAATAAGGGTATGCATCTTGCAAGCCATCAGCACTTATTCCGCCTAACATACATCATAATGACCCTTGATAGGACCTGCAGAACGCATCATACATACCCAGGTAGGTACAGAAGACCTATGAATTCGACTTAATTGTCCGATCCGATCGACTTAATAATTTCCTATAATATTTTGTCAGTGATGATCCTTGGAATCAAAATAACCTAGCTAGCCTAGGCAGGTGTGTGAATGCTATCCCCCCAATTCATAGGATAATTTGGATACCAAATCCATAAGCCAACGTCTAATATAGTACATGCGTACTTGGTGAGACCGCTGGAGGCTGGAGTCCGCCGGGAACTTTGTTTGGGGAAACGATGTTTTAGGCGGAAACTCTAAACTTCTTTATGTACGAGATATACGCTATGTGTCATGGGTCAATAGTCACAATGGAGAAAGCTTGGCGGAAGGTCAGGAATGGCCACAGCGCCACCCTCTTCCAAATACTTTTGAGTCCTAACTTCCTTACTTTCATACAAATAAGGAAATGAGGAGTAAGAAAGTTTGCTTGGCAGGTAGGCACCGCCGTCATCCTAATACCACCATATCACCTTATCCAGGGTTCACTCGTAAAAACTAACTCCATTCTACATATATCCAGCTTTTCCGACATATTTCCAAGTATCCCCAGTTCGACCAATCTTATCCAGACGAAATCCATAATATCGACTATAGTAGCATCAACATCAACCTCTCTTGTTTGCTACCAATTTGCTTGTCGACCGAGCACGACGATTTATAGATGAAGTTTTCACACGCTATTCTCGGCTTGGCGGCCTGTAGCCAGGGTATCAATGCCGTCGCCATCAAAGAACCCGCCGTAATAGATACGCGATCATCAGATATACAACCAGAATCGCAATATTCGGAACGCGCGGAAACAAACGAAGAACTATGGAAGCGCAAGGGCGGCGGCGGAGGTGGTGGTAGAGGTGGTACTGGCGGCTCTAGCGGTGGCAGTTCCGGCGGTCGTGGTGGTTCTTCCAGTGGTGGTCGAGGGTCATCATCGTCCAATGTTGGAGGTGCGACAACAACGGGGAGCGGTGTACGGCCAGGATACGGAGGAGGCACATATTACGGCGGTGGTGCGAAACAACCCTACAAAGCTGGTTCGCCTAGTCCTTCCGGCATCGCGCCGTTTGTTCTCGGTGGTGCCGCGCTTGGAGGTCTAGGGTTCGTAAGCGCGAGTCTGGCTTACGGCGCGTACGCTTACCCGTACACGCACCATTACTGGTATCACAACTCGACAACGAACAAGAACGAGACCAAGCCTGTCACCTGTCTGTGTGACACCTATGAGACTTGCGGTTGCGACGACAACGGAAACCAGACATACTTCAATTCCGTCATTGGCGACGGTAGTTACAACGGCCTCAACAAATCGCTTGTGACTGTAGCTGACAACGAGACCACGCACAACTCCACCATCTACCTCCTCGGTACCTTACCGAATGGTACCACAGCAGCCGGTGGCACCGAAGACCCGAACGCCGCTGTCGATATGCAAGCTCTAGCTCGTGCTGTGGGTTGGTGGCCGGTCATCACGACAGCAATTGCCATTGTATGCATGTCGTAACGATAATCATAATGAAGACGTGAATGGAGTTTGGAGTAGTCTTTCCCCTTGCCGTTTATCGTTTTGTTTTTTTGTACGTATAACGTTTTGAGTACGATACCACCACCACAAGACAAGATGAGGCATGCGGCGACGCGAAAAGAGTTGATATCCCGATGGAAGTTCTAAAATGCTGGAATTATCGAGAGAAAAAACTAGAGATGGGAAGAGAAACGGTGAAAGCCGTGGTGATACATGGCTTATACGTTACACAGTAGAATAGCCTCAAGTAGTGGCATTTATCCTTGAACAAATTAAGATTTTTCTACAATCACTTGCTCGTAGCCGAAATGATGGGTTATATAATTAAATAAGCTGAGCATAGATTTTCTGCTCGCGAAGCAATTCAGACCGAGTAAACGGTATATATCTGCAAGGGGTATCTCCCACAAATGAATCAGCAAACGTCGCTATATGCTATTGGCCTCCCCGGTAAGCGCTGGGACACATTCTTTATTTCGTGTCAAGCGGCTCGTCCTTAACAAGAGCTTCGCCATCGTCTTCTTTTTTCACCTCCGCTCTCTCCTTCCTCCTCTGGACGCACCAATCGCCCAAAATCTTCCATATCCTCTCCTTCTCCTCCGGCCTCAGCGTAGCCGCAAGTCCACTCGTACTAGTCGCCACGAAAACCCTCGATCCCTCCCACGGCTCCTCCTTCACCCCATTAACCTCCTTACCCTCCTTCACAACCCCCATCCTCTCCTCCTGCCACCCATAGTTAAACTCACCCTTCCCAATCGCACGTCCATGACGAACGCGAAACACGCTCTCCCAAATACTCTTCCCAACCACACAAGCAACCTCGGGTCTCCACCTCCTACACTTCTCCTCCAGCACCGCAACACCCTCATCCATCTCCCCCTTACTCAGTTCCGCGCCGTTGCGCGAGGGGCGCGCCACGATGTTAGTGTGGCCGAGCGCGTACCGCGCCGGCATCGATTGGTCCTCGTGCGCGCGGCATCGGATGGGTGTTATGCCGGAGCTGTGGAGGAGCTTCCAGAATAGGTTTGATGGGTGTGAGTATGCGTGTCCGGTCTGCGCTGTGCGGATCCCGGGGTTTAGACCGATGAAGAGAATGAGCAGGTTTGGTGCTAGGGCGTCTGGGAGGAGGGGAAGGTGTGCGTATGTTGAGGGCGGGGCGTAGGAGGAGGGTTTGCGGATGCGTTTTTTGGGTGATGGGGTGGACGTTTTGGTGGTGGATTTTTTGGATTTAGATTTATATCCATTGGTGCTATTGGTGTTGTCCTCTGTATCTGATGCTTCTGATTTTATTTTTCGCTTTTTAGATTTCAGAGGCGATGTTGGTATTGCTGACGAGGACTGCGATGAAGCGGCAGACTGAGGCGCTGACAGTCTTTGGCTACGCCTTGGTGACAATGACGATGGGTCGGATCCTGTTCCTGCATACATGAAATCCTTCAATTGAAGCCTCCCTTTGAAGCTTGTTTCTTTCAGAATATCTGCTTCCTCGGGATTTTCTTGGTTGTCCTCAGCCGCCATTTTGGCGGGCAATATCGTTATATTGGTACCAGAAATAAGTCTAATTGAAGTTGAGATTCCCCTAAACGGTTTGATTATTCCGCCGGCTTATGTCGCTTGTAATCTTAATTGAAATAAGAGGTTGAACTTTAAAATCATCATGGGAAGAAAAGAGAGTGTGATACTGCATTTGGATTGCAACTGCCAGTGCCTGAAGATCTTCAGCTCTTAGCCTGCCGGATGTATGATGTCGCCTCGTTTTGGAAGAGCTGTAGTAGGTAGTCGCCACTTAGAGATAGCGCTGGAGTTCTAAGGTTACTTTAGGTAGGTGGGTACCAACTTCTGCGTATGCAGTCTAATGTGGTTACGATACATGTACCCACACTCGGATCAGGTTCTCCCCTGTTTCTCCAAATGTACCTAGAAGAAAGACCAGATCTGTTCGTATTCGTCCCGGCGCCATCAGCACTGCCTCATCACCTCTTATCAAATGCCTAGAGGTGGTATAAATAGTGAAACATTTACATAGAAACTCACATTTTCGTGTTGGTTGTGGTTAACGGTATTTCGATTCAGGCCCTCGTATTCAATATTGAATCAGAGAACCTACGAGATACTTAGTCAGGGATATTCGTACATGTAACAACCGACAGCGCATGTACCAATTCTTCCAGAGCTACGGAACACCTGCAGATCAGGTAGTAGCGCGAATTTATGCGAAGTCAATTCCTGACTCGTGTGGATTACGTATTTATATGAATTTTTCTTCGGGAAAATTCAAGCTGCAATATCGTCTATATTGCACGTCGTCAGCGTACAATTGCTCATCACCGTTGAAATATGAGCACAACGTCTGGACCCATGTAGATGTTCGGAATATATACGAAGTTTGATCTGAGCGAACTAACGAATAAGAAGTGATTTCATTGCCGCATGGTCAATTGAAGCGGTGAGATGCAAGATGCAGTAGCTACCAACCATGTTAAAGAAGTCAGTTTTAGAGGACGGGAAGTTAAAAACGAAGATTCTAGGCGGTAAAAAGCTCAATTTACACAGAGGTCTACCACTAAACATGGATGTACTATGCAAAGCTGAAGCTGCTAACTGTACCCATTAGCGCCCCCCGGTCAAGGTACCTTCCCCCCCTAACCCCCCACACCATCATCAGCTCTAGGACTCCCCTTGTCGCTGCCCCTCAGCCCCTCATACCAATCATCATATCCTATTTAGCTCCCGTCCCCTGACTCTCTCGTCTCTTCTCAATTTTATAGCCTATTCCGCCTCTTTAAAAGGTCAGCTTTGGAAGCAAAAACTCTGAGCTTCCTTGAAATCTTGGATTGGTGATTTATCTTTCCCAATTCCTTCTCCAATTTCCAATAGCAGTGCCTTGTAGCATCCCTTGTTACCCAACGACATATCCATTGACATCACAATGCCTGGATTTACACCAGCTGAGGTACAAAACCTTAAGGCTCAATACGAAAAAGCCGGTCAAGGCCATGTATTTACCTTCTTCGATTCCCTAAGCGAAACCGAACAGAAGACTTTCTTCGAACAGCTCCAGAAGATCGACCCCGCTAGAGTCATCCGACTACGAGAACTTGCTCTAAACCCACCGAAAGAAGAAGGCCAAGCCGTCGTCGAACCCCTCCCCGACTCGGCGAATGCTAGCATTATCGATTCGAAGCCCGAAGATATTGAAAGATGGTATAATCTTGGTCTAGAGCTAATTGGGAAGGGTGAGGTTGCGGTAGTTTTGTTAGCCGGTGGTCAGGGTACTCGTTTGGGAAGCAAAGCTCCCAAGGGTGCCTTTGACATCAAACTCCCCTCCCACAAATCGCTATTCCAAATCCAGGCTGAAAGGATCCAAAAGATTCAAAAGTTGGCTGCTGAGCGAGCAGCAGACCCCAGCAAGGCTGTCATCCCATGGTTTATCATGACCAGTGGCCCAACACGCGGGCCCACCGAGAAGTTCTTCAAGAAGGAGAAACTTGACGAGCTGAGCGCTGAAGAGAACGCCAACCGAGCAAAGGGTGACGCTTACTTTGGCCTAGACCCAAAGAACGTTACAATCTTTGAGCAGGGTGTGCTCCCCTGCATCACGAACGATGGCAAATTCATGCTAGCTAGCAAGGGCAAGGTTGCAGTAGCCCCAGATGGTAACGGTGGTCTATACAAGGCTCTACAGGATGAGGGTGTTCTCGACAAGATGCGCCCCAACATCAAGCACATTCACGCTTACTGTGTTGATAACTGCTTGGCCAAGGTGGCTGATCCAGTCTTCATTGGTTTTGCTGCTGAGAAGAAGGTCAAGATTGCTACCAAGGTTGTACGAAAGCGTGATGCTAAGGAGTCGGTTGGTCTCATTCTCCAAAAGAATGGCAAGCCCGACGTAGTGGAGTATTCCGAGATTGACGATGCCACTCGTCACGCTACGGATCCTAAGCAGCCCAACCTTCTCAAATTCCGTGCCGCCAACATCGTCAATCACTACTACTCATTTGACTACCTAGACGGCCTAGGAGATGCTGTGAACCAGCTCCCACCACATGTTGCCCGGAAGAAGATCCCCTTCTTCGATACCGAAAAGGGCGAAGCAGTTGACCCTAAGACTCCGAATGGTATCAAGCTCGAACAATTCGTCTTCGACAACTTCAAGTGGTTGAACCTAAACGAATTTGCTTGCTTTGAGGTTAAGCGTGAAGAGGAGTTCTCTCCACTGAAGAACGCAGACCCAGCCCAAAAAGCTGATGGCTCGTTCGAGAAGGAACCTGAGGACAGCCCCACCACCAGCCGTAGGCATATTAAGGAACAAGGTCGACGATGGGTGGAAGCCGCTGGTGCTACTGTCAAGAACGGAGATGTTGATGGAGGCCTTGAGGTTTCACCACTCACAAGCTATGTAAGTTTCCGTCCAAATTGACGATTTGATGACTTACTAATCATGTCTACACAGGGTGGCGAGGGTCTAGAAAGTTTCAAGGGACAAACGATTGATAAGTCTTCTATTTAAGCAACGAGGGTAATGATATGGTAGAGAAATGAACATGGGCGGAGCTTAAATACACGAAATTACAATATCGCCGATTACACCAGTCCAGTCGCTATATGCGACTGTATTTCAAAAGTTTAGCCATAAAGAAATGAATGAGACAACGAATATTAAGTAACGCAGTTCTCGAATACCAATGGTCCGGGATGTTGTATGTCAGTAACCCGCGGAAATCCCCCCCAGGACTATGATGACAAAGGGAGAAAATACAGCCCTACCAAACCAAAATCATCCTCTCATAAGAGTAAACATTATACATCGCAGGCCTACGCGATCACAAGAGATTCTATGAGTTAGATTGTCTTCTTTTTCAAGACTAAATACCAACGAATTTTAACTAGGTAGCGAATCTTGGTACTTCTCTAATTCCTGTTTCGCATACGCCACGGCGTCATAGGTATCCAAATACTGCCTAAAATCCTTCAAACCCGCCTGGGCCTTCAATTCGAAAGGTATTATCCGACTATAATCCCTTATTTTCGTCACTCTCGGCCTCCTTATATGCTCATAGAGCTGCAGCCTGTCTTCCACTTGTGCCAAGCTAATGTCGGATGGGAATAATACAGCCAAAGTCGCGGCGTCTTCGATTGACATTGACGCCCCTGAGAACCCAAATGGTAACACTGGGTGACACGCATCCCCTATAATCACTACGCGGCCCGCGCTCCAACGAGGAATGTCGCCCATGTCCATAAGCTTCCAGACTCGGAAGCCACCGGGATCAGCAAGTTCGAGTAAACGCACCACGACTCTATCGAAATCCTTGTATATATCTCGTGCGGTTTCCAACGAGATCTTCTGGTTATACGCTGTTTATATAATTATTAGTTATGCTCATTAATGCAGGTTTTATAGCTCATTTCTCACATGTCTTTTCACCATCATTGCCTGAAGAAGCTTGCCGATCCGACAATTCTTCGGGGTGGATACAAACTATGTTGAGTAATCTACCTTCGTCCACGACATAACCGATAATCAACTGCTTATTGTCGCGCCATGCAGCCATGCGGAGTTCATCATTCACCATATTCGAAGTGATAGGATCGTTCTTGATAGCTTCAATTGGAATTACAGCTCTTAGGCAGTTATGCCTTGTCGACGCTCTGGGGAAGTGTACGCTACTATCGATAACTTGTGGCCTGACACGGGACTTTATATATTGGAAACTGTGTTATTAGATGTTATGTTGGGGAGCCATTCTTACTTACATGTACGCCATCTGCGCCGATAATTAGGTCCACGATAGACGTGGACCCGTCGGTGAAGTTGATCGCGCATCGAGAAACATCGACTGATACCACCTCAACTCCCATTTTTATATGAGCACCATTACGCTCGGCCTCGTCGATAAGTTGTTTCTGGATAGCAGGCTAAAACACGCCAAATCAGAATCCAATACCATAATCTCCTTATTCCCTCCCCGAGACAATAAGCGGGCGTATACATACTCTGTAAGCAAAGAGAGACATCCCCTTCTCAGCCACCTTCGGATCCTGGTTCTCTCGGAACTCTTTCATTACCTCGCCTTTGCTATTCATCATCCGCACTAAATCGGCTACCACGGCTCCACTAGCTAAGGCATCGATACCCATAAATTTGAGACATCGTTCAGAGTTGGGCGTAATGCGGAAGGCAAAGCCTATGCCTCCTATCGAAGCGTCTCTTTCATAGAGAGTCACATTGTGACCGTTACGCGCAAGACCGATTGCTGCTGCCGGTCCACCTACCCCAGCCCCTATTATGGCTATGTTTAACGGTGCCATGGTGAGTAACGATCACACATCATAATATAACAGAAAAAGTAGATAATTATTAAAAACATGATAGTAGTTATGTAGGTCGCATCCTACCTCAAGTTGGGTATAGCAGATCACGCACGGGGTAACATCAAGGATCTCGGTGTGATCGGTACTAGACGAAGTCCGAATTTCACCGAATCTAATTGGTGACCGTAACATGATCCTCTGAAGAATATACTATCTCTAACCAACGTCAATTATGGGGTTTATGTGACAAGTAACAAATACTCACGTTTTCTTCATATCTACCAACTAGATAAGAACTAATACTCGAAAAACAGGTAAGCACTAAGTGGACTGTCGATTATCTAGTGTGTATCTAAACATATGACACTTTGGGGGTACCTAAGTAGCTACCTGTGCATAGTTACATGTATTAAAGTCGCGCAGCCGTAGCGAAAGCATGAAGATATAGTGCAATACGTTCTTAATCAGCAAATTCCCGAATATTCAAGAAACTGGAGCCTGAAAAGGGGTTTATGTTTGCTTAAAGTTTGCTAGTCTCTTCAAGTACTACTATTTCATCCGAACTTCCAGAGAATTGGAATCATCCCAAATTTAACCATATCAATTCATATATAAGAAAAACTAGAATCGTGAGGAGGATATGAAAAGGAGGAAAGTGACGATGAGGAATATGTTTATATGCGGTATGGATGATTACCAATTACTTCATTAAGGGAAAAAGAGCTGACTAGATGAATGATTTTAGGGTTAGATGGAAAGTCGCCGGAAACTTTTCCTATTGGCGTGTATAGGCAAGAAACGGGTATAAATGTTACGTTTTGGATCTGATATAAGAATAGAATTTAATAGCCGCACGCTTGCAATTCGCAGGGAAATTTAGAGTTTTAGGGGTCTAGTGGAAGCCCACATAAAAACTTGCAACAAAGCACCACTGAGGAGAAACCTCCAAATTCATAAAATTCATATTCGGTACCCTTTCCCTTCAATAACGGCATCGAAACGCAACCATGCTTCGCTGGTATGTAGGATGAATGTCACCATACTCTATTTATGATATATTAAATGCCTTCAGATTGATTGATGGCATTTTGTATGTTATAAATTATAAATATGCGTGTGGATTACTGATGGGGTGTTGTCTCGTAGGTACCAACGAAAGCTGGCCTCGAGGCCCTTATTGACGCAGAGCGTCACCACCGCTGTGCTTTTCGCCGTCGGCGACATCACGGCGCAACAGGCCGTCGAGAAGAAGGGTCTTGAAAAGCACGAGCTTGCCCGAACTGGACGAATGTTTTTATATGGTGGCGGTATGTTTTTATTTGTTATTTGCCTATTATCACAATAACATCACCAAGCTTCACAATTTTTTTTTCTCTCGAGCTCACCGTTCTTACCTCACCTACCACGGCCAACTCACTTCACACCTCTCTACTGCTACCCCACATCAAATGGGTCTTGTCCTCTCAATTCCCTCACCCCTATCTTTCTATCTTTTCCCCTCACCCCAACAACTAACCAGTACAACTCCACTATATCCATAAATTTATTGGAATAAAATTGAAGAAGAAAAAACCAAGTCACGAGAATTGAAAAAATAAAGACCCACACAAGCTAATTTCCCACTCTAGCTATCTTTGGACCCGCAGCCACAACTTGGTATGGGATCTTACAGCGGTCAGTGGTGTTGCGCAATAAGAAGGCCGAGATGCTGGCACGTGTAGCAGCTGACCAGTTGATATTCGCGCCTACCTTCATCGGTATCTTCTTGTCCAGTATGGCCGTGATGGAAGGTGGTTCACCTAAGGAGAAGTTGGCCAAGAGCTATGCTCCCGCTCTCCAGACTAATTACCTCATCTGGCCCTTCGTCCAGATGGGTAATTTCACTCTGGTCCCTCTTGAGTACCGAGTGCTCGTCGTCAATATCGTCAGTATTGGCTGGAACTGCTACCTTAGCATGATCAACAGCCAGAAATGAGCGAGCTAGGATTCGACCTAGGTTTTTTTCTTCGCCGGCTTGGTTCCAGATGAGATTATCCCGGAGCCCTTTGTACTACCACCGAGGATCGGAATGGCGATGGGACTACAGAACTAGATGCGACACCATCCAATACCTTAGAGGTTCAGGGGTTGTGTAATCTATATATCCCGGGATTCGAAGAGCGCGATAGGGGACCACTTTTGGCGGTGATAGACAAGGCGTTGGTGGCCGAGACACTTCCAACCGATTTATCACTACTCGGAAACGATCTCCCTAGACCACCTTGGATAATTTCTTTTTCTTCGATCATTCGATTCACAGCTGAGTTATACAGTATAGACAGAGGATTCGGCCTAGAGAAACAGAGGAACGGGATTATCCACATTCTTAGAAGAATTTACATATAAAACATAATTCATTCAGATATTCGTATCTGAAGTCCACCGAGTTCCAAAGTACATCGGCTTGTCGTAAAAATAAATACTGGATACGTGCCATGAAATGAATAAAAGGGTAAAAAGGGCACGTTCCGAATCCGTCCCAACTTCCAATTGTGGGTTCGGATATCCAAGCAATTGTGTTCGTACAGAATTAGCATTACTTCGTGACATACGTCGAGATCATACGATGCCTTCTACTGGGCATCTCAGTCTGAGTAGTTGCATAGAGGTCATGAGAAGAGGAACTCTTTCAAGATAGGCGACCCCGAGAATTCAGGGTTTAATAATATGCAGCTGTCGTCACTTCATTAGCAACCACTTCGCAATAATATTTAGCGATCGATACAACCTACTTTAGGAAATACTGCAGGCCAGCCCGGCGCTTCTCCAAAAACCTAGGTCTAAACTTCGACACGATGCTCTTAGGCGGTAATTCAGGCACAGCCGCCTCGAAATTCGGGAACGTGCGTATCAGTCGCCATCGGAAATCGTCGAACTCTGAGTATCGTTTCCGTATGTTCATATAGCTGCCCTATACCTTTTTATTAGTACGTGCGCTCTCTCCCCTCTCCCTCCAATCCCAATACAAAGAAAGTGAAACTCACACTCAACGTCTCAACCCTAATATTCCACACTATAAAAGCCCCAATATTCGTCGCACTCCCATTAACCGTAACATGATCCGTAATCTCCACACTCTTAGCCCAGCACGCACTACCGCGCTCATCAAGACTACTATTCTCGTTATCGCGCAGCGTGATGCCGCCGAAAGGTATAGATTCCACAGATGTACTCGAGGCTACTCGCGTGTGGCCTGGGTTATGCGTCCAGTATGGCGGGGATGTTACTGGTGAAATTACGTCCTCGGATTCTTGTTCTGTATCTTGGTTTCGCGCATCGGCTTGGTCGTCCTCTTGTTCCGTTCTTCGCGTCTGTTCGTTACCACCTGCGTTATCAGGAGCAGTATTTGGTTCCATTAAGCCGTCTGACGGCGCGTCGTCCTCGCGCTTCGTTTCCTGGTTGCGTATTTGCGAGATCACATCTGAGATCCCTCGCCATTGGTCGCTTTCGCTCTCGTTGTCTGACTCGGTTGCTGGTGGGGAGGGAGGCGCGTTTAAGTATGAAGTCGCTTGTGATAGGTTCTTGCGCGCTACGCTTTTGTCTAGAGGGTTGCTACTAAGGAGGGCGCTTGGGAGTTGGGTTTCTACTGCGGATGCCATGTCGTGGTTGTCGCGGGCTTTTTGGTGATACGTTGGAGGAGTGTCTACTCTCGCAAAAAACTACATGCGGTTATCCGCGAGTCGGATGTCGCAATACTAGGGCTATCGTCTAAGATTGGCGAGAGGGGGGAAGAGGATTGAATGGAATTGAGAAGCGCAAGAAGTGTAAATATTTCAAGATTACGAGTTGGTTAGGCGCTTAGGGAAAATTGAAGATTAAAGAGTCGAGTCGGGGTAGTTGTAGGTACGTATCCCCTGTGAATTCGCATTCAATTACCCTTTGCTAGGATCTCATGGCGCTAGACGTGGGGGAAGAACAACAGCCCACGTCACGCTCGGGGCTCGGCACTTATAATCATTAGGGGATCTCGTTCGCAATGGCAACCGCAAACGACTTTGTTAGCGATTATACTTTTAATTTTTGAGACAATCTTCTTTCACCAATTGTATCGTATGAAGCTAGTAAAATTATTAATGATATAACTCGTCTTGAGGATTCGTCATGATAATAGATACTTCCTACCTAGGTGGGATACCTATGGAAGCACCACTAAGACGAACGTTAGAATTATTCCACTACAGCATTCGATTTACACCATTGCCGTCAAGTCAACTGTGAACCTACTCTCGGGTACGGCAGCTGCATGACCTAAATACCACCTGGAACCCAGAGACGAATAGCTTATTCGTATAGCTAAGTACTATTCGATCCTGTGTACCTAGGTAGGATGGGAAACTTATTTACATTCCACATCGTATTGGTATCGTCAACGTGAAGACCCTGAAGTGGATTGTATTGAGTGAGTGTTTGGTGTTTTGATAAGAACAGGAACAGTTGTTCTTAAAAGAAATACTAGTTTGGTCACCAATTGAGGCCCTAGTTGGTTCTTGAAACGGAGTCTGAATCTTTATACCAATTGAATGTTCCATAGGTAGAGTAAAAATGCTGAGGATACCTAGAGTATAATAGTTAGAGCTTCGCAATTGATACCGTCCTAGGCCTCTTATCACATATCAACAAACTACACATACATTATTGATACAAAACGAAGAAACAATCGAACTGATAAATACAGAAAAGGGAGTAGCGAGAATGATGTTGCGTTGGATTACCGAAATAAGAAGTTGAATATGCTGCAGGGAACATCTTACGTATGTCGATCCGTCAGGCTGGGGCTACGTTGCATGAGCCCCTAAATTGTAGGCTCACAGGTCGATAGGATGGTATTGTTTTTCGAATAAAACATCGTGAGGATGAATAAAGACGAGGCGGTCAAGCCGTGTCTTATCTATGTATATGGATAGATGCAGATATGATGCTCTTCAGAGGCAGAGAGTGTGGAGTTACGGAGATCTTATAGTCGGTAGAAGTACGGCGTAGTGTCGGTTGCGGGTGAAGTTCAGGGTCCTCCGCAACATCGGCGTTACTCCGTTGTACTGTGCAAGCACCCACATGTGGTGCTTCCTCATCCTGGTGTATAATCCGGGGCACGACATTCCTTTTTCTGGTCGGGCGTTTGAACATCTTCGAGATGCTGTGCTGGGTGAATCCACTGAGGGGCTGGAGACCTACATATCTCCATGCCCAACTGGAAATCTGTACTACACAGTACATCCAAGTTTCCAATTGAATCGGGAAGCCTGCTGCATCTTATATGAGATATACGCAGTAACACCCTCAACGCCTAGCCTTGTGTACCTAGATAAATAGCAGGCTGTTAAGCTTATTAGACATCATTGCTCTATACTTGTGGTTACCATGGGAATTCCCGCTGTTCGTCTAGAAATTAAGAGACAGAAATAATATGTCTTATACGGGAGCGGAAGTGATTTGTTCGTTGCGGGGTCAAGTCGGCAGCATATCTATGGTTGATATCAAGTCGTTGGAATCCGGCATATTCTCATGATTTTATTTTAGCATCATTGTACGCACAGTGTGTCTTTTTCCAAGACCCAAGCGCCTCTTCAATGCTCCAATACCATCCCCATATCAGCGGAGAGATGCAACCGACTCAGTTCGTAAAGAGCATGCATGATAAAATCGCCGCTCAAACCCCCCATACCATCGCTTCTAAGCGAAGCTGGGGATGCGTGATAGGTTGCATGTGTTATCACCTTGAACCGCTTCAAAACCTGCAGTCCAACCTTTCGTACGTGCAATACGAGAATTGTCGCCTCAAGCTAGTTTGAATAAAAAAAAAAAAAGCGCGGAGGTACAAGGACGGCAAAAGGGAAAAAAGGGAAAAAGACTAAAATCGCTTTCCCCAAATGGCATCTGATCCTTTTCTTATCCAATAAAATTGCTCGCACTACGCCGAACTTTAATACTCCACAGTTTGTACATCAGTGCCAGGTTAGGTATTGTGGATTGCTGTAGGTTCTTACATGCATTTTATCTTTACATTTCTATGTACTTGTTACTAGGTAGATTCCAACAGCACCTAATACAACATATACCTAATAAAATAAGTTACCTAGGTATGTATGCTTACAATTCAAGAGTATGCCCGAAGTTTCGATATTGGATGACGCTTTCAACTTTATGGATATCGGACGATGAGTGCAGATGATCAGCGCTGACCTTACCATACTCTATTCCTATGTACATATTATGTATGTCCAAATAGAAGAGAGAGTAAAACACTGCAAATCCTATTGGGGTTGGTGACTTCGAATGGTACGCTGCTGAGGCTCTGAAACGAGACCGGGGGGCCTTGCCGGGTGAGACCTATTCCGGATAAGGGCGCAAGGGGAGCTGGGAAAGTGGCATTGATTTTGATTGATTTGATTGAATGAATTATTATGAGAGATCGACCGCTCGAGAACCCTCGGATCCAAAATCACGAAGCTACTAGTTAATTCACTACGATAAGCAAGCCTACGCCACGCGGACATGAAGAAAGTCGTCTTTAATAATCCCCCAAGCCTACATATGTAAAGCCAAGGTTTTTCTCGGGTTATTTAGGTTTTAACGGGACGGCCTCGTATGCAAAAGAAACGAAATCAATGACAACATGACAGGGGATAAGAGTCTTTTCGCCTTTCGTCTTTTTACTGACTTGCATCGCTATGGTTGACTTACACACGGACTGGTACAAATAGGTAGGTCGATAGCTCAGTACAGTACCTAGGTAGCTGTCAATTCAATGATCCCTGTCGGAAGCAGCTAAAAAATAAGCCACTAATAACCTGGATGAGGTTGGAGTAGCGTAGATAGATAGCGCTGAGGCCACCACCGGACAGGGAATATCTCCTTTTAATTTTTCATTGAATGCCCAGGTGTAGTCCAGTGTAGTTAATGTACCCCATACAGTACAATATGTAGGATACGCACCCCCCGGTTCTCTCCATCTCTCATCCTGGAGCTCTACCATATCTTCTTCTTTACCCTCAACATTCCACTCGTTCCCCCTTCGTATCCCAGGGCCGTTCCTCTCGTTTTTAAAGTCGGTCGTCGGTCTATCAGTTTGTTCTTTGTTTTTTTTTTTTTTTTTCCTAATACCTTTTTTTTTATTATTTATACCTAATAATTCTTCCTGTTTGTATATTGGATTTAATACCACACAGTCGCTTTTAAAATAAAAATATTTTTAATCACAACCCGATCTCGACCGGATCTTAAACCCAGGCCCTAATTACAAATACGAACATAATGCCCTCGATAAGGAACATCTTGGCTTCGGCCGTGGTTTTCGTCTCGTCCGTTCGAGCTGACTATGTCATTGACCCTAGCAGTGTGTCGTTGACTGATAGGAGTATGTCCTCTTCATACTTGTCTATCGTGTCCCGACAGTGACACTAACGCGATATCTAGCAAATTGGTGTAATTCTGAAAAGAGCACATGTCCTTTGATCTGCCAACAGACAACTCCGGGGACTACCTTAGTCAACGACTGTGATCCGGTAGGTTCTCTTCGTAGGACGGCGTCGACGATGTGTCAATAACTGATGTTTTGACTCGATAGAAAACCCTAACCTACGGCTGCGTGTGCGGAGACAACAAACAACCTAACGTTTCCGAATACTCTCTCACTTTGCCTTACTTCGTCTGCCAAGAATGGGGTGACCAGTGTGTCACCGCGTGCGGACAGGATAACACCTGCTCCAGCGCCTGCCGAGAGGACCACCCCTGTGGTGCCTCGAACCCGACAAGAGTCAACAGCACATCCTCGAGCTCAACCCCCTCAGCTACTAAGAGCGGTTCCGAAGCTACCGACTCTAACGCCATATACACTGGTCTGGCGGGTAGTGATGATGGTTCAGGCTCATCGGGTAACGGCAACGCCGGGCACCGTGCCGTCGGAGCCGAAGGCATGGTTGGCTTCGTCGTTCTCGCTGCCAGTGTTTCCTTAGGTGTCTTCCTGTTATAAGGAATGACAATATGAACCCAATCACTTGGGTTTTTTGCTAGCGACATTTGAAGTTTTCATATTACAAGCGACACCGGTGTATCTTCGACGACATTGAAGATGTTTGCTGTTATTGGATTAACAGACCAACTCATTAAGGTGCCCGGGGGGCATCACACGAGCCTCACCCTTGTGTAAGGGTGAATACTCGAGTCACATGGTCGGAATGGTCTCACCAGACCCGTACGACGTGCTGACATAATATCATATTTGGGAGCTTAACAGATTAAAAGCTTGGGGAAATACAGCAAATCAAATAATGGGAGCGTAGAGGAGGGATTCAGGTACAAATTTTTGCTATACAGCAAATTATTTAACAACAATATTCCATCGTGGAATAACTTAAGCATCAATATGCTTAAAATTAATAATTGAGATTTAAAGGTCTTGATGTTTTACCCGAGACTGGATTCAAACAATGATCGAGAATCCTTCAAGATTTATAGTAGTCGTGACGCCATTGTGCAGTGCTTATCATTAAGTCATAGTGGATAGCGCTGGAGAGCTCCCCTAGAGCTTCCAGTCAGCCAGTTACACAATCTGATTGTGGTAGTATACATAGGTACCTAGGACCTACCTAAATTCACATGTCAACTGTCAAATTAGCTGTTCAGTTAATCGAGCTTGACAATTAAATCAACCAACGATAATTCTCCTTGCTCTATTTTTATTTCTCCAAGATTTGTTCCTGACCAGTACATGAATCGACAGGGCTTTAAATGGAACATATCAAAGGAGAAAAAAAAAGGGGGTGTCAAGAAAGCAGGCAATTTGATTCGTGATCTACAACCCACGTTCTGGGACACGGCACGCTATTTGCATGTGGGACTAAACTGTAAACAAGAAAAAGGAAAAAGAAAGTTCAAGTATCAATCTCGGCCCCACCATCTAAACCCATCGCATTCTACCACTTACAATTCACACCGACTTGCCGACCTTTCCTTTCTCCTATACACTAGCTACAACTACTACGCGTACAACCTTTTTTTTTTTTTTTTTATGACACGGTTGTATTAATTTTCTTTACATCTTCTGCTCTGGGAGCCTCACTTAGGTAAATAAAGATTGTGTATCCCATGGATTCAACCAGCAGCTAGCTGCCGTGGAAAGTATATTTCTTTCCCTCTTAGGTTATCCAGTTAATACGAGAAACCGGTTTTCGCGAAGAGTTGTTCCGAGGTATTCTACCGCTCTTCGTTAACACCACGTTACGCTTCTCTTCGGTTTTCAACCTAGTTCAGATCGTTACCAGCTTCGACTTCGATCACCGGCATATTACGACTTTCGATCAAGTGGAGAGAACCGGCCCGCTACGATGGCACCGAATAATAGCAGTATGTAGAACCTTGGCAACTCCTATGCCGCCGAAAAGGAACCATATAGCTCTAACATAGTACCAAAATATAGAAAAGGCTGCTGCCGAATGTATCTCGGACGATGCTCTCATCCACCTTAAATCCTACAAATACTCGTCTGTCGACAAGTCGCCCGTATCATACTATATCCTTCGTCCATACGTACGTCCTTAACTCCTCGTAGCCGCCGTAACGTCGCATAGTGCTAAGAGATATCTGCTTAGTGGAATGCCTTCGTCGAGCTTATGCCGTTATGGCTCGCACCCAACATGGTGACCCTGATCGGGTTCGGCTTCATTCTAGTTAATATTGCGCTACTAGTTATAGTAATGCCAGATCTAGTAGGACCGGTATGCTACCACACACGACCCTCGTGATCGCAACTCCACTAACGACTGTATGATCGATCTTAGGGTCCCTCATGGCTATACCTTAGCTTTGCCTTTGGTCTGTTTATGTACCAGACTATGGACAACATCGACGGAAAACAAGCGAGACGAACGGGCACATCGAGCGGTTTGGGCGAGCTCTTCGACCACGGTATCGACTCCCTAAACTGTACCCTTGGCAGCCTGTTAGAAACAGCCGCGATGGCACTAGGAACTTCGAAATCAGGTGTCTTCACCGCCCTATGCCCCTGCCTACCCATGTTCTTCTCAACCTGGGAGACCTACCACACGCACACGCTATACCTAGGCTACGTCAACGGACCAACCGAAGGTCTCCTAATCGCCTGCAGTCTCATGGCGCTCTCGGGTATATACGGGCCCGGTATCTGGACCGAGCGCATCGTAGACCTAGTCGGAGCGCACAACCTCTTCGGATACGAACACCTAGTCGGCGACCACTCGATCCGAGATATCTGGATCCTCGTCATCGTGGGCTCATTACTCTTCGGCCACATGCCATTCTGCGTTCTCAACGTCGTCAAAGCCCGGCGCCGGAACAACCTCCCCGTCCTCCCCGTCTTCCTCGAGTGGATACCAATGGGCGTATACACATTCTCAATCGGCGCATGGCTATACTCACCTCACTCCACTCTCCTCCGCGAAAACCACCTCGTCCTATTCTGCCTAACCATGTCCCTAGTCTTCGGCCGCATGACCACGAAAATGATTCTCGCGCACTTAACCCGCCAGCCCTTTCCCTACTGGACCGTCATGCTAGTCCCCCTCGTAGGCGGCGCAATCCTAGGAAACCTGCCGAGATTTGGTCTGCCTGCGGTAACGGCGCAGGTCGAGCACTTGTACCTATGGGCGTACTTCGTCTTCGCGTTTATCGTGTACTCCCGTTGGGCGTACCTCGTTACCACGAGTATATGTAATTACCTCGGCATCAATTGTCTGACGATCCCGTATGAGAAGCAGATGGAGAATAAGCGGAAATTAGAACAGGAACGGGCGGCGGCGAATGGGAAGAAAGCGCAGTAAAGGAAAAGGAAGAGCTTAAGGCCGAGGCGGGTACGATTCTGGAAAGTGGAATGTTCCCTCTCCTTTATTCTGGAGAATGGCTTTTCGAATGGCCTAACCCTCCGTATACTGTTTTTAATAGTGAAGACCGTGGTTAGATAACCGGCCTTCTTGTACGTATTTGCATTGCATCGCATTGGCTTGGCTTGGCTATTACAGCTATGAGCGGGCTACCTACCCGAACTAATTAGAGGATGGGAAAATCGTGGATGTTGGAGGACTATTAGGTATCTCCTCTCAGAGCGCGGCATCAGCAGCGCTTCAGTACATATAGAAAGCGCTCAAGCGTGTTATGAATGAATGAGTGGACGTAGCAGCATTGGAGGTGCTGGTAGCGAAGCATACCGAATAAAGAATATCAAATAAAATAACTCGCAGAAGAAAATAGTGACTATTTTTTCGGATTTAGTTAATTAATCAAGAAGAAAGGGAATAGAAATGAATACGAAGGTAGGACAACAGCCGGTTGAGACAAGTCTCAGAGCGAGGGATTGGTCAAGTATCTTCAGTGTAAACGCTGTGTTCCTATGATTCTAGTTCGATTTCAGCACTATTGAACCGGAATTAAAGCTATATCGTAATCATTGATATACCTCATCAGATTCAATTAAATTCCTGAAGCAAGGTAAAATGAGGTATCAAAATTAGTAACTTGCGTATACGCATAATCACAGCTAGTCACAGAGACGGAAAAAGCACCCGGCCATGGGGAAGCAAGTCCGGAAGGAATTATGTGCTTAAATCTCATGTTGTACATTTCTTTTCATCATCTCTCATTTTATCTACCTCCCTATTTACTTTCTTCCTAGCCATTCCAGATGCCGAGATCATGAAGGGACCAAATGATACGTCTAGATTAGCAAATAGTCTCATGTAGACACAACTGGCGTCCTTCCTTGGCCTTTAGTTAGGCATAACAACCAATCTCCATTAATTGATGGAATAAGGCATGTAATCGCTACTTCCACCTCTTCCGCTTATCGTTCTCCGGCCAGTCGACGGCTTTGGACCTCACCAAGGGCCTTAGCACCGCTCAAGAAAGCGACGACGGAAACAACGCCGACGGCGGGTAGGGTCTGGAATAGGTTCCAGGAAGAGTAGTATAGGAAGAAAACACCTTCCATGGCGACGATAGAGCCGAAGAAGGCAGCGTGGGCGAGAGGAGCAGTACCCAGAGCCTTGGGGAGGTGTGATACGTTGGCACCAAGAACGATCCACTGTAAATAAGTTAGCTAGTGATCTATGTACTGCTTATTCTTGTGGTATAAATCCAAAGGGGGAAACGTACGGCAATGAACAGAGCTGGGACAGTAGCCAGTACGGCCAAGACGAAGACGAGGGACACGATCTTGGGGGGGCTCGTGGGGTCGGAACGGAAGATGTGGTGGATCTCAGGTAGCTTTCCGTAGCGGAGGGGCTTCTCGTAGACGATGGGTGCGGCGGCCGGATCACGCGTGAGCTGTACGTCGAATACAATCGTGGATAAACCCTTGGAAGAGCCGAATGAGGCGATTATCAGAGAGGCCTCGAGGGGCGCGGTCTCAATGGCGAGTTGGACGGGTAGGTCGCTATGTTTCTACACGGGATTCTGTCAGAATAGTAATCCTAGGCAAAGTGTGAGAAACAAGGGCTAGCATACAATCTCAACAACAGCCTTCCCATTGTCCTTCACCGTCAAGGGGAATGGAGCCTCGAGACCGGAAGCGAGTTCTCGTAGAACTAGGAATGCCTGGTGTGGTCGCTTGCCCTTGCCGTTCTCCTTCGCTGTCAGCACGAGCTTGAGGCTATCGGAACTATCGAGGGTGATGGGCGACTTGGGGAGCTCGGACTTGTCGTCAAAACTATAAGTATATATGTATTAGAATTGGTCCTTTTCCTCCTATTTTTTATTTCCTAGACACATACTGTCGAATGAACTTCTCCTTAGTACCAGCGCCAGCTTTCTTGGAATTGACAGTGAGCTTAGCATCGTCAAAACTCCACGACGAAGCTGCCTGAGCCGCGCCGGCAGCCAGTAGCATAAGGGGTGCTACGAAAGAGCTGTAAAATCGCATTGTCGGTATTGTTGTAATGCAATGGCAGCTTGAGAGTGAATCAAGATGTTGCTGCGACTTGCTTAATTGAGCTTCAACATTGAATTGAACAGAACACCCGTTCCACTTTTTTTCAGTTGACCCGTTGTTAGGTTAGGTACTGCGTCGTTATGGCTGACGTGGTTTGATAATTAAGTCCTTTATCGATAAGTCTAGGTACCCACTCACCCGGCGTTAACATGCGTCCCCTGAATTGTTAGCGACAACCTTAAAGCCTGTAGCTGCTAGCCCATTATAAATACGCTATAACAAATCAAGTGTCATAGTTCCTAGAATTTATCAAAGGGAAGAAAAATAACGTGGTAAAGGCCGATACCGAGTTGCACATATCACATACATAATAGACAAAATATATAGGGACTTAATTTTATTTGCTAGTCTACTAGGTATTTAGACATGGTAGCTAAGCATCCCAAGCTGAATTGGTATCATAGCTCCGATCTATCTCTTGTCGCCTCGGGTTTTTTCGATGAGGGCGGTTGGCTCATAAACTGATTCAACTCCATCCACCCAGCAGCGAATGCGGTAACGATCTTGGCCCAATCATCCACAGTCGGGATATCCAAGTGCTCACCATCATCTTCCATTTTATGCCACACATCCGGGAATGGCGTAGCAATGATATGAAGGACATTGACACCTCGATCCATGAAGGGAATATGATCATCCAACACAAAAGCTCTTGTAAATCGCTGTGCCTGCTTTTCAGAATCTGGAAGGAATGGTTTCTTAGGTTTTGTATGAAGAAGGCTAAGTTTCCTCAGTCTTTCTTCGATCTTGGCCATGCCTTGATAGGCCCAGTGCGTTGGGAGGAAATACGAGGGGATATTGGGGTCTGGCGCTCCCAGCAGATCCAAAAGCAGGAAGAGATTGATTGAATCCACGGGGTTTCGGTATGTTGAAGTAGCTGGGTGCAATTCCGTGTCCCAGCTCTCAGCAAGTGCTCTTGAACCGTAGAGGGAGTCTGTGGCAGTCCACTCAACCCAAGCTTCCTCCCCATCTAGTAGCAAGATTTGAACACCCTTCTCCTCTTCTAATCCCAACCCAGCATCACCTGAAGCTTCCATAGCATCCCACTTCTTCGTCAGGGCCTCGTCTATTGCACGCGCCACCTGCATCAGTATGGCGCAAGGTGCAGCACTATCCGTCGCTCCAATGAACCCCTCTGGTCGATAAAGACTATCGTAATGCGCGGCCAGCGTCAATCGCCCGATATCGCCAGCCTGAGCCCATGGCGGATCGCGCGTAAATATGAGGTTCTTAAAGGGAATGTCCGTATCGCCCGTTGCAGGGGTCTTCGACGTCGAATTATGCCATTCAATCTTCCACTTCGGTAGTTGTCGCGCGAAGAAATCGACAAAATGATGCTGCGCAGCAGTCGACCCAGGTGTACCAGGTACCCTCGGTATCAGGATAGGCGACAGCAACGAACCGGTCTTAATATCGAAATCGGCGATAGCACTAGGAATATTACGAAGCGCATCATCGGACAATTCTTCGTATGCGAACACGTGGACCGAGAAAAGGAATACAAACAATGCAATCGACCCAATGCGAGCCCATTGAAGGGATGTCCTCATATATTCCATCCCAGCTTGTAATACCAACACATATGGGCGTGTGGTGTCGACATCAAGCTACCTTAATTCGAAGACGTGTTCAAAAAATAAAAACAAAAAATAAAATAAAAGATAAGAATGCCAAGATTGGAAAGGGACAAGTTTGTCTCCCCGGATTAGCTACCCGCGGCTAAATCCCCCTAGTACCTAATGGGGTTGTGGCTAGACGCAGGTAGCCGCCGTTTGCAGAACTAGCAGATGTCATGCGTCGGAAGTTCCCGCTGAGGCTGAAGTTGCATCTTTAGAAGTACCTAAGTACCGCCACCATAGTATCAATCAGGGGAAAGACCGTGGTTTTTGAAGTTTCGAGGATAACCAAGGGAGATATTGATAATTCTCTAAAGTTGAGAATAATAGATATGAATATGGTGTAGTTTAAACTTCTTGACTTCGACGAGGTCTTTTTATTAACCCGGGATTCATGGATATCAATCTTGTTGATTTCGACGACGCCGGGATATCAACATCGTCAATTAGTATACGTAATTATCTACTCCATAAACTCCTATGTTTTTTATTCTTTGGTCTCCCCAGAAGAGGGTCAACTTACCAAGTATAGTCATGATGAGCAATGATATCCCCGATTATCCGAAAACGCATCATCATTCGATCCAAATTGTTCCTATATGCGATAACATTTGCCGTCTTCACACAAGCTTGGAAGGTTCGACCTCATCACTCAGCAAGGGCTAGTTTACTTAACGTTCTGGATGATGAACTCTGAGTCTAGCCATCTCCAGTGAAGGTTTGAGACCTCAAGAGCCGATCCTTCCCTCACGAACGGTACCGAGTCAACCAATCCTAGTTATTAGAATTTGCAAAGGGCCACCTTCTAAAAACTATGTTGCCTAGCAATGTGAACTTAAGGCATAATTGAAGATAGCCCCTGACTTTTTCGGCTTATGGAAGCAGGTCGGGGTTGATGTTCTTCGCTACGAAGCCTAGATAAAGGTTTGCTCGATCGTGGTGTCTAGAACCCTAGTTTGCATTAACTGTTTAAGGAACGTGGAAGAATAGACAGGTGGCGTAACCTAAAATGTCATGCCATCGAACGATGGTGTTGAATATCTGGGCAGGTAGTAAAGGGGTTAACCCAAATGGTCAGGGTCCGAGCATGATACCCTCACGTCAATGATGGCATGATTTCGTAAACAAAACTACCAAATCGCATTAATAGGATCCCATGGTCGCGTGAGAATTCCCGAGAGGGGTTTTGGAGTTTCAGTCGACGCGTCCAACCATCGTCAATGTTCCCCTCCAGAGTTCCATTGCCACTTCCTGTGTAACTATCTTATTGGGACAAAATCAGGCAGCAACACGGCAATAGATGTGTCGAGTGCCATTGAAACTTCGGTCATCTGAGCGATTTAGAATTTTGTCTCCTGAGCGAAACTTTATCAAGCCTTGCTTGTTTCCAAGATTCGATTAAGAAGACCGATCATCGTAGATAAATAAGATTTCCGAATTGAAGGTAGTCGCGAATGCGAAAAGCTTAAGGGTAGAAATATCGTTTTCCCTCCATAGATGGTTGGTTTGATTCCATTTCTCTTATTTCCTTTTTGACTCATAAATCCACCAACTGTTCAACCCTTCAAAGCCTACATACATACACACACAGAGTCGTGCAAATATGCCGATGAATTCATCATTTTGTTATAGGAAGAATAATGAAAAGAAGTCGAGGGATATTAGGGAAACCGAGAGAAAACCGGAATATCTCACGGGTTATCCCTTCAAAATCGAATGTGCGCACCAGGGGTGGACCGGTAACCTGCCTTGTGTCTACGGGCCACACAATGGTTGCTCACATCATAACCCGCTACTCTTGCCAATTGCGTATAACCAACACATTCCGTCAAGCAAGAAACGGTGGATCCTCGAAAGGTGTCCCGGGCCGCCTAACATGGATGATTATGATGAAGTCCAGCAGAGTGAGCGAATATGGTCCAGACTACCTCCCAAACTTGCTACGGTGGACCCACTTGACCCTATTCACCCTTCTATCCGATATGCTCTAGCTTTCTACCATCTCGACTGGATTCGAAGAGCGAGGTACCCACAGGCACAGATGGAGAGAGCACGGAGTCTGGCGTGCCACGCTGTGGTAACAGGGGAAGGAAACCGCCGGCCAGAATTGGCGTATTGGATTGATCCATATTGGCAGGATGGCTCTGTTCTTCTCCGGCAAATTGTGAGGCTCGTCATCGAGCCCAAGAAGGAGAATCGTATCCTAGGACGCGAGTATGTTATGTTGCAATGGCCATGGGGCAAGTGGACTTTTCAGACTTGTCCTCATCACCGGCACCGCTTTCGAATGTGTGAATTTCAAAAGACTCGTGGGCTCGTGAAAGCAACCATGTCATATAAGACTAAAATAAGGATCTCTTCCGGAGTGTGGGCTGGGATACAAACTAACTGGCGGAGTACCTACGGGCCTAGTGAGCGAACATGGAATTGTCGGGACTGTTGCACTGACGGCTTGGTAACTATCGACTTAGTCGAGGACAAGATCGGGGTGTATCTATACACGTGGAAAGACCTTGGAAAGGCAAATGATGCTTATGACAACAAGTGGATCGCGGCACTCCGATCAAACGGTCCCGAGTTCGTAAGGCCCCGGCCGGGAACAGACCGTCAGCCGGTGAGGAGCGCTGTCCAGGCGGCAATAAATGAAATAGAGAGCGATTGGGTTTTGACAGGGAAGTGGTGAGTAGTTTTCGAGGAGCTGGTCAGGTTATATTAATTCTTGCACATTGCAATTCTAGATACCCAAGTAGTTAGTTATTAATTCCATAGGACTCAATGAAGTCTCGCGATTTTATCATCGTAAAATTTCGATATATCAAACTTCAAGCATTAGATATTTCAATGGTAACCCCGGTCTATTAGGAAGGGGGACTTGGGATTTTGTAGGAACTAGGCCGATAAAATTGACGAAATATATTGGATCCTCCCTTACTCAAGGAGAATTTTCGAATTTTTCGTGTTATGGGTTAAATGGGCTTGGCAGGTTGGCTAGTAATACCGGACTTGACGGTGGAAACTCATGCATAAAAATTGAAAAGTTTGCCGATTTCCCGATTTCCTTCCAGCTTCCGGGTACTTACAGGCTCAGTATTAGAACGCCGATGCAGATCAGGCTCTACTCGAGCCCTTTCCCGCCTTGGCTCGAAACGGAAAACGGGTAGCGGTTGTTCTGTACCTTGGTACTATACTAGGCATGACAATAGAACTATTTAATGAAAGAGAGTTAGCGCATTAAGCATCTAGACTTCTAGGATTCCTAAATAGAGGCGAATTCCTTTATATCCTTAGACTAAGAAATATTGCTAGAAGATAAGGGGGACCTCGGAGACATGGAGGTTGGAATGTCTTTTTATGGTGGGGGTTCCGTCGGAGTCGGCATAAGCCTGTAGAAATCCAGGAAAATCAGGGTCCGTAGTAGTACTCCAGGAGCGTCGGATCGAAGACCCTATATATGAAGCAATCTAATTGTCTGAGGCCGATCTCAGCCGTATAAGGGAATCAATACATATGACACGACAACCTTTCGGCAGACGATAGCCTTCTGGGCCACTTTCGGTTATATTGCGGCTCTTGTTCCTCGTGGTATTTGGCGACCCTTTTTGATTCGAGTAAGCGGTTTGTCAGATGATTAAAATGCTACATAGACGATTTAAGGCCGGTGGGATTGTTTCGTTAGCCGTTGAACTTGGTGAAACGAGGGTGGATTGTACAATGGATCGTGTTTGGAATTCTAGAATTTTATGAAAGAAAAAAGAAAAAGTGAATTAAGTTAAATCTTTAAACTCCATATCTAGCCAGGATAGGTTAATGATCAGGTATAGTACGGATACGTACAGTAGCCTCCGCAGATAGAAGGAGATACCGATATAGAACTATAAACGTACCGATTTCTGGTTGTTCCTACCGCCAGTAGAATTGAAAGAGTAGAACAAGAAGGGGTTGGATGCCACATGTACCTTTCAGTAGCGCTGGGTGTAACGTCTACATTAACAAGTCTAACAACCTTGGAAGTCTAGCCAATAGTGGATGCTTGAAAACACCGCCCTTCTGGGCCTATATCCCTGTATCCACGCTGTGATCAGCATATGATTCGTTCCTTTCTAAATTTTCTTTTTCTCTCCAGCCCTCCTTCTAGTCCCTCTTTTTTATCTTTAGGCCTCCCCCCCCCCCTTGTAAGCTGTAAGTAGAGAAGTACCTTCATCCTAATGCGCATCAAGGGCATCAAGGACCCCGAGCATAATCTTACTAAGTGTACTAAAGGTATTGTATGTATCGAATGTATCGTAGGTACCTGACTTGACCTTACGCTGGCTTGTACCCTACCTGCCTAAGATTGATTGACCCGATACCTACGCTGCCTGCGATTGCGACGCTTAGAATTATCCAACTTCCGTATCTCGGTCCGTAGCCGCCTCAGTTTCTCCCCTCTAACACTTTAACACCAAAGAAAAGGCTGACTTTTTACACACTTCATTCATTATCTAACGCCTTTTTACATAGTACGAATCTAGCAAATCTAGACCCCTATTCATACCCTATTCACACTCCCTTTGCCTCTATTTCGGCCGTTGCGACGTAAAAAATCGTATCGTATCGTATCCGAGGCACAGATCCCTTTTTTTTGTTCCTTCATCCCAATCGTTTTGGGCAACTATCCTGACCAACTGGAGCCCCTCCACTACAACAATACAACACACCACAACTCACACACACAACACTTTACGCACCCACAACTAAACAATCAAACCAAACTAAGCGACACACTAGAAGACGGGCGTTTCTTCCTAGTCACCCTAAGGTGTCGCCTTTTCTCTGCTTGCGAAACTTACCCTGAGTACTGTCACGTTAAGCAGCACACCTGTCAGGACATTTCAACTTCCTAATCATCGTCTACTACGTTCCATCGTATTCTATTCGAGTCACGGCCTTTGGTGTTATTCACCTACGTGGAGACCACCAGTTCAAATCTCAAAAGCAGAAAGCGATCTATCAACTTGATCCAAATTTTATTTACCTAACTCTTTTCAACAATTTACAGCTCGTCTCCGCCAACATGAAGGGCCGCCCAGTTGACCAACTCGTCCACGAGTTTATGTTCCCCAAACCCCGAACGAGCGATCCCCAGAATTTCCACACACTCCTTCACCGAAACCTAATTCCTGAAGTCCGCCAGGAAGTCCATTCTTTCTACGGTCATCTCGACACCCAAGAAGCCAAATACCCTGGGTTAGATTATACCCATCGTATCCACCGCATACGACTAAGCCGATGGCCTTGGCACCGACGACTATTTCGCGCGTTCGATGCCTTACGGCTTACCCACTCCGAGATTGCGAACCTAACGAAATGGGAGGGCACGAAATGGGCAAAGGAACGTTTTGAACGGGATTCCGGGATAGTAATCCGGGATACCGCTTTCGACGACATTGCCGAATGGGTTGAACCTGAAGATAGACCACAAACAGCCCGCGCAACACAGACCGAGGACGTTGGAGATGATTCAACGGCCCCGGACGAAGATATGGAAGGGGAAGAGGAAGAAGATAGTGATGGCGAACTAACGAGCGTTGGGGTTGCTCTGAATGAGCGTCTCCGCGAACGAGCCGCACGCCATGAGGCGGGGGACACCTCGCTTCCCCTAGATGAAGAGTGGGAACAATGGTTGAAGAATGCCATCGAGTCCGGCGAACTTCCTTTCCTTACAGAGCAAATCGTGAGGAATCAGGATAACGTCGCACTCGTCCCACAAGCACTCTTCCCGCCCCGGATGCTTAGCGCAGCACGAGCCGGTCAATGGAATGACATTCCGGACTTCCTCCACGGCGTACTCCGGTACGCTCTATTCAACGAAGCCCCGAGTCGAAGCCAAGAGCCGCCGGCTTCAGACGAACGTTCGTCTGGGCGTTCTTTACAAAGTTACCTACCAGGGAGGAGTACACGTGGCTTACGCCGCGACTATTCAGATTTGCGGCTACCGGCTAGCGAAACTAATACCGTCAGTGCTACGGCTGTTCGTCTACAAAGAACAGCTCAGTCTGGCACCCAAACCTATGTCTCTCTTCCCTAAGAGCCCGACCTTCGAGGCCGGAGTGTCTAGTTTGGAGGAGAATGCAAGGAAGAACTAGGCGCGAAATTATTCGATACCCCTTAATTCCTAAAAAGTTCTATCAGCTTGGAATATGCTTCCAGTGCACGGTCACCCCCGGTGTATTCTTGATATTGCAATCGATATTTTACCACGAGCCTTGATGGCTATTACGTATTCTCGGAGACGAATTAATTAGGCGTATACCAAAGTGCATATTGAAGTGCGGAGTTGTTCTCTTTTTCCACGGCATATTGATGAGATTTTTGGAATCGTTTATGGCTTCGAATGGGCTAAGTGAAGACTTATGAGCAAGGATTTGAGGAAGCTCTAGGATTATCCATTCGTAGGACGACAATCGCTTAAGATGAGCAATGGCTATAAAGACTAGCGCTGCGAGGACTGATTCAACATATTTCATTGCCCAGTCCATATTCAACACCCCCGGTCAGCGAAGCAAAGACCTCAAGCGTTCGAACTTATTATCGTTGCTACGGCCTATGTGCTATGGTGGACGGAAATCCCCATTTGCAGTCGGACTCATGATTTTCTGAGCACCTATTCCTCGATTGATCACAAGACATTCACGGGTCAATGGGTATCAGCCTTCTCCCGAGAGACGGTAGATACAAGGAGGGAGGCATCGATTCACTTGTTACTTAAACATAGGGGGGGTTGACATGAGGAGTTAGGCGGGTTGCATTCACGGGTTTATTGGCGAGATTTTGATGTTTCTTATCGAGGAGCGTTGTTTTTAACAAAGAATTTGAATTCATTTATAATATCTACCCATTCACCTATTTTACTATATATCTATACGTGATTATACGTAAACCAAGTCACAACAATTGACTAATTTGTCCATCTAGACCAAAGTAATATCTTGTATCTATCATGGCATCAATGAAACTCATTATCCCATACCTACTATAAAACAAAAAGGCCGGGTTTCAAACAATATTTCACATGCTAGTAACGAAAGACCCAATATAATGGAATGAGGCTGAACACATAACAGCCACGCTTAGCCCAATAGTCGTTTCCCACATCATGTCAGCAAATCCGTAATCCATGCTAGGGGCACATTTGTACAGCCTAACCATCAATTCCTACAATCACGTCATTACTCCGTATCGTGTCGGTGACACATATTCATACACAACAATAACTTGACACACTAGTGAATAATAGCAATAACAACAATGCTTATTTGGTACTTCCTATCACGTACTTGCCTAAACTACCAGGTATTTCATGCCTAAACTCCGACGACGAGAAACACAAAGCAAAAACAACCACCCTTGCTATGCGCCAACCCTATCCTAGCCTTACTCGCGTGACCAATTCCCCTAGTACTGTGTGGTGGATACCTTAGCTAAGGTAATAATAGGATTACCTCATCTTCGCAAAATACTTCGATGTATATACATGGATGCATGCATTGCGCCTCCCCGCGCGTCCCGGCAACTCCGGCCTGAACACCGAGAACTCGGAACGAACGGACCGGGCAAAATAAACAACTTCACGCAGATAAGCAATAAAATGATTAAAAAGAAAGCCACCGTAACCTATAGCTGAGTAATAACGCCACCGCCAAGCCAAGGCGACATTTCCGTATTGCCTTAACTCCGTAAAACTCCATAAGAAAAAAAAGTAGTTCCGATTAAACGACCGTAACACCTGACCATCCGTTTCTTCCACCCATATCTGCCGGGCTGAATAACTTAGGTACATTAGTAGACATGCGTAAAAGAATGTCTAGGGAGAACCTAACGCGGTATCCCAGCACCCGTCGCGGCCACATCGGAGAAATTCTTTCTAGGTCGTCCACGTCCCCTCTTGACCGGAACCGGAGCTGGAACCGGAGTTAATATTGAAGTCGAAGTCGGGGTTGGTTCAGGAACTTTCTCCTCTTCCTTAGCCTCGCTACTATTCTGATACCCATGTCCAGAAGCGGGACTCTTTTCGTCGGCGTCGACCGCGACGGTTTGATGATGAGGATTCTGAATAAGCACGATATTAGTACCAGAGACGCGGACGCGGGTGCCATTATTCGAGGGGTTGGTGTAAATCTGATGCGAGGGAGTGGTGGTGGTAACACCAGCAGCAGCAGTGGCGGGTTGTGGGGTACCTGAAGCCTCTGACGCTGACTCCCTCCTCCTGCGCACTCCCTGTCTCGTCATAATGGTTTCCCGTTCCATAGTCTCCGGGATATACATATCGTCCGGCCTTTGTTGCTTAGCTCCGCGCTTGAGCCTGTTCCGTGTAGCCAATAGCTGCTCCTTGAATGCTTCCCTTAAACTGCTAATCTAGGGCTCGAGGTGAGACCATTCGGGGATAGCTTTTATTTGGGCCCACATGAACTTTTCTAGCTTGTTCGCTGATTTCGCGTAGGGAGTAGACTCGTTATTGTACTTCCTGCAGTTGTCGAAAATGAGCTTCGCGTCCTTGATGAACTCTTCGGGTGTACCATATTGATCGGCCTCAAGCTTGGTTTCCATGGTACTGAGATCCATGGGCTCCTTGATCACGTCGTAGTAATCGGCCACATCGTCCTTATTAACCGGATTAAGGAATGGCCAAGCCGACTGGTGGTTCTGTAAATCGTTGAGGAGATGGAGTAATTGGTTGTAGTTCGGCCCATGTCGTGGTTGCCGTGCTAATTCGTCCATATCCGGTGACCAGCCCGAAGTTCGAATGGCCTCGACTGTGAGGGGATCGATGGGAGATACACCGTTCTTCCACTGCTTAGGCGGTGCGTGGATGACGTGAGACTTAGAGAAGGCACGGATCTTGGCTTGTACACACTCCTTTTGCTTGAGAAGCATGCGTCCCATCTCCAGATAGCGAACGCGTGGAAGCATAGAACATTGCATGATCGTACCTCCCTCGTAGTCCTTGATGTAACCCATCCATACGGATCGGGGCAGTGTGATTTCCTTAGTAAATCCTTGCTTTTTGAAATATCCAATAGCGTAATTGTCGGCGTAAGTTAGGAAGTGCATCACATCGCTCGTCGCTTTAACGTAGTCTTTGAGATGCGACATAAGATGGGCGCCGTAGCCCTTCACCTGTTGGTCACTACTGATAGCACAAAAAACAATTTCAGCGAACTGACGGCCCTTAAATGGTCGGTAAGTAATGCCGCCAACAACTTCGAGGGGCTTCTTGACGATCGCAATGGAAAGATGTGTACGGTCGTAGACGAGTCGCGCGATGTAGTCCTTGGGCATCTTAGGTAGTTGTTTCTGAAAGATGCATTTAAGGCCGGTAAGGATGATGAGGGATTCGCGTTCGTTATCGTTGTTCACTACACGGAATTCAATTTCGCCATTTCGCTCTTCGATTACCGCGGGCTAAAGTATTATGTTAGCAACATTTTTTACACCCTACACGAGGATGCGCATAATCACACCGCGGTTGCTTGTACAGTGATGAGGTAAGGAGGCGATCGATCAATGGCTATTTTGATTTTGTATTTTACAATGAAATGTGCAGTTACTGTATCGCAATGAATTAGAACAGGGGTAGGTACCTTCTCTGGGAAAGGAATAGGTTTGATAATGGGCTTCTTTTCCGGTTCTGTTGAACCGTCGTGTTTCGCCCGCTTCGTAGCGACGGGGGATGTAGGCTCGTCGCTAGCCTTACGTTTACCGTCTATCGCAACCAGAATGATTAGCAGCGTGATTAGTTTGGGTAGAATAATTAAGAACTCACTTTCGTCCTTCGGCATTATCACTACTCGAGCGCCGTATAATACAGCGTTGTGATAGTAGGAGATATCTCGACTCTTTTATTGATGCGCTCGAGTCGCAAAGCTGAAGTTGAACAAGCGCATGGAGAAGTCGGGGATCTGACGCGGAGGCATGTAGAAATGACTTAAAAAAGGTACGTGGGGAAGCAAGTTTAGACCTCTGATTGGATAAAATCTTCCATGCAGGCGCATACCGCTTACGTAAAAGTGGAAAGAACACTACCGTAGCTTGGATGGTCCTGAGGTTAATAAGGCTGGAGCTAAGCCAAAAAAGGACAGGCCACCTAATTGTAAAGTTCGGTGCAAGAGCTACAACCAATAGAAACAAAGCTGAACAGGAGAGCTCGTTCTTTCGTATTCAATTCACACACCAAATTCTACCACCACCGTCATTCTTTCCAAGAATCATACTATGACAGCGCAAAGCTTATAAGCTGCTTTGACGTATTTCTCTATCTACTCACATCCGAACAAACCATCGGCCTATCCATTCCGCGACCAAACCACCGAATCCTACCGTTCGTCACTCTTCATGGATTCTTCATTGCATGAGATTTGGCAAACTGCACCCGGCAGTCCATTTCTCCCCACCGTAGGAAAGGGTAGCCAATTCCTAGTTGGATTTGTCCTCCTTTTCCTCGGCCTCTCCCTGACCGGCGCATTCGCATTGAGTAAGTACCCGACTGCTCCAGTCCTTCCTCTACCGGTAATTGACTAATGGTATCCAGACCGATCTCTCGTGAACCTTCCTATCTACGGAGTCCCTGCCTCGTTGGCCGTTGCGTACGTCCCCCTACTATAATATCCAAATATCCGACTAATTCCCTAACCTATTGATAGATTTGGCACGGTGTACATGTTCTGTGCAGTTGGAGTTTACGTCTAGAAGATACCCCGAGAGAAACACCTCAAGCCAAGGGAGGGTTGGTGTGTATTATAGATGAATTAAGGCCTACGAGTGCATACCGTTTGGTTGCCTAATTATTTACATTGACGTGATTAGGGGCTACTGCTACTTCTGCAAGCAAAATTCCCTTTACCACTAAGACTATATCCGCATTCAAAAGAGGGCCTCTCTAGTCGAGTAACACATCTCTACCATGGCTTCTCAGGCTGGATCCGTCCATCCAGACCAACCAATGTTCCGAGCAGTAGCAAGTTCAACGAGGCAGATATACCAACTCCTAAAATGTATCAGCTTCACTCCCAAGGTTCACGTCCAGATAACACATGATGGCATGCGATTCTCCGCTGACCATTCACGCGTAATGCAAGGTAAGCTACTGGCACTACTCGTATTAAAGCTAAGATCTAACAAGATCTTCAGGAGTCGCCTTTCTAGATAAGACTCTTTTCACCTCCTATACTTTGAACGTGCCGGGAGAGGGTGGCATCCTACCACAATTCCAAATGAACATCATTGCTCTGTTAGAAGCACTGCAAATATTTGGAGCCACGGACGTGGCCGCTCGAGCTGCTAAGGCCGAAGCGGAGAATTACCGCAGCAATTTACGTAACTACCGGCCAGATGCCTTCAACCACCAGACTCTTGGCATGCCAGGCACATGCTGCTTTATGTATGAGGAAGATGGGTCTCCATTGAGTATCATCTTAGACGAGACCGGAGTGAAAACTCAATGTAATATGGTCACTTACACTCCCGAATCACCTGACGACATACCTTTTGACCGTGATGATCTTTCTTTCAAGATCATCATGCAAGCTCGATGGCTTTTGGATTCCCTTTCCGAGTTAGCACCCATGGCTCCGGTACGCATCGCCATTGCTGCCGCGCCCAATTCACCATACCTAAGCCTGTCAAGTGGAGGGGGTCTCGGCAGTGCCAGTGTGGATTTCTCTAACGGCCGCGATCTTCTTGAGACGTTTTCAGTACGCGAGCGTTGGGGTCAAAGCTTCAAATTTGACTTCATCAAATCAGCAAGCGAGGCTATGCGTATAGCAAATAAAGTTAGTTTCCGTGGAGACGGCCAAGGCGTACTCAGCTTGCAATTCATGGTAGAGGTTGAAGGTGGTACAGTGAGCTTCCTCGATTTCCGGTTCGTTCCTTATGTCACGCAGGAAGATGAAGAAACAGACTCAGAAGAAGAGGAAGACGGTTAATATTAAATGGCATCCATCTTAAGAGACTCACGGGCCGCTCACATGCTATATCGGACGTAACGGTTATTTTTCAACGTTGGCTATGCTTGGCTTAGGTACTTTCTGAGTTCGTCCAACGACTTACTTCCAGGCTAAACAGCTACTTGTATCCAGCAATTGAATCTGATCTACCTATTTCATGCCCAAGATGACTCAACTGCTGCACTTTTACGTTACCCTTTCCCCAAAACATGCACCGGCAAGTCAGCCCGATTCTAGCATAGGACGCTCCCTGTGACCACGATTAAACATAGAGAATAGGCCCGAAAACAGATCATAGCATCGTCGCTAGGTAGGTATGTGCGGCATCGTTGGGTTGTTGAGCCTCATAGCCCAACATTATAAGTGTCAAAACAGAACCTCCCGCCTACCCGTCGTCGTTGAGCCGAAGCTCGACAGCTAACGGCCGCTTTCATCTACGTGGTGAAACAAACCAGTTGTATCGTCCCGTCATAGCGAACCATATTCCGAGCGGCTAAGCCACCGGTCCGTAACGCCCATGCCTAACAGGAAACGGTCGATAAGTCATCTGATCAATCTACTACTCAGCCCCGAGTGAGAGAGATTCAGTGCCATATGGATACGATGTGAGCATAATTCGAAAAGGAAGCTTAACAATAAGGTTATCTATTAGTCAATTAACATCCCTACGCCGGCATAGCCTCTACGTACCTTTTGATGCCTAAGCTATAAGCTCCTTACTCTATAACATTTCAGCCACGACTAGATGATGAACTCCAAGCTAGTCCGCGTAAACCAAATCTCGCACGGCCCTCATAAGAAGCTATCCAACAACGCCGTGAAAAAGCGAAGCTCGTATTGTTAGGTTATAGGAGGGAAGCCCCTATTCAAGATGACACTAACGTCCAATGGCTAGTACACAAATCCCTTCTCTAACCGTCCCAAATTAAGGCCAGGAAATCGGAATCGCTGTCACATGTTTTTTAAGGTTCGCGAGATCAGTCAGATGTCTTCGTCGCCCACACGGCGGCTCGAACTTCAGTATCATGTTCGAAACAATCGGTTCCTTCACTCTTGTTGGGATCTAACAAGAAGAAGGCAACTACGATTTTAAAGATCGTGCGTAGTTTTCTTGTCGTGTTTCTTAGGGGTTCATGAGATGACGTTCCCGTTGCACGAAAATTATATAACGTCGCCAACACCCAGGCTTGTCCTCCCTATGATGAGCCTTTACTATTATACGTCACTCACGAGGTAGTTATATCTATCTATCTAAAGTCTAATTCCATCCAACGATTACTTGACAACAGCTCCTACTCATCGGTAAGATGCCCCTACCCCCCTTAGTCTATCGTAAAGCTAACGAGGCACCAAGGTCCTATATATCGGAAAAGCCTTACTTCACCACACTAAACACACAAAAACGACATCACATTTTCAAGGCAACACATTAATACCAAGATGGGAAACTCGACCAAGGCCGAACATGTAGAGAATGCGGGGTCCAAGAAGGATTCATCTCTCTCCCGCAGCCGATTAAACCGCCTACGGCTCAAGCAGTTCTTCAACCGCAAGTCATCCTCCGGACTAAGCCAGGAAAACAAGGCTGCCGAGAAAGAAGCTGCTAAAACCATATCTACGCCGTCCCCCGGCCACGCAGCCTTTGACCCTCAGCATGCGAGAGAGTCGTACCTCAAGACGACTACATCGACTGCAATGAAAAAGGCAGAAGAGAAGGCGAAAGAACGCCAGTAAATCTCGTCATCACCAACGTCATTGTCCTTCTCAACCTTTTCCCTTCCTACCTTGTTTGTTTCACATCACACACGTGCGAGTCTCTAACTCGCGTTCGTTCGCCACATAATACCGCCATCCGGGCTCTGGATTTCTCTACTTGACGAATATGCTTACGTGGGACGGGGTCGGAAACAAGACGAAAGGCGGCTCTTACGATGATGGAGAAGGAAGTTGGGATACTATGTAAAGAATTTTTCCATAGACGTTTCTAAATTGCACGAGTTTGTTTCATGATCTTCTTGTTGGGCTTGTTGAGAAGCGATCGTCAAGACTCGGTTCTGCCCGTGAATTATGACGATGATGACATATAAGCGCCTCGGCTCACGACTCTGCGCTTACGTAGGTATGTCGACCTACCTATCTGAGCAGTAGTACCGCGCTTGTGTAATACTCATAGGCGCGAGCCGCGGCATCGGTTTTTGTGTATGGTGAATATGTGTTCTGTTTTATTACTGACGATGCGATGAGACGGCGCAAATTTGGGGGCCGATGAATCAACTCGGCGGAGATTGGAAGAGCAGTATTTTCCGCCATCACATCGTCCAGGCCCTGTACTGTGCCTAATTTTCATTATTTCCGATTTGCCGGAAAATTCGTTTATTCCTACCTATTCCATAAGTAGCTTATTCATTTCAATTATGGTGCCTAGCCCTCAATTATCTGAACGGAGACGTAATGCCAATGATTAAGCCCACGAATATGTCCCCATTACCAATAGCCTCTTGCTTTACAATGCGGAAGGGATTTATTAGACAGAGTCTAGCCACGTCAATCGGAATCGGATATACAGGAAGAGGATGCGTTTTCTTGCTGCAAGTTCAAAGCCAAGCAGGGCAAAACGAAGCGATATTATGTACGCTGGGCTTAAGCTCGCCGATCGAGGACGGAGCAACAACTACAGTACAGCATAGCACAGCGCAGTTGACAGTTGCCAAACTGCTAGCTAGTTCGCTCCTACACCAAGCTTTTATCGACCGATCGCTTCGGGATGCCGTTTCGTTTTGTTTCCGACCTCTTTTATTGGGCGTACCTCGCTTTCGTCTCAGATTGAGTGGAACACCTAGACGCTGGACCAGGGTGTCCGTACGGGCCAGATCCGCCTGAAGGATCGGGTTTGCTGCAGGGGCAAGAGGCATGAACATGTGTACCTTTTTATGTATGTTAGGTGCTAGTACAGGTTCGTACACTTTTTTCAATAGATTTCCCAGATAAGGGTCGAATTAACTCTATTCAAACGTGGATCAGATTTCGCTTGCCGCGGCTCGATTAGGCAGGTCTATAAGCACATGTACATATGTAGCGTATGCATGTATTATATGTATTGGCAAAGACGTGTGTGATCCTATCGAACCATAACTTGGGCAAACCTGGAGTCGAGGGCTCGAAGTAGCTTACTCGGCTACCTTCTAATCAAGCTCCGTTGAAACAAGCTCGGCTTTCGCCTTCGTGTGAGAGTGGCTTCTCGTTGCCTACTCGGGGCACTGATCGTCCCAGATGAAGTTATTCATATCTATGAGGCTGAGTTAGTTAGATCTAATTACTTCACTAGTGTATGTGGTTTTGATCTGGACTCCTTGGCTGTTCTAATTCTAATCATTTTTCAGGAGAGATTCGTGGTTTGTGGGTGAAGAGACGGCAGATTGAAGAGCGCGGCACAGCAGCGGGGAGGAGCGGGAGTGATGCCCACCAAATTCTCCGAACACACCTAGGGATAGAAACCCATGGTGTAGATATAAGCTCAATTCTCTCAACAGCCATGTGCAACACGTTTTCTGTCGGCACATGCTCAATAGTTGACATGGTTCTTGATACTGACAGCTGTGAGTCGCTAGTAAATGTGAAGCAAACGGGGATCTTTTCCCAACCTTGTCGACAGGGGGTCGACGCATGAGAATGTTGTATATTGAAAGTATCAAAGGCCCTCATCAGAGCCTCCGACGTCACACAGAGAAATGGAGGATTCGATTAGCTGTATAATTCGAGACGGATGTTTGTCTGCCTACGCCCCAAGTATTAGGCAGAATCGTTAGAGTGATGCTTACTAAACTCGACACAGGATCTCGGGTAGATATACCAGTCTGGTCAGTCGTCAACTCCTAGTAATTCGATAGTAGATGTGATGTGAACTTGTAGTTTTCAAGGGTTTTTTGTAAAGTAAGGAGATGTTTAGTGCTTCGGAACTGCATATTCGCACAGACGATGCATATCATCATACAAATCTTCATTCACGTGGTCAGCCTGCATCTGAGAAGACCGAAGGCGGCTTACCGTATGGGGTAGTGGGGATGATGCCATACGATAGGTAACCCCCGGATCGTCGATTTGTACAGTATAAAGCGTCAGGGGTAAAAAGGACCCGAACAAAAGTAACTCAAGTGGCCTCTTAGATCTTTAGTGCTGCGTGTGAGTGTTTTCTGTTTCAGCTGTCAGAGATCGGTAAGATTGGGGGTCGAATGTAACCCACCTTCTTCGTTTGTTTTATAGTAGGTGACCTACATAGGGGGTAGAATGGAAATGAGTGGTTACGGCGGAAGAGATGCAATTTTGGCGGGGAGAGATAGACGGATACCATACGAGCGGACGAACGCGTCAGCCCCTTGTATGTAGTATGTAGGCGGAATTACGGAGATGTAAACCCCAAGCAATAAAAAATACAGCGCCATTTTGCATGGCGTTGAAGCCAAAGGGTTACATAATGAGACATCAACGCCATAGCGCGTGGACAAATTTATTCCTTTGTCTTTTTTAGTAAGCTTCTTGTTTGGCTGAGGATACCTACTGTACCTAAGATATAGTTAAGATGATTGGTCTATATTAAGGTCTAGTCAACCAATTATCAAATGTCTTGGAATTATACTATTTATTATGTCAGCTCGTAAGGGATAAGAGTCATATAATAACGTTGTATGATTCGCTAAATGATTAGGAATACTGCTTCCCAGTTGATTACTTATATGTCTAGTAGGATATAGGTACTAAGGTACCTAACCCTCATTATGAAATGATGGATTGAAGTCGTCTCATTGCTTCCATGTCAAGAGCACGTACATACCCGGATCATAAATGGTGATTTGACATTGTGTAACTATTCTGAATAGTAGATGGTCCTTCGTGATTAACGAAGTCGTACGTTAATTTCAATAGCCTGTTGCTGTACTTATTCGGAATAATGACAATGACGTCATCATACACTCAGGCTTAAGTTGGAGATATTCCTCCCCTCGTGTTATATCGTCAGATATTACTCGACGGTTTCCTCACTGGTTTTTTGAGATATGATATTTGGATAAGTACCTAAGCATTAACTACGGGACATTTATCATCAAGTTACCAATGAAGATTGAGGTCCACTTACCATGGCATTCAGGCGTAGACTTGACTCGAAAAGCAAGAACCACTCCTTCGCCATGGCGACTCCTTGAATTTCTCACCAACACGTTGATTCCACGAAGGAGACGAGTAGTCACAATAGTCACTGTGCCCAACATTGAAGTGCAACCTCAGAAGAATGTCGAATCTATTTATTCGCTTCTAGGTTCAAAGATGGGGATCTCTTCCTTTCGAGAACAATGTAACTCAATCACTCGAGAATACATCTACCAACATCGATCTACTACTACACCATCAGCAATTTACATACTTAAGAATTCATCAAGATGCCTGCCAAACCCACCATCAGCCATTCGGGCTCTAACGGCAACTACACGGTCACCGTCGGGCTAGACTCGGAGCTAGCCAAGGACTCGAAATGCGTTGTTCTCGTCACCGCGACAGACACCGGCTTCCTAGCGGTCGACGGATGTAAAGATAGCAAATATGCTAACGGGAGGACAACTTTGGTCTTCGCCAACCTCAAGATTGACAAGCCCGGCGAGTACAGATTCTGTGTTTCTGCCACCAGGACCACCGGTGAAGCCCTGATGAACGAAACTAGCACATTCACCGTAACCTAGATACCTAGGTAGGTAAGGGATATGTTTGCTTCAGCCCTATATGATATTAATAGCACGCAACTTGCATGTCTATGTCCACTTGGTAAGAGGAGCCTCATGGTTACTAACAAGGGTGGTTGTATTTAGGGAAAGACAACTTCCTAACCCGGATTCGAGGAACCGCGGAGAAGAATAGGTACGACACGTGGAATTTTCTTTTACGAAGGAAGAATGGCATTTTTTTTCTTCATGATGGGATAGGCTTACTTACTTTGGCGTTGGGGACTTGGTTCAATTTGGGAGGTCCATACCAACAACATTCAGCATTTTTGGCGATAGGTTTCGGTTGAACTGGCTTATTATACCCTTTGTTTCAGGAGTTCATTATGCAAATCGTCGGGGGTTGACGGATTTAGCTTAGTTAGGACCTGAAAATCCATCTTTGATTTTTGGCATCTCACGATCCTATTACGAATTAGTCGTCACTCGTCACTCGTTGAGCGGTGAAATGTGCATGTACTACGGGAATTGCGGGTTTACATAATGTAGGGGAGTTTAAAAAGTAAAGGAAATGGTTTTATATGCCTAGAATCGTAGCGGCGTCCGACCCATGTTTAAGCCCAGTTATGCGAGTCGGCTTCATCGTACATAAGTAGTTCGGCGTTCCGTTGAAATTCGGGATGGGTATACTCAAAAGAACATATCCCCGGTTAGGGATATATGGGTTAGGTTAACCGAGTATACCGGATGATTCCTAATATAGTAACCTATTAGAATTGGCAAAAGAACAAATTTCATACATGTACTTACATAATTCGATTTACACTGAGTCAATCGATCAATGCCTAGAATACCTAATCAACTCCCTCCGATGCTTAGGAATGGAGAATGGGAATGGGTACTGAAGAAAGAATAAGTGGAGAATTCTGTACCCAGGTAATTTGTTGTTACCTATCACAGGGCCCTGCTCGGGTCGGGATACAAATACAAATGAAAAGTAAGGCTTAGCAGCTCAAAAATAGCAGGACAACAAGTACTTACCTACCTATTACACACATCCATGGCTATGTGGATGGAGTGCGGTTTCGATTCCGTAGCTAACGTTCCGCAATTTACAGCCTATACGTTAATGTAAGTGTATGTGATTGTGGATGTGTCTGTGTACGTGTGTGTAGGCAGGCGTACGTGCGAAAGCGAATGTTACATACATAGAACACAGAAAGGCGGTGCAATTGTTCGATAAGCTTACAAGAGCGGGATAGGTAACGGACGGGACGGTATTACAGATATTACAGATATTAGTGAGCAATAGGCTTAGATCGGCATGGAGGTTAACCCATTTGCCGGATGTCCATTCTACCCGTCTGAGGTGTGAATTGCGAGGTGTTCGGCATTGTTTAATACCGGATTTCCCGTTCCTTGATTTGAGGGAGAAGAAATTTAGGTTGAAAGTAGGAATCGCTCGCTGAAAGTCGCAGAAGGGGAAAAAAGGCGATCAATTACGCGTCCGGGTAGTAGGATCTCAAATACGTTGGTAACACAGCCGCTACAGGAAACATGATTGGTTACTCGCTCGACGAAAGACCGTCGGTTCCAAGGTTGTGGGGTATCATTTGTGCGATGCGGAATTAGGGCCTGCGTTAGATTGACCTGGGCGAACAACCTATACTGCAATTGGCGCGGTGTTGCGGTTGTGTAAGTAATGTAGAAGTGATGTAGTTGGTCATGTATAACAGTCGTGATCAGTTCAGTGGTTACCTACGTTATGTATCGTAGGTGGTCCTAGCTGGGCCTGCTGGACCCGGGTGCAACGAGATCCGGATGTGAATGGGGGATGGGGGCTATCCGATGCGATAGGTTCTTATGTTCAACTTGGCGCTTATTTCAAAAGATTTTTGAAGCCACCTGAGAGAAAAGAGACGAATTTTTACTATAAGCTATAATCTCATTGGCGATTATGTATAAGTTCGTGTTGGAGACTGAATGTTTGGCCTTCTCGGTCGCATACGCGGTGAGTTACCGAGAAACATTTAAAGAATTGATGTAATGAATGATGTATTGTACCTAAAATGGTGGTGGCTCAGGTAAAGTCTTGGCAGCGGTTTACTGCATGGAGCATCCTGTAAAGTTTTGGTATGAAGTTGGAACAAACGAATTGTGTACTTGTACTGCTTGTTTGTAAGACATAAATACGGGCTGAGCATGTACTCTGTACTCCAAATCTTACTGCAGGTAGGGCTGGTTTTGACAAAAATGATTCGGGAATCACGTGTGAATTACGATTGGCTTGGCTTCTTCTTGGTTTCCCGATCCGTACTAACCATAAAAGTGAAAAAGTGGAGGAAGGAGAGAAACAAGCCTGCCTGCCCTGTTCATGTATCGCTGAAAAAAAGGTCCCTAGTATGTACCCTAGCGTGAAAGTTAGGTGATCCATGATGCCACTAAACTTGAGTCCTTAGGTCCTGAATAGAAGGTGCCGTATGCCGTATGCCGTTCACTTAATAAGTATCTAAGTACCTAAGTACAGATATTGTTTTATGACCCCCTCCAACCAACCACGTCCATTCCTACGCTTCAGATGCGAAATTACATTCTCTCGATACGTTACACTTTCTGACTTTCTTATATAGTACATCATTTTAGTCTTCACACGAGACTCACCCTCATTCGCATCGAGGTTTTCGAGTCATCTTTGTCATTCCACGAAATGATAGCCAAAGTTGGGTTTATTTCTTTTGTCTCTATTAATTTAGTATATCCCCGTCTTGGCTGAGCGCTTCAAACGATTAGCCCCGACCGGAATTTTGGTCATTTCAAGATATCTCCGTCATCGCCATCGATTGACGGCATTTAGGATACGAATATGGGAATATTGACCGAGTTGTTAAGTCTCCATCACTCCATACTCCATAGGAGATACATCCATATCCACCTCTTCTCCTGTTGGCTTAGGGCCTCGGTTCCCTTCCTTTTTTACTAGGTGCTTAGATGCTTACCTGCTTACCTGCCTGTCTATCCCACGTCGCATTTCTCCCCTTCTACCTACGTTTTATTCACACCTTCATATGTATTAAAGGATTCGATCCCCTGTCCCGGGACCGTAGGTACAGTACGATACAGTACCTTGAATCTACCAACACTCCAACTAATCCGATACTTGATCGCTTTTCCGGCCCATCATTTTACCCCTCAAAAAAGCTCCCCCAAGTAAGTGGGAAGTAGGAAGTGGGCGGTGCCGGTGTCCGAGATACAACTGGAATTCATCACCGAAGCCTCCGTTGTGTTGTATCTGCAGTGCAGTGCAGCGCGCGACATGGGGGCAACTCGGTGGCCGATTCTATGATCGTCTAGAGCATTACGTTTCCCGTTGTCGTGTGTCGGTCCTAGATAAGAAAAGAAAGAGAAAAAAATAATGGTAATTGTTGTGTTGTGCTTACGCGCTATGATTACCGGCAAGACACACATATGCAAAAATTCCAATTCAGATGACGGTGGCCAGGATACGGTAAACAGCGCATATTGGCCAACTAAACCAGCTGATAGGACAAGAACGGGCTAGGCATAATAGCAGTCATTTCAATTTCCAAAATGTGCCTATCCTATCCGTTTTACGACTACCTCCTAGTTTCAATCAACCATCCATTCCCCCGTATCAATGTAACCCAGCGAGTGCATGGCAATTGGGGACTTCCCCTTTGATACTCCCTTGTGGTGCCATACTAGGAACGCGCAGGAAATCAGTCAGTAGTCTGTCATTCTCTTCCTCTTCCCCCAGGGTCTTTTCGCGCAAATAAGTTGATGATCCAGATCCGCTTCATGGGGGATGGATGGATGAATGGATGTACAATTCGATGCGGATGTGGAATTGGAAGTGGATATGAGATGTTCACCGGGGGTACGTATTAATCGTTCCCAAATATCCCGACCGATCCGCATCAATTCAGCAGGGGAATGAATTGAAAAGGTACCTACATACGTACGTACGAACTGTGGTATGTATGCGTATGTATGTACCATACATAGATTCAAGCCATCTGGAGTTTATGACTTGCACATAGGTTCAAAGTAATTCCCGAGGTGGACCAATACGTTGATAAAAATAACGACTGTCCCTAGTGAATACCCTCGACCCAGTAAAAAAAACTGATGTGCTGCTGGCTGGGCTTGTCAGGACAGGGCAGGGCCTGGGTTGTCTCCAGTATTGTGTGTGTGTCTTCTGCAGGACCCCCATCTCTTCCCGCCATCGCAGAATGAGCAGGGCTCCCTTCGCCAGAGCCACGCTCGTGTACGTCCTGTACGTCGGTACGTCGTACTCTAAGTAAGCTACCGGGGGCATAAGGGTACTTAGCTACCAGGGTAGGACACCCGCAATCTATCAATACAATTGCCTTCCTTTCTGATGTACATGGGCCCTGCCCTCGCCCACTCGCATGGGGCATGGGGTCGAGTGACTAGAGATGCGCTCAGCACTACCTGGCCTGGGCAGTAGGTAGGCAGAGGAAGTAGGTAAGGTACCATTTCTAGGTATCTTCTTCCCTTGTATACCTCCATGTATACACCTTGTACTCCCTCTCACTCTCGCTCTCACTCTATCTCTCTAATGCAGCTGGCCCTTTTTTCCTTGGTCTACCAGAGCCTTGTGTCACCCACCAACGCTGATCCCACCTCAATATATGTCGAGTCCTGCCCCCCAGTGACCGGCTGGTTCCCATTTCCGTTCTGTCTGAACTTCCCTTGCGTCTGCCTACAACCATGATGCTATCAAGACCAGGCGTTAGCATTCGAAGGTTTATTTCCCAGAGGAGAGTTGAAAATGACTGTGAGGATGGGGATTTGTTTAGTACCGACCGATTGGATCTCATCAAAGCGGGACGGAAAGACGCCGCCGCTACGGCCGTGGGCCCTAAGAGACGGCCCTATGGTAGAAAACGACCGCCGCCACCGATTATAGTTAGTAGGGAACAAAGCATTCATGATATACTGGACCCTTTACCACCAATTCCTTCGTACGAAACCCCGCGATCTTCGGATAGTTCGTTGAATAGTTCGGAACGCCACAACGACTCCAGTTTATCTCAATCAATCGATTCAAAGAGGTCAAAGTCGCCTCTTTGTTCCATATCGTCAAAGGACGACCAAAGTCAAGAATCACTCCAACTTTCCAGTGCAACCAGCTATGGGGGCGATGATTTTCCACCACAACTCCCACCTAGGGGCCGTGCAAGATCATCGGAATCTCTCGAGCGTCTGGAAGAATTGTCAGATTTTGGTTCTGACACCTTAGAAGCCCCATCGGCTCGACTAGAAGACAAAGCGACATCGTCGAAGCAAGACCTGCGACGACAAGAATCAACTTCCAGCTTTTCGGATAACATACAGCAACTCATACAAGAAGCCGACGAAGCATTTAAAGCTGTCGGAAGCGCTCTAGCCGAAGTGCAACTCGCAGAAAATACGTTTACTAAATCCAGGAATAATTCCAAAGAATTGCCAAGGATTCCTACACCTGAACCATCACCATCAACTATTCCGCAACCCATACCAGCACGCCGGGCTTCTCAATTCCCTGTGTATATAACGCGAAACTCACCTAGCCCAGAACCTCAAGTTTTCTCTTCTCCCATCCCTCAAAAAACGCAACGACCTACATCTCTATCCACCGGAGTAAAAAGGAAGAAGTCTAAGAAGGCCAAGAAAGTAAAGACGATGTCGATGAAGTCGTACCGAAAACCGTCCGCGAGCAAGTCCTCCGCGAAGACTGGTCCGATATGGGCGTTATCCGATAACGTCACTGACCTTTTCAGCGGAAAATTCTTCCACAAGATTGAGGTGGATGAAATGCTCACACCGGGCCAATTAGAGGCGTACAAGCTGCGCCGGGAATCAATAATGCAGCAGTCAGAAAAGGTAGCGTCGGAAAAGGCGGCTTTGAAGGAACAGGCTGCGAAAGAGTCGGTCGCAAAGAAGTCAACGGAAACAATCGAATCCGAGACAAGTGACACACCTCTCGAGCCCTTCCATCTCGAAGACCTACCTTCCCGAATTGGCTCAGCTGGTGTAGCAGAACTCGAAGCTGATGCGACACCAAAAGCTGAGAAACCAGCTGTACCACCATTTGAACCTGTTGCACAGAAAGATTTCGCAACGGAACAGCCCAAACACAAATTTAACCCTCGTGAGTCGCGATTAGATATCGGAGATGAACCCATTGAATATAGGGATGCCACATTTTCGACGCCGCCCATGAGGCACGCAGCGCAACTCGCTAGACGAAGCCTGAAGACAGCGCTTCCCAGCATTCCCGAAACATCTACCATCTCTACACCACAAACCAACACTCTATTCAACAGCCAAAACCTCTCAGGATCGCGAGACGTAGTCGCCGATTCGAATTATGTTTTCCTTCAATCAGCACCGTGCTCCATGACCAGCCCTATATTTAGGCATGGACCAATCCGATTGGCAAAGTCCGACCTCATTCCGGATATGAAGGTCGGGGCGGACGAAGGCCTGGATTGGACGGCATTCCAGATGGCCATCTCTGGAGGCGCCGGTGATTGGTTTTCCGAGAGCGACGACACAATCCGCCGTAGAGAAGCCGAGGAGGTCGAAGATCTCGCTGATTGGTTTAGTTCGTGGCATTTCGCAAGGCCCGGAGCACTCGTCACCCAGGAATACGAAGCCCCTAGCCCTACGAGTACGACATCAGGCGAGGACTACTCGGATGTATCATACACTGAAATTGAGAAAGATAACCCGTATAGTCCACACCACCAATGGCAGGTACCTCCACCACGAAAAGTTTCCATCCAAGGCCTCCGGACGAATAGTCGGGACATGTCCGGACTCCAACTGGACTTGTCCAAGATGTATCCACACGAATTGCCCGATGTGCCACCCAAGGAGTCCTACAAGGAATACAACTGCCGTGAGAGTTACGCCAGTCTTCCACAAAGCCCGATGTTGGATCTTCAAGTTATTCGAAGTCCCGGCGGTGACGATGTGGATGTTGTACCGATGGGATATAACCTCGGACATGATCTAGGAGATTTCCTTAAATGGGAGGCAGAGCATGTTTACGCTGGTTTATAAGCAACCTTTTTTTTTCGGCTCAGACCAAGGCGTTAATTTGGAATTTTTTTGGATATATATTTTGGGGGGTTATGACGAGAAGCAAGACGCACACCATTGCCTTGCAACGGCTTACACATTCATGAAATACTTCTCCTTTGTCGGAATGAATCCCAGGTCGGATCGGCCCTCGACTTTTTTTCTTTTTCTCGATTTTCTTCATTTTTTTTTATTTTCTTCTTATCATCATCTTTTCTATTCGTCATCAATTATACCATTGATTTTTTGCAGGGCGTTGGAAGGTTAAGGAACAAACATTGAACATTGCGCTCTTCTCTTATACAAAAAGATTCTACAGCGAAGCGAATCGATGCGCGGCGATAGGATGGAGGTCATTGCCATTACTTCACTTACTTGCTACTTCCTCTTTTTTTTATACCTAAAGACCATTCGACTTATCCATTTTTGCATATCTACCTGCATATGTATGCTGTGCGAGGGGAGAAGAAACGGAGAAGGAACATTGAAGTGTAAATTCTTCTTTTTTACATTTTGGGAAGCTACGCCTTGCTTGATGGTTTTAATGGGAGTTACGAAATAAGGAGTTAACTTGGGAAGGTATGGACATTTGAACATTGAAGGTATTTGGAGGGGAAACCTTACGTGGTTGTGGGTGGATTTGGGTAGTTGCGACCGTCCGCTCTCCATGGCGTCGGTGGCACACTACTTTACTCTTAAAGAAGATTCAACGTTTTTTGAAGTCTTGGAAGTTACTTGGGATTTTTGTTAAATATCGAGTCCTTCTCCAAATCATACCCACTGCATATTTCTCTGTACGTTACACTCAAAAAAAGAGACGCATCGATCCGTTGCATCGCTGTGTGGTGCACGAATCGAAAAAGGTTGATTTTTTGCCATCCTTCATCTTGTGTCTATCTGTTTGTCTGTGTCGCCTGTCTTGCTCCTTGTGTCCCCCCTCTTCCCTCTCCCCCCTGTTTATTTGCGTCGTCATCTACCTACCACAAGATCGACCATCTTACCTTAGGTACTCACAAGAACAAACTGTTCCTGCATGATCATAACCTTATAGCATTCGGGATTCCAACGGTATTCGCATATAGATCGTGTTTCGATTCGCCCGTCTTGGCCTTTGGTTACGTACGACCCATCAAATTCAAACCTTTCTCGTTGACAACCAATAACATCAAAACCTAATTAGACACTCACACGATCGGCACACTGAAACGAATATACCCTGGATAGTACGTCATTCGGCCGAAAGTCAGACCCGCAAGGCGAGCATAATGTTGTATATTTTATTCAAGGAGGCCCTAACGGGTGCGAGCCGCGCGTTGGCGTCGCTATTATCTCTGGAAGATCCCGCCGCCATGCAGTACGATAACTCGACTTTGACTATCACCTCGGTGGGCACTCCGGACCCCTTCGTGACCGTGTTCCGTGGGCGCTACTATCTTGTGAGTCGCACGATTTTATTATGAAGCACACAGCAGTTTCGTAATATTATACCAGTTGCGTCTTTAGAAATTAATGCTAATATCACTTATATCCAGACCTTCACTGCTGGAAATAGGGTTGAGATATGGTCTTCTCAGAGCCTGGCTGATATAGAAAGCTCTGCTTCTAGACATGTAGTCTGGTACATTTACCCTCTTAATATTTATTTGCCATCTTCATAGGTACAAATAGTACTAACGCTCATAGGACACCACCTCAAGGTACCGATCACTCTGCTGATCTCTGGGCTCCTGAACTGCATGCTCTACACGGTCGATGGTATGTCTACTATGCTGCTGCTAACCCGGCCCACGGCAACAAAAGCCATCGGATGTATGTTCTAGGTGGACCCCCGGCATCTGAAGATCCATGCATAGGACAATGGGAATTTCTAGGCCGTATTCATGAGATGCCAGATCAGTGGGCTATCGATGGGACTGTGTTTGAATTGAATGGTGACACGTATTTCGCGTATTCCGGCTGGCCGCTCGACAACCCGGATGAATCTTCCGATTTGGTGCAACAACTCTTTATCATGAAGCTCGGGGACCCGACGAGTGCTGCTAGCGCTGCTATTGTGATATCGATCCCGCAGCACCCATGGGAGATCACGCACGAGGGTAATGGCACAGACCATGGTATTAACGAGGGACCACAATTTCTTCGCTCACCTGATGGCGGTATCTCATGGCAAGGATTGGTATATTCTTGTGCTGGTAGCTGGACTCACGAATACAAGATGGGAATGTTGCAGTACATCGGAGGGGACCCCCTTGACCCGGAATCGTGGCGTAAAGGGGAGGAGCCACTTGTGCAAACGCGGAAGCATGGCACAGGCCCCTTTGGTCCGGGACATGGGTCGTTTGTTAATGTCGCCGGCGAGATCGTAGCTATTTATCATGCGACCGATAGTCCGACAGACGGGTGGGAAAACCGTAGAGCGCGGGCGCAGCGCGTCGCGTTCACTGAGGAGGGGCCGTATATGGGCCGTTCGTTCGGCCCCGAGATGAAGACTCAACCAGATGGAGGAGGTCTAGTACGCCGCTTGAAGCAGAGGTTAGCCAGGAGCGGTCGGGGAAAGCAGGAACTTTCTGGGGAGAAGAGTCTTAGGGTGCTGTTGGGGAGTCGAGCGATCTATAACTAGATGGATGACTTAAGTTACCTAGGTGCCTAACCGGCAGGGAACAGTTAGGGATTATAACAGGAAAATAGAGGGAGTAGGGGGAGGACAGGCGTTAAATTGAATGAGAATAAGTTTTGGGGTTGCCTTGCTCTAGGTTTGAAGTTGAGGTATGTGTGAAGAGATCATTGAATGAGTGATTATAGGGGATTATGAGGTATGGATGGTAGATCGTGGTTCATGATCAATGATATGATCCTAGTAGCTTTGGTTTGAGAATGCTCTTTCTCCTTCATGGTCTAATCCTCCTCTGCTTGCTTCAATATATCTCCCTACCATATAAAAACGACTAGGCAGTATAATTAAGGTGCTTCGACATAGGTCCTACGGAATTAGGAACCAGTTGGTAAATTGAACGAGCTTATGATGGGAAGGCCTTTCAAATAGTCTACTAGTTACACAATAACAATACGAAGCTTCATTGAAGGCCTTCCTACACCGACTTCGTGAATAATTCCGCGCACCCTCATTTATAATAACTTATTACTGCAGAATTTGCGCGGACAGAGAAACAAAATGAAGCAAAAATAATCCTACGAAAGATATTCTCCCATTAAAACTAATTTGGAGAAGCCATATTCGACCCGATCCAATAAACGCACGTAGGCTTAAGTAGAATATGCACACCCCGTACCTTCCGTCCGAAGGCTTCTTCCTCGCGTACATCCTTCATATCCATCGCTTCCTTCCTCAGCAAACACGCTTTACTAAAGCTTATAACACATTGTAGATAATGATTGATAATTGCCGCAAACGATCAAAGGTTGAGAAGAAGGCATCTATGGGGTAGTAGTTAACCCGTTCCTCTCACATCTACTTAAGACGCGATGGTACTGGAAAGGTCCCGGGTGCAAATCCCGGTGGATGCAACTTTTTTTTTTTTTTCCTTTTTCTTCCCCATCAGTAGGCTTCATCAAACCGAAAGTAATGTCTGGGTTGCTGCACAAGGAAACGAATAGAATTGTTCCTAGGAACATGCACCACACATATGTCAATATCGAAAAATGCAAGTATTCATGTAAAATGTTTAACGTATCTGTGTTACTCTTCTGTAATAGTTATCTTTCGTATATCATTCCTAGCAAAGCTACACCCCATATTCTTTTTTTCTTTCTCACCATAAGTACAGTAAAAACACTGTTGCTGTTGTCTGGTAATTTCAGGAGAAACGGAAGAAGAGCGCCATCATCAACGTTCATATTCGCTGCGAACCCTTCCAACTTTGCTACTCAGATCTCCTGTACGTCCGCCCGTTCATCATCATGTCACCTCCCCAATCGTTCATTCCGTCCCCATCCAGGCCAGGAACATCTCCAAACCTCCCTCTGCTGAGACAAAAACGATGTGCTCCATGAAGCAATGCAAGACCCCACCAACCTTCCTCATATTAGACATTAATATTGGATTACTACTGTCCACCAGAAAAGGCGATTAAGTCGCCTAAGCTACCACCTCTGGGGCTCTACCTCGATGCTCGCCGTTTAATCCCGCGTCGGAATCTAGTACGGAATGGGCCTGCTCATCTTCCTCCTCCTCATCTTCTTCATATTCCCCTCTGTGATCACCGGCCGCAACCCAGGATTCACGGTCGTTTAATGGTGCGTCTTGACCGGATAAATCCAGACCTTCAGAACGTGCCTTGATGTTGTTTCGTCTTCTTGTAGACAGCGTACGGGCTCTTGTGGATAGCTTCGGGTTCACGGACGCATTCGATGACACCCAGTTAGTCAGCGCATCTTCACAGTCCTGAATGATAGCCTTGCTAGCCTCGTAGCCGTCATACGCGGCGCGGGTTTCGCCAGGAGTTACGGGTGTATCGTCAATTAATTCGAGTAGGTGTTTTCCATATCCGGCGATAATGGCAACTTTCTCGCAATGCTCTTGCAGAGCATCGAACTGGTATGCGTATGCCGACTTCAGCTTCTCGCGGGTGATGTTGGATAACTGGGCTTCAGCAACCAGTGATTCAGCCTCGGCGCGGACCAGTTCCTGTTCGAGGACGACAATCTTGGGCGAATTGGGCTCTTTGTATTTTAGTTGAGCGATCTGATCGGCGATCTTTTGTTTTCCTATCCTGGTATTAGCTGGTGGGGTAAAATAACGGGTTCTTCTGCCTAGCAACACTCACGATCCCGACTAGGCTGCACAGATGCCTCGATATTTCTGATACTCTTCATGGTAACACGGTATTGATCGTAACGGTCGACGTATTGGTCTTCAAGTTCGCCGATTTCGTAGAGAAGGACACCGAGTTTGTCGGTGACGTCAGAAACGTCTTCGTCGGCGGCTTCACCCCAGAGGGATAATTGTTGCTACATAACCGCATTAGCTTGGGAAATAAGACATAGTTCGGATGTAGGATGCGCGACGTACGGCAACCTCCATGCGCTCTTTTGCGACAAGTTCTAAGCTTCGCATGACGTTCTTTTCCATCTTCACAAGTTGGGTAAGTTTCTTGGCCAGGTCGGGCCCAAAGGCGCCAGCGGCATTGCGACGGAGCGCATGTCCTTTATGTTTTTGTCAGAGATTGGTTGCCTATCATTGGACTGAAGGAAGTAAGCAATAGAGGCGATCATGTAACTTACCGAACCCGCCCCTTCCGAACAGTCTGCCAGACTTGGTGGACGATGGTGGGGGAGGGGGGTTCTGTTGAGTGCTCAGATTAGCATGGTGTCTTAGACCACATTGAACATCATAACGAGACTGACTTGAATCTGAGAGGCGGTTGGCGCCCGAGTCTGGCGCATAGAATATGTCCGATGCATCGTGGGTGGTGGATTGGACGGCGGGCCGTAGATAGGATTATACAATGACGTCGGAAAACAAAGCCCAGAGGGAATAGTGGTAGTAGTATGGACGTAGTGGTGCTAGAAGCGCCTAGGAAGGCTTTAGATGTTTTGCTATATTTCGCTTAAGGCGGAGGCGGAGCCGGTAGCGAGATAGCTATTACCTATTATATGTATGGTATGATGGGTAATCACAAAATAAAAAGAGTTCGTAAGAGAAAGTGTGCGGAGGAGACGGATGAAATTTAGTGTTGCGATCTTCGTTTTAAAAAGGTGGACGGATTTGGACGATCGCATACGTAAGGTACATACTTTTCTATTTATGAATGGAAGATGGAGATATGGTGGTCCCACGGCAGGGCAGCAGCATGGGAGAGTTGGAAGAGAAGATGGGGTCAGTGGGTTTTGGGGCTGGCTGTTTGGCTGCCAGAGAAGAAGCTCCAGAGACAATCGAAAAAAGTGGGAACAATAAAAGGCTGGTCCCTTTTTCTACTGCTACGTCATAGCTGCTAAATTGTATCTTTTCGGCTCTAATATTGCGTACTAATCCCAAAGAAGCAATTGGCTCTGTTAGTAGCGTACCCTCTAGTGCGGCCCTTGCTGTTTTGGCGCTTGATCTAAAACGACGCCGTCTTCGAAAGCTCTTCTCGATTGAACATCTATTACGGGTTGAATGCGTATCAATTAAATCAATTCTCTCTTTATTAGGCAATTAAAACTGCCGGGACTTGACTCGAAAGAAAAGCTTAAATAGCGAGTGATCATGAATTATTTGTGTAATAGAGCGGGTGATCAATGTATCATCCTAGAATTAAGTGCTAGTGAGGTACATTGCAATAGAGCGTTTATTCGAGTTGATCAGTAGAATAAAATAGCCCTGGAGATGTCTTAATTGCCTGTGTTAATATCTACAGAAGCATTGTACCTGGCAGGAGCCTTGAAGGTTAGGTTGCTTTAGGTACTTAGGTAGTAATTTAGTGGAGAAGGTCTGGCTATGGCGACAATTTGGAAGCAGCCATCCAGGCTACTGTACTGTATTATTGAGATTAGATAAGACAAAATTATAGCTTGTGCTCGGGACATTTTACGCGATGCCTCTAATCTCATCTATCTCATCGACGCGTCACTTAAAGCTTGAATTCACATCTAGGTCGTAATTCTTTTGTTACCTAGTCTTAAATATTATTACGTACGTGTAATGACTTTACCGTGCCCAGTCGTTACTCTTACATTAACGTTGTATTATTGATGTATTAATCTTCGGACACTTTTCATATGCCATCGAATTTAAAGGGTGCCTTGCTCCACTAGAAAACGCGCCCTGTATTTTGAAGCGTGCCAGCTGCGACAACCATCCTCACGATTAAAATTCTTCATTTATTTGTGGATAATTCATTCCAAACGATGGGTGTAGTACAGTCAAATTCACGGCATCCTTGGTAGACTCAAGGGCGAGGAGGATTAGAGGAACATCCCGATTCACAGCTGGAAGGCATACCCCCTGAAGGAGGGGAGAAGCCTATCAAGATGATGAGGGAACATATAGATTTGACCACCGTCGTATCAGACTCGGACGACTCGGACGACTCGGATGTTGTAGAGATTACCCCTCAAACGGCCAGACAGCCGCAACCCCAACTCCAACTTCAGTCTCACCCAAGGCCGGCGTCACACAGTCACAATGTGGCAGGTACATGTCTGTTACGTCCAGATAGACAAACTTCAACTTCGGCAACCACTCATGAGAACTCAGCTTCTACTTCTAATTATACGGCGACACCCTCTCGGCCAATCCAAGGATCTGCATCCAAATCCACCAACCAGGATGGGAAGATGGCCTCATTACCGGTGAGATCCGGTAGCAATGTCACGAATGGACCAGATGCAACACCTTCATCAAGTCAACACAATCCTCCTACAACTCACCGAACTCCTAAATCCTACACTCCACGCAAAATTGAATGGACCGCCGAAAAATTCGAGGAAACTCTACGGGGTTTCTCGGATGAGATCGGTGCAGACGCCGCTAATCTCACCGCCCGCCTTATTCATATTGCTTGGAAAAAGGAGGCGCCTGAGCAGCGATTCATAAGCAAGAAGAACTGGTTCGAGGATATGAAGCGTACCCCCGTGGAGAGCGCTACAAGATCCCCGGATACGATCAGAATTAAGACAAAGGTTCGTCCCTGGAGATTTTTGAATTAGCTGTTTTAACCACCAGGCGGTCAGAAATGTGATTGGCTAACAACTTTATAGCAAGTAGGCCAGGGGAGGTCTGGTAAGCAAGAAAAGCGAGAACACCATCAAGTCATCTGTATCAAGACCAACATGGATACTGTCCCCTCCTACAGTTTCCATCACGTTGAGATCAGAAAAAATATCCTCTCTCCTAATACTATGCTTACATATGTCCCTCATCTAAGAGACCTTGCGGACAATGAGGAGGGCGTCTATCGCCGCTGGCTCGAAAATCTGGAGAATATGGACAAGACTTCTGGCTTTGCCACATTAAGCAGGCACCAGAAAGTGACCAAGACCATTCAAAAGGAGCGTGCTACTACTTTATTGCTGTATCTCGATTCGTGGCTGGACAGACTTGCCCCAGAGATCTGCAGGAAGGCTACACTCATCCGTTATATGGCGAATCAGGATGATAATGTCACTCCTCAACAAAAGTCAAGTATCCTGAACTCTTGTGTCGATGAGCCCGAATCTCCGCGATCAGCTAAAGTAGTAGGGCTGTTCACAGAAGCATTCGATCGAGTTTTCAACAATCCAGCTCTGCGTGAGCGCGCTGTGGCCCTTCGCGACGTCCTCCTACTAGATAAGTCGGTTGACACCATCGTCGATTCTAAGAAATGGATGAAGGACACCCCTAGCCAGTCTAAGGTTGCGGAGGGACACACGGGCGTGGAATCTTTCCTAGAAACGTACGCGCTACTTGGTTGCTTGATCTGTACAAGCCATTCTTGCGAGCATGGTGAGTATGGTGTCGATAACGAGCGGAAACGGTTCTCCGTTGAGGTGGTTGGTGGCTTAACACCTTTGATGCAACAGCAAAAGATGCCAAAATTAGATGAAAAGGGAGAAGGTTCTCCTACCTCCCGCAGAGCCAAGAGTCCCTGTGGTGAAGACTGCTATCTAAATGGGCGACCGGGAACACGGGCTCGTGGATGGAGCGAAACCGAGACAATGGTCCTCAGTTCGCTTTTCTCGACCCTAAAAAATACGGGCATTCCGGTACAATGCGCGACAGCCGTGGCTACCGGGAGACCCTGCTGGGATTGCAACCGCCAACTTGATAAGCTCAAGGAACAAGGCAAGCTCAGTCAACTAGCTCTCCCTAAGTCCTCTCCTCTGCCGGTCCAGGTAAAACCACTACCTTGGTATGATAGAAAGAGGAAGATGCTCATAGGGGATTGGCAAGATCATACAAACACCCACGAACATCAGAAAAAGGATTATTTCGATCCATGCAACCACGATGGACCCTGCACGTACAAGAACTGCGGATGCGTTCAAAATCATATCATGTGCGAACGATTCTGCAGATGTACGGCAACGATTTGTGCCAATAAATTTACCGGCTGCGCTTGCCACTCACACGGAAGGGCGTGTACCTCAAAGCAAAAGGACAAGCCTTGCATATGTGTGCAGCTAAATCGAGAATGCGATCCTGCCCTATGTGGAAGCTGTGGTGCGGCCGAAAGAGCCGACCCAGCAAATGCAGACAATGACTATATGCATGACACCGGTTGTCAAAATTGCGCGTTACAACGAGGCAAGTCGAAGTCAGTCATGCTTGGAAGGTCTAGAATTGCCGGTTACGGGCTTTTCGCAACCGAGGATATCGCCCAGGACGAGTTCGTCATCGAGTATGTTGGTGAGCTTATCAGTCAAGATGAAGGAGTCCGCCGCGAGGCGCGCCGTGGAGATGTATTCGATGAATCCTCTAATTCATCTTATCTCTTCACTCTGCTAGAACAAGAAGGTATCTGGGTTGATGCCGCTATATACGGTAATCTCAGCCGTTATATTAACCATCAGGAAACTAACTGCAATGTGACCCCTCGGATCCTCTATGTGAATGGTGAATACCGCATTAAATTCACCTCTCTCCGGGATATAAGGGCTGGAGAGGAACTATTTTTCCATTACGGCGAGAATTTCCCCAATCTCACGAAGAAGCTTTTACAAGAAGAGAAGGCTGAGAAGAAACGACGCAAAGCCAAGGAGCAGGCCGCCAAAACAAAGAACGACAGTGAAAAGCCAAGAAAGAAGCCTGGTCGCAAACCGGGAAGGAAACCGGGTCGTAAGCCAGGCCCCAAACCTAAGAAGAAGACTTTTGCCACAGTCGATTCAGAACAAGATGACGATGATGTCCTTGATCCTCCGGAAGAACTATTCCCTAACATTGACAAGTCGCGCAAGCGAAAGCGTGGTGTTGACGAAGATGATTCCGATGAACGTGAGTATAGTCCCGGGACTGACTCTTAGGACGACGTAATGATTAACGTTGACGAAGGTTCATCCACGCAGAATCTATCCCGTTTTAGAAAACGACTCGGAGACCCGAAAGCAAGAAAAAGCTTCCCAAATACAGCACCCAAGAACCGAAAAATCGACGAGGACAACGAACGCGACGCCTCGCCGAAACGCCAACGTAAGAAGCCCCGAAGACTTATTGACGATGCCACGTTGGATGAGATTGACGAAGCCTTGGTAGAAGAAAGCAAACCCATAGTTACGCCGAAGCGTCGGGGTAGAAAACCGAAGCATATAAAAGAGAGCAGCAATACTGAAGCTAAGGGAGGCGAGGCGGATACGGTGGTTATCGGGGGTACAAAAAACCCCCCTTCACGTAGCGTCCCAGGCAGCGCCCAAGGCAGTAACAGTAACCGTTTTAAGCATACGGAAGCCCGACTAGAGCTCAACTCTGACTCGGCCGCCGACGAAGACACGCCGTCTCGCATCCGAACTCGACGACAGGTTAAGGAAGTAGAGGAGTCTAGTCCACTCTCGACACCAGGAGACTCAGGTGCCGAATTCAACGGCCTCGACTTGTCTGATAATGATGCACGACCGGCCTCCAAGCGAGAACGCATGAAGAAGGTCGCAAGCGGCGACGACGAGTACAATGGTAGTAGCTGGAGGGATGATCACGGGGCTAGACACCACGGCGGTGGCAGCGATGATAGTGACGACGATGATGATGCGCCTATTGACCGCTCGCGACCCAGACGTAAGCCTGCCAGGTACGAGGACTAGGCCTTATACTCCAGGAACCCCATCTTTTTGACAGTGTTGAGTTAGTTAATACGCGATGATTTATCCAAATGGAGCATCCTACAGGACCAGTTGGCTCCATCGCTTCGACCGCTTTGGTTTCTGCCATTATGGAAGGACCTACATGAATACCACAACGATAAAACCCGCCATACTTATAGGTAACTTGCTTAAGTATTGCTGGCCTTAGGAGAACGATAATCTAAGAGGGAGAACGATACCTGATAATGTCCGAGACAACAGAACCAATGGACTCAACTGCAGATTTACACGATGAATATGCTGTTTTAATTACATATAGCTAGTAGGCTCTAGCAGCCGAGTATTAAGTACTTTAATCAAACGATGCTTTTTTTTTCTACCATTTTTATATCTTACACATCTATTATTTTTGATATTATCAGTAATCGTTTACATATTACATATGTATCGATCTAACTTCATTAGACCGCTCAGTACGAGTCAGTCTGTTTAGCGTAGGCTCGTATAATCCCCAGACGAATTTAGCGATGTACTACGAGCTCTACTAGCTCCATCTTACGAGACAGTTAGTTAGGTACTAAGGTTAGCTGTTGGTGATAGTTAATTAACTTAAAGAACAGCTAAGCCAGTACCTAAACACACTGCATCTAATATACCAACAAATATCGAAGAACGTAGATCGCACACATCCAAACCGTCAATCACGACACAACACCACATCATCATCACGATCAGAAACCCATCATCATCAGCCAACAAACACAATAAACAAAACACACTTCATAAACACCATCAAGAATAATAAAAACCCACCCAATTTTGCCATAACTACCTAATAATTGCTCCGACAAGAAGGGGGTCGGTCATCTCAACCAACATAGACCCTTCCTAAGGAGGTCGTACCCATAGTAGTGATTAACAACACAACTGAAACCCCATAATAATTGTACACGAATAAAAACGGCAAGGACCTTTGTGGTAACAACAGCAACGACACACGCCTGTTCCTCCCCATTTCCTAATCCACTAGAATAATTTCATGAGTAGGATTTATCTATCATTCCTCCCCTTTCCAGCCGTCGGCGATGATGGAGACCTTTCCGGACTGTAGTAGTTGTTGTTATTGGCGAATATGGCAATTGTTATCCAGCCTGCCCTTGTATTTTGCGGGTATTGTTACACCCTCGCCCTTTCCATTCTCATGGCACCGTTTGCCTCGAGGTTTGGATTTGATTCTGGCTAAGTTTTCGGCTCTGGCTTTCGGGACTTGCCGCTATATTCTCCTCGCACACCGCACTTCTTGGCTCTCTTTCCGGTAGTGATGGATACTATTCGAGGCGAGAGGAGACCTTTTTAGCATAAGAATGCATCTCTGGTTCATACTCTATCTCTTTGGTTTGGTTAATTCGTTTCTACGTGAAATGAATTCGTCCGTATGATTATTGTTTAGTAAGGGCTTTCCGTTGTGTAGCCCTTTAGAAAAGGGTTTACACACTCTGGGGGTACACGGCCGCAGGCTAAGGATGAGAACGTCAGCTAATTTGAGGCAGGAGTTAAATACGACGCAAGGAAATGACGTACCGGGCTGTTTAGCATGTTGTTCCGTTTGTTTCTGCCTTTCTTAATATGGCTCTTGAGCGCGGAAGAGTCGAGGGGCTTTAGAAGTTCGAAGCTACATAAGAGCTCCGAAGACACGGACATAACAGCTCCCCAATTATCAAATTCGCCGCAGTACTAGTGAATCCAGTTAGTATATAAATAATGGGATGTCGCGATGGGGTCGACGTACGTTCGGAGCGCTAAAGACCGTGACCAAAACCCTGTCGTTGAAGAATTCGTATCCGTCTTCGACAACCATGTGCGCTCGGCAGACAAGGTCGAAATCGTGGGTAGCGAGGAAATCGGTGATGACTCTTTTCCCGAAGCAATAACTAACGCCTCTTTCGTTGGCTTCCCAATCCGCTTCCATGTCGGCGGGGTCGGACCAAAGCAAATCGTTGAGTAGACCATAGTCGGGAACGTCGGTAGGGCGAGCAATGTTGCGGATATCGTCCATATGGCTAAGCGCTGGTGATAGACCACCGTGGACACAAAAAATCTTTCCTGCAACAATAGCTGCGATTGGAAGAGTGTTAAAGCAGTCAATAAACGTCTTCCAAATCTTAACGTTGCATCGTCGCTTGCATTCGTCATAAAAGCCGTAGACCCTCGTCACATTGGCGCATTCGTGGTTGCCCCTCAGGAGGAAGAAATTCTCGGGATACTTGAGCTTATAGCATAGTAGGAGCAAGATGGTTTCCAGGGATTGCTTGCCTCGGTCGACGTAATCTCCGAGGAAAAGATAGTTAGCACTTGGTGGGAATCCGCACATCTCGAACATGCGAATTAGGTCAGTGTATTGGCCGTGAACGTCGCCAACAATCTTGACTGGCGCATCGAGCTCAAGCAATGCGGGTTGGGATAGGAAGCATTCGCGAGCTCTCTGGCAAATGGCAACGATTTCGGCGTTCTTGAGACAGACGCTCTTCGTGACCTTTCCAGCGTATGCGGCGTCCAGGAGGCGCTTAATGAAATCATCAAGGTCGATATCATTGATGTCACTCATAGCAACTCCACCCACCGGTGATTCGTTCGAAGGCGTTCCTGGTACAGAGATAATTGGGTTAATGGTATTCTCCCTCCTAACCAAAATAGGTGCTCCAGGTTGCTGCTGTATGTGTGGATTGGGGTTCACGACCCCAGAGGGCGGTTGGTCAGATACATGATCAACTTCACCGGAAGCTTGTGCAGCATGTATATCACCGTGGCCAGCTCGAATAGAAGCTGACTGGACAGGAGAGGGAGGTGGTTGCGAGTCGTCGAGCTGCGGGCTCGATACATCCGGCGATCTAGGAGACGACGGCGAGGCAATGGAATCGGCACGACTAGCTCTCGATCTGCTACTACGTGCAGATTTTACAGATGCAGCATCCGACTTATCGGCGTATCCTTCCCCATTAGACATGATCGCCGAGCCTCGCGGGCTGTCCGTCTTCCCACCGCCGGGTATTTTGGATCGGAGGTTTTTGAAGGAGCGGGAGGACTCTTTGGTATCGGATTTTCCGAACGAGGGATACGATCGCAGTTCGTCAACACGATCGCCCGATGCGCCGTTCGAGCCCTTGGAGCTTCCTCCTTCCTTTGACGCTTGGTTTCCCATGGTTTCGTATTAGGCGCCGACGATTTTGAAAGCTATGTGGTATAGATTCGTGGTACAGAAAATTTTTCTTGCTCTCTACACCGTATACAAAAAGCCCAGGCGCCCACCACTCTGTCGATGGAGGCGCAATGGTGCGATAGGTATTATTATTCGTCTATGCCCAGCCCGCTGCTAGGGAGGATGGAATAGTCGGTCAAGGACAGAGAGGAGGAGGGCGGCGGAAGAGGTGGGAGCCGTTTTGTTCTCCGTCTTTGTAGCTAGAATATAGAGTAAGCGGAAGCCGTTGCTGCATGGAGCATGTAAGTCGGGCAGTTGCGGGAGAGGGAGGTTGGAGAAAGTAAAGGAAGATGGAGATGGGGTAGAATAGAGGTGCTGTCGCAGACCAAAACGGAGGTATCGGAGGGAGAAGGTATGACTGACAGTATTGCGTAAGAGGCTATGCTGGCGACGTCGAGGCTGGAGGTAAGGTAATTAATCTAAAGTGTAGGTCGGAAGAATCAGCTACGGGGCCATGCGTATCTGAGTCGTACATGTATGAAGGTCGGCAGTTGATGAATCAATGCGGCGCGGGGGAGGTGGAAGCTGGAGAATTGAGTGCAACCAGAGAGAAAGCCGGAGAGTTGCGGAGGAGAGAGAGGATGAGGTAAGAGGGTATGCCAAGGGAGGGAGGTTGATAATGATGACGATCACGAAGGTTTGGGGCCGTCCCTGTGTATGTATTTTTTTAATCGTCTAATTTTTTTGCCCTTCTCCTCTCTTTTTGGGGGTAATGCACCAAAAACGAAAGGGAAATGCGGGGAGAATGGTCTTCTGGGCCTTCTGCAGTCTGCTTTGCTCTGCTACTGCAGCGAACTGGATGAGTAAGGTATGTGAATGGTATGGAAAGGGAAAAGATAAGACATGGAATATACCCAAGCAGGGCCAAGGGGGGGTTCCTTGTAGCCAAGAAAGAAGGTCAGAAGAACGTGCTAGACTCTGGTGGATCTCTGGCCGCGGCGCCAAGCAACGAGGGTAACCGTCTCACCGTCTTATATGTAAGTGTGCAGTGCAAGTGTGTAAGTGGAAGTAGAAGTAGTGGAAGTAGCAGAAATAGGTACATACCATCAATGCACTAGACAGACGACAGACACACAGCAACCAGTCAAGCTCGTACATACAACATACATACACATACGTATGTACGTGCGTCCCAGCTTGATGTGTGTCTGTAGAGACGGGACAGACAGAAGAACAAGTGAAATACGTGTAAGTAATAAAGTAGCCTGATCTGATCGTGATACGCACTAGGCCGAAGGTGTGCCTAAATAAAAAGTTGTTTTTTATTTCTTTATGCGCGCGTGCGTGTTGCGTTGTGTTATGTTGTGGATTCTCTTATATATGTGTGTGTATGACGAGGAAAACGTTCCGGTGCAGCTCGAGGTCGGCGGTGACGGCAGACGTTGGGCTAGATTGGCCTGATTGTTACAATACACGATTTGCAAATAGAAATGTCGCCCTTTTTTAATTTTAGAGGGGCTCCGCGGTTGTATATTATTATTATTTCCTCTTTCCCTTTGAACTACCCGGTCGGATCGGGTAGGACAATGAATGCAAGCACGTTGGAAATTCGGGCTTCGTGATAAGTTGATTAAAGTTGATTTGGTTTGGTTTGCCCCGGATGAGTTGATGGATTGAGGAAAGGGAAAAGAAGATAAACGTTCGATTGAAATTAACAAACGGAAAGTTAAAAAAAAAAGGGTACTTCGTCTCGCCTACTAATTGTCGACTAATTAAATGGATATGTGTATGTACCGTAATTGCAGCAGGTACTGGCTTTGATGAAGCAGGTGGCACCTAGCTTAAGGTTGTTATCATCCAACTCACCTCCAGATTTTTTACGTATGTTAGGTAGTGTGTGATGTCGTATGTAGGCTAGGTACCTAGGTAGTTGCTGCTTCCATGCTTGGATTGAAATGGTCTATCACGCCGTCCCGATGCTAGTGTGTGCGCCTTGCAGGTGGTTGATGTTTAGCGGGAAAGTTACCTAACGCACTAGACCGCTATAAAAACGCCTATGTAGTTTTTAGCGGGGCTCCGTCGTTCCGGCTCGAGTCAAGTCGTCTGAGTTTACCTTTTTGGGGGACCTGCAATAAAGAGAATAATAAACGATGATTGTAACAATAAATCACATTGACTTGGTCGTCGTTCTGGTAACAAACAAAGGAAGACTTCGGAGGAAGATCGGTTTGGTGCCTCATTCCCGGTTCACTTGTAAAGAGAGGGAAGAAAAAAAATTAATTGATCGTGTGGGGTTAAATGGTAAAGCACCATCATAATAATGCCAGGTACGGTAGGAGGTCGGGCCCCCCCCCATATCGTTCTGGTGCCTAAGACATCCATAGAAGGCGCGAATTAGCACGGATGGGTAGAATCGAATGGTCGACGACGGAGCTGGAGCGGGCACGTTAAGTAGATCAAGGTGACATGCAGGCGGGAGCAATCTAGTAAAATTTTCGATGCTTCCAATGAAAAACATTCTTCGTCGTCGATCAGGCAACTCGATGCCACCTACCTGCAAAGATCTCAACTTCGAGCCCGGCTTTTGTTCGTCGTTGTGAGTTGTATTGCCTAAAACGGACAGTGGCAGTTGATTCTAGGTGTCCGATAGGTACGAACACTCCAACTAATCCATGCTTTCGTTTCAAGCTGCTGGCTGCGCTTATTTTTGCATATAATAATGTCATATAAAATGTTAATGTCCGTTCTAACGCTCTAAAACCCGCGCGTCACTTTTCTTGATATCACGATGCTTGGCGGTGGCGATCACTTACAGAAACCTACAAAGCGGCTCCGTACGTAGCATCGAAAGGCAAGCAGTGTAGTCTTCTCGACCATCTTGGCTTCGGCTTGTCAATTCTACTTTCACTTGGCGGTAATTACTCCAACGCTGTCTGTCACTTCTATTGGAGTCTGGCGAAAGCTTGACACTGCAATTAATACCGACATCGTGGTAGTTGCATATACGACGGCCTCTAGCAAGTCTGAATTGATTAGCCAAGAACATGCCCTAGATAAGGAAATGCTAACATGTACAAAGGTTCGAGTTGCCTTCGTTGTTGATAAAAAGAATGGTCCAATCAGAATCCGATGCGGTTGGTTAGGACGTCCTATGTGTTATCGAATCTTTGGATATTCTACCTTGGTACATCATAAGCCGTACAGTCCCAACCTGTGAGGGATATAATTCGTTTAGGCTTTACCATATCTTTAGTTGAGGTTTTTTCTTCCATTGACTCGGAATATAGTTCCATGCGTCATAAGCGAATTGTTATTGACTCGGAGTTAAGGGGCTAGTTAGTTCGTCATGTCTCGACCGTGAGAAGCCTCAACATTAGGTGTTGATGGAGGTTTTAAATGAGTTAATAACGCATGACAGACCTAGTGCTGTGTTATGTTCACCAACATCTGAAGTCTTGCATCCGCTGCGAGCCAAGACTATATAACGTGTCTCTTGTCTTTCGTCATTCACTCGTCTGTGACAACAACAAAAAAGTCCTGGGTTGAATGTTGATTGGGTTGTGTAAGTTCTTAAGGTAAGTAAGATTACTTACTTTCGTAGCAATCATGCCGAAGTGATACAGCCTCTTAATTGAGGCGCACACGAATAGGCACCTAGGTCGACGACGAATAATACGTAGAATACGGCGTATGAATAACCTCGACCGGTTAATGTCATCACTATCATTACCTGACACCCACAAATAAGCCCCGAGGTGACCCGGTCCGCTCGGTGCTTTCCGGATTGGGCAAGGATCTAGAATCGTCAACCCTCCATCTTTTGAATACGGCGGGTAGCATTAGAGGGGTGGGGTTCCGATCTGAATTCTTCTCGGAACCCGGCACTCGGAAGCATGAGGGTATATGCCCTATTATATAATATTTGATGTTGTAGTCGTTGTTCGTCTCGAGATGGTGAAGAGTTTCAAGATTGGCTACGAAGAATTACGTACGCTGGAATTGCACCTAACTATGTAAGCCACATGTTCTGTGGAACTCTATCAGGCTTCCCTATTTTTAGGTCGGCTTCGTCTGAGATCTGCCCCGCGGCCTGCCCTAGCCGGCCTAGTAAAACCCCGCCAAGCTACTAACCATGCTAACCATGTCCCTAGAACTATAGATGCCTAGCAAGTTCATCCAGCCACACTACAGAAGCTGAGGGAGCCCACTTGGGCAGTACATGTATCAGTCCATCCAAATGTACACTGGCAGGTACCTAGTCCGGCTTGACAAGGTCTCAACGGGAATCCCCCTCATCGTCATCCTTCTTGTGTTTCCGTTTTTGATACTCATCCTCCGTTATCATGATGCAATTTAAATTATATGCTTTCGAAGTGTCAGATCGGAAACCTGTTTCTTTTCGACTTAGCTCTATTTCCTTAGCTTGAGTTAAATGTTTTTCGTAAACTCGAACATGGCTGTGTCTTACATATAGTAGCTAGGTACAAAGTCTCAAGATGGGGAATGGAGAGGAAAAAAAAAAATAAGACGCGTCAAGGGCATTTGCATTGCCTTCCTCCAAGAACTTTTGTGTGCTGACGCCACAGTGTCTACGCAGTCGAACACGCGGGCCGCAACGCAAGAACACACCCCATTTGAAAGAAGCTTCAATGTTATGGGGCAAACAAGAAACAAAAGTTCGAAAAGTCGAAATTTTCCGAAATACCTTGGTACAATTAGCCACGTCGATCGACATTTCAAGTTGACGTTTTTTTGCAACCCAACTTTGGCCCTATTCTGTATCCATCCACTGATCGCTCATTTTTTCTTGTCTTGTCTTTCGCTTCTACTTCTGCTTCGTCGCTAAATACGCCTGCCGAGCCGTGTTTGATTGCTGCGTCATACGAAACAAACATCCTGCACTATTATCAGTTTGTTTCTAATCGTCGCAAAAAGCCATGGTACAAAAATTCGGTATTCTGACACTACCCGGATTATTAGGCCGCTACATGTAACCGTACTTAGCGAATACTGAAAAAAAATACTGCGTATCTGCAGAAAGTTTGATGTTATGCCGGGATCTTAAGACCCCTATAAATGTACGTAGCCAGTTGTGGCTATTAAGGCCCCCCGGTCAGTTGTGCAAGCTGGAATTGTGATAGGCCTTTATCTTGGTCCTTTGTAAGCCAGGATCATTTGTAACTTTCAGCTGCTGCACCTAATTAAACTGCGTTTTTTAACGTAGGACTCGAGAATTTACATGAAGCATCTTGAGTATGAACAATAAAATAAATATGCGACCGTAGTAATAGCATAATAATACCTTATGATTTATGGTGGTTCGGGAAAATGTACAATCACAATCACAATCACGAGCTATTGAGTTGTACGAATTTTCGTAAACCTCTTTGTCATTCGTTAAGGCTGTACATAGTATGGGATTGCTGAGTGATCTTTTTCTTTTTTTCTAGGTGGGGTTATACCCTTGACCTAATTGGCGTCTTAAACGGGGGGCTGAGCATTGAACTAAACAAGCAGACAAGCCATTGACCAGGTGAGCTGACGTCTTCCCTCAAGGGAAAGGGTGTAGGGGTTAGGAAGGGACACCCGCCCGGAAAGTCTTTAATGCCTGTGAGTTGGCAGGGCTGGTACCTAACTTGTACCCATACTATCCGTACTGCCGTACTGCCATTAGGATCCAAGCAGTTTTGGAAACTGCGCCACGCAACGCTTGCAGTGAATTTGACCAGTCAGTCCTACCCAGATCGACCCTCCAACTGCGTAATAAATACAACCGTCTTGCGCTTACTTGATTCCCTGAAGTTCGTTCGTACTACATCTTTATTTATTTTGCCTACGCCGTTGTCGGGTTGGGGATTTTCATCTTCCTTACTCGTTCATCCTAATCGTTTATTGACGATAAAACAAACCTACTCTCGTTTCGATCAACAGTTTTGCATTCGTTACGAGAATATTCATATACAAACACCATATTATTATCTACGTCGCGCTTTCGGGCACTGGTAAAAAACCATGGGTGTCGGTAGATACTTTTGCGTGGCTCTGCCATTCATATTAACAGTCGGCAGCATCATATGTATGCTGATTGCCGGTCTTACCGGAGTTGCCAACAACAACCTTTACCTATTCCAAGTCGATACTAGAAACGTTAGCGTCGACGCCGCTACCCTTCAGAGCTTAATCGGCAACCTTACCAACGCCGAAAGTATCACCGACGGCATCCAAAATGCCGTCAACAACGGCGAAGACAACGTGAACGACGCAGTTAACAACGCCAAGAATGACATCAGCTCTCGTTCGCCGCAAGATGTCTCTAGCATTATTAACGGAATTACCGGCTCCGGCTCTGGCGACAACATCACCGCCGCCGAACTTGGAATCGACAAGCTTTACGACGTTACCCTATGGAACTACTGCAGCATCCCCGCCAACGGTACCAACAAGAACTGCACCAAGGCGCGATTCAACTGGGCTGAGCAGGATTTCAACACGGACTACATTGACAACTTCGGCAAGGAGCTCGGTGCAAACATCACCATCCCTCAGGATATTAAGGATGCCCTAAACACTTTCAAGCCTCTTATGAAGTGGACTGAAGTTGTCTACATCATTGCTATGGTCGGTCTCGGTCTTGAGCTTATCGTCGGTCTCTTCACCGCCTGCTCTCGTCTAGTTTCATGCCTTACCTGGGTTATTTCCGGCATTGCTACCCTCGCCGTCATCGCCGCGGCGGCTATGATGACTGCCATGTCTCTCGTAGTAGTCGGTGCGGTCAAGGCCGCCACTTCGAAGTACGGCGGAGACGCTAGCTGGAACGGTAACTTCTTGGCTTGCATCTGGATTGGTGTCGCCTTCGCCCTTGGTGCCAGTTTGTTCTGGCTTTTCTCTGTCTGCTGCTGCAAGCCTGAGCACCGCCCGTACAACCGACGATCGCGTGGTCGTGGTGACGAATCCGAGAAGTTCCTACCCACTGGTTCGTACGCCCCGCTCGGTGACCCGCAGCACAACTCGGGTTACAACAACAACTACGGTGTCCCGCAGCGTGGTGGTGCCCGATCGGACATGGCCTACGAGCCTTATTCCCACGCTCGTTAAACAACGAACGTGTTATCCATTTACGAAAATACAAACACGTGGTTAGTGCACGCAAGGAGGCTGGTTGGTTGCAGGACTGTGCATTTTGCATTAAACCGGCGTTTTAGGCTTGGGTATGACAAGAAGATTGAGTGAAGGCCGGGTTTCTCCGGAGATCAAAGGAATCGATTAGACGAGAGGTTTCCTGGGATGGGGAAAATACCCGGACCATTATGATGGTTTCTTTCTATTCTGATATAATGAACTGAGATGATAATTTATCAACCTTCAAATTATTTTGCGTACCTAGGTAATTTAGTGTGTTTTTTCTGGGCGTTGATCTTGCGAATAATTAGAACTCAGAGCTTTGAAAATGAACCAATCACGTGGCTTATTTTTAGTTGGGCTCGAGATTTCCCCAGAAAATCTTTGAAGTTTAAATATAGTAAACTCAGTAACATGCGATCTTATTTATATCGAGCAAGAGCACTTAAACTTAAAATCAGGTGCCCCATTACAGAATCGTATGGCATTAACGCAGAGTAGTTGGCCTCGATGTCTCGCGAGGTAAGTTACGATTTATCCTGCAGGGCTTGCAAAATTTCTGTACGCCCCGCCTCAGGGCATCACCCACTGACCCTTCATGCAGCCGGCTAGTTTCGGCCTCCTTCACAGGGAACATGTCCTGAATCCCATCACGGCTTTGTCTTTTTACACATCTTCAACAGACGGGCAGCAATATGTTCTAGCAGGGGAAGATACGGATATCAAGATCTATCATGTGCAAACTTCACGCCTCTGTGGCTGCTTACCCGTGTTTCGGGCTCAGTCTATTCATGGCATCGCTGTACCACCAACCCAGCATCCCGGTCAGGTTCTTGTGTGGGGTGCCTACTCTATCAAGGTTTTGCCCGGAGATATCATCGAGGCCCTGATTTCAGGCCGCAGTAACGAGCAGGACCTGACAAGACCCATTACCGAGACCCGGGCACCTGATTGGATTTTTGATGGGAGAATCTCACCTTTTGGGGGTGGCCGTATTGTCCTACTCACTGCCCATAACGAGGTGATACAAGCGCATGTAAATAAAAAAACCGGTTCACTCGTCTTCGACAGTATACAATCCCCTTCAAGACCAATCCTGTATTCGGGCAATTTCTTTTGGGTGTCTCAGGATTGCGTGCTTGTGGCTGCCGGTACAGTATTCGGTGAGATATTAGTCTGGAAATGTTACCTCGAGACGTCAACACACCAACAAAATTGCGAGGTTCTCTTCGTTTTTACCGGTCATGAAGGATCGATTTTTGGGGTCCATATTTCCCCTGAAATACAAACCACAGGGGGAGAGGCGCTGAGACTTTTAGTGAGCTGTAGTGACGACAGGACCATTCGGGTTTGGGACATCACTGAAAGAAATCGAGATCAAACCCAAAACGGATATGAAAATCGTATATCGGATGCACGAGAGACGGGATTCGGCAACAATGAAGAGATTACAGCTTTAGACGATTCATCGGCAAGGTGCCTGGCGACGGCTATGGGACATGCTTCAAGGATATGGCAAGTCGAGTTTCCGGAAGACCAACCATTATTCCAGACGTCTAATATTGTGGAACTTTATTCATTTGGCGAAGACGCTACGGCTCAGAAATGGAACCTGCCTCTAAACTTACAGCTTTCCGGCACCATCACTTCCGGTGAACCTTCCGAGAAACCTGCCGCCAAGCTGACACACCAGTTGACCTCGTCGAATCATGGCGGGAAACATATTTGGTCTCACGCTATGGTATCCAAAGGTGATGACTCCCTCATTGCTACTGGCGGCTCTGATGGAAAGATTGCTCTGATAGGGACAGGGGTGAAGAATATATCACCGAGAATAATGAATGGTAATGCCAATAGAACGCACGGAAACGGGAAAGCTATTACGTGGTCTCTGACAGATGTGTTGCAATCTTCTCAACCAAGCGATTCAACAAAAGATACCCCAGAGCCGATCGATCCTTCCAGCAGTCTGGTCTCACCACCGCGGGCCTCTAAGCCCAAAAATGCCAAAGAAGCCTTCAACCGATATACATTTATCTCCGACAGCCGGCTACTTGCTGCTACAAACTCAGGCCGGATTTTTCTCGGTGTATTTGAAGATAAGCTGACATGGACGGAGCTAATTTTGCCAGAGGAAATCGGCCAAATAGTCTTTTCCCATGCTCTGTTTGGATCATCGGTGGCTTATCCGATAGCTCTCGTCGGCACAAGTAATGGCGATGTATATCACTTTAGCGAATCGGAAAATCGATCGCTTCGATTATTGACAAAGGTGGATGGAAAGGTTGCGGATATTTTCTGCCTATCTAACTCCAGAATCCCATCGAATGGCGGCCAGTTAGAATTCCTCGTTACTATCTTGCGCAATACGAAAGCCGTTATCATTTCGGTCAATCCGAATACATCGACAATAAAACATGTTGAATTCGATCTAGAGCCGGGCTTTATGGTCACTGCTGCAGCCTTTACTCAAGGGCATCTCGTTCTTGGGTCAAGAAAAGGAATAATTGCGGTTCTCAAGCGGGGCGAGGATGGCACGTATTCTAGTAACTTTTCGATCGAGGTACACAGAGATGAGGCAATAACCTCAATACTCCCTCTCCATAGTCGGGACAACCAACCAAGTGATTACATTTTGAGCACGTGTCGCGATGGCAAATATAGGATCCACGAAATTATTACGACGGGTAGCGAATCCAGCGCCGCGCTAATTCACGAGACTTTACCGCCATTTGTATCTTCTGTCGAAGGGGCCTGGTTCTCCGATAACGGTAATGGAACCCAAGATCTGATGCTTTGCGGTTTTCGAAGCAATAAATTTGTTGTTTGGAATGAGACACAACGTCACGAGGTTGCTACAGTTGACTGCGGAGGCTCCTCCAGGAGCTACGCTTGGGCTCCCCTGAGACACTACCCCGACGGGTTCCGATTCGTTTTCACCAAGGCGGGGCAGATGCATGTCTTCTCACAGACGCTTGCACCCCATAAGGCGCTGAAATCTGGAGGTCACGGGCGCGAGATCAAAGCGGTGAGCGCTTCCGCTGGGCGTTACATCGCTACAGCGGCTGAAGACACCGTGATACGGATATGGGGATATGAAGACGCCAATAATGATAACCCAAGGCTACGCTGCGTTGCGGCGCTAGAGAAACATGCTACAGGCATACAGGTTCTCAAGTGGTACAAAGATGAGTACCTCTTCAGTAGTGGCGGAAATGAGGAATTCTTCGTGTGGAAGCTTAGCCAGCTTGAAAGCGGCGATTTCAGTGGGCTAGCCGTTGTATGCGAAGCCGTATTTCCTGATCGAACTGATATAGGCGATGCGCGTATTACGGATTTTGATGTAGATTGCGCCGAGGACGGTGGTGATGGCGCATACGAATTCACCATATCCATGACGCTGTCGAACTCGACGCTACAAACTTATGTCTACACACAACAAGCTGGGTTTCGCCTGTTAAGGAGACATACGTATACGGGAGCATGTCTTACACAAGTTCGGCATCTAGGAAAACATCACATCCTGGCTGCCGCTACGGATGGGCATCTAACTATTTACACAAACACAGAGCGGGGATTAGACGAGAGTTCCGCTGATTCCGAACCCCTTCCAGTTGTCACAAAACTACACCAAAATACCATTAAATCCCTCGATGTGCGCCAATTGCCCGCCGTTCATAATGGCGGCTTGTCTGAATACCTCATCGTCACAGGAGGCGACGATAATGCATTAGGATCTATGCGCGTTTCTTTCCCCTCTTCCCCCACAAACCAAGAAAAGCCAGGTGTCACAATAAAGAGTAAATCCATCATTCGCTCCGCACATGCTGCGGCTCTCACAGGTGTGGCTATCGCGCGCCTGGACGGAGGTGAAGACGCCGCATATGCTGTCACCGGGAGCAATGATCAGCGCGTTAAGCTCTGGCGATTAGCCGGCTACGAGGGGAAACAGCTAAAGGCACAGCTGCTTGACGAGCGATATAGTTCCATTGCTGACACTGGGAATTTGGAGATCTTTGGGAGCAAGGATGAAGACGAGGACAAGGGAAAGAAAAGGGTGGTTGTCGCTGGTGTCGGCATTGAGGTTTGGGAACTGCGGATTTAGGACATTACGAGCGAGGAAAAAGCGTGATCATTAGTAAAGGAAAGGAAGGTACAAGGGACGAAGAAGGGTGAGATCGGGTCTTGATCGCATATTCGAGCGCATTGCGCTAAGTACTCGTATTATCTAGACCATGCTCTGGTACCAGATAGACAGCGTCTATTCTACTTCAACAGCAGTATCTCGGGGCGGGGGGTTCTTGACCCCAAACCTAATCTCTAAATTGCCTCTTGCTAAGTCTTTGCTGTATTGATGGTATGACTCTACCTATAATATCGTGTATATGGTCTACGGCATATCATCCGGGTTCAAAATATCAAATCGAGAATTAAAACGTATTGCGATCAAAATTTGATTCAAATTACTACATGTATGCGTGAGCAGGCGAACTCGAGGATATATCTGCGTATGTACGTCACAACATGTCATGTCGGGCATGACTTCGTAACCCCGTCTCCATCACTAACCCGACTCCTAACTTGCTGTGTGTGTATCCGGTCCGAAAGCTTGAGAGAAGATATAAAAATTGTATATGTAGCGTAGATCGAGCCCGCAGCATTAAAAATGTACCTAAATATCATCGTTCGTTTCGTAAAAACCGGAGCGTAACAAAGTCGCGCCGTACTGTCTCGCCCCTCTTCTCTTTCCATAAAAATCATAATAAATTAATTACGCCAACTCCTCGTATGTGTATCATATATGTATCTCTGGCCCAAGATTGTTTGCTCCCGTATTTCGCCGTTGAACTCCCTTTCGTAGTAGGTACTTGCCCGAAACCAATCATCCCCGAGTGAAATAAAAGTCTATATAGGTATGTAAAATTTGCCTGTTCCGAACTGAATTCTGTACTGTACTTAAAACTGCTACGTGCGTGGGGACGTAGATGATGATAATGATCATAAACGATAAACGATGGTAATCACGACAAATCGAAATAAAAATCGAACTCCGACCCCTAAACTTTTGTATTGTCTTGATGAACGGCACCCCAGTCGTAGAAAAAAAGTAAATGATTCCGTCCGACCTAATGGAGCCAAACGCCTTGCGTGATAAAAACGTGTGAAGCGAGTTGGGAGATAGATGTTCGTGGGCGAGAAAAAGTATAGGTGGGTGGGTAGGTAATATTGTATTGTTCAATATTTTGCTCTGTTCTATTCTGTCCTTTTGAAGTGCTGTCGAGATGAAGTTTGGATTGGGTATCATGACTATTATGCTGCCAAAGCTTCGGCATATGGTGTGTGGACTGCAACTAATTGCTCTATTCTCGGTATGAGCTCGGGCATACGAAACGGTTTAGATATGACGTCGTCCTAGAATGACTTGATTAGCTTTTTGTTTAAATTTGTCAATGGGATAAAAGGAATACATACAACGCCTGCGGCCTTAGCATTCTCTATCTGCTCGGGCCGCGCATACGCCGTGACGGCGATGATGGGGATATGGCTGACGATCGTTCCATTCCTCTCGAGTTCCCGAATTTTGCGAGCACAGGTCATACCATCCATCACCGGCATTTCAAGATCCATCAGAATAACGGAGATATCTTCGCCAGATTCTTCCTTACCGGTCCAGTACCGTGACTGTTGCAATACCTCCAGGGCTTCACCTCCATGGTTAGCAACCTTGGTGCTGTTCCCAACGTTTCGAAGTGACCTTTGGAGCACTTTCTGATTGACTAAATTGTCTTCCACAATAAGAACATCAAACAGGCGTCTGCCATCTTCCGAATATCGTGGTTTGGAAGCAATGCTCTTCGCAGAGCGGCTAAGCATTTCTTGAGAAGCGGTTTTCGGGTGCCGCGTCTCGATAGTCGTTGAGGACCCGGGAGCACGTGTCAGAGGGGGAGCAATCGGCAATGCGGCGTGCGCATCGGGTGACGGACCGTCTGCTTTCCTACTCTGGATGTAAAAAGAGAACGTGCTGCCAATGCCCTTCTGAGAAGTCACACCGATTTGGCCTCCTTGCAATTCAGTTAGGATTCTGGATATAAATAGACCTAAGCCTGATCCACCATACTGAACGTGGGTTCGGGGAGTGGCCTGAGAGAAGCGCTGGAATAAGAGTTTCCTTTCGTGCTCATCTAAGCCCCGACCGGTGTCCTGAACGGAGAAATGAAGATTGATTTTGTCTCCGTTACCCCATTCGGGCTGATCGGTCATATCGTCCCTGTCGGCGCGGTCGCTAGGAAAGTACTGAATACCAGAATCGGTCCTTTCTGATATCTGACTGGAAGCATCTAGTGTCACTACAATCGATCGTTGAGGACGCGATTGTGTAAACTTAATAGCATTTGTCATCAGATTGATTAGGACCTGTAAAAGTCGCGAAGGATCAAGTTTGACCCAGTCAATGCCCATATCAAGGTATCGATTTTTGACTTGGAACTTCATCTCAATGCCGTTCGTGTTTAGCTCACTCTCGAACATCTTCAAAACACGCTGCACTACGGCTAACGGCTGAACATCGACGGGGGTGACGAGAAGTAGTTGTGAGTCTAATTTGGAAAGGGTGAGGATATCGTCGACTATTCGCTTTTGGTGACTGGCGCAAAGCGTTATGGTGTTAGCTGCTTCCATACAACCCTCCATGGCCAATCTCAAGGCTTCCTTCTGCCCATTGGTTTCTCCGGATGGTTTGATGTTCGATAATGTGCCAGATATTTCGTCTGCGCATTGAAGGATCGCACTTAATGGGTTACGCATCTCGTGACTCGTAATATCAATGAAGTTCTCTTGTTGCCGCTTGAGTTCGACCGCCTCCTCTCGTCGCTGCATTTGTATCTGCTCGGCAAGTTTTTGTTGCGAGATATTTGTAACGCACCCGAAAATTCCTTTGATGCCACCATCGGCATCCTTTTCTGGGTATGCACTCATCAACACCCAAGTATCTATCACATTTTCTCCTTCGTGACGGGAACACTTGAACCGAAACTCGTGGGTGATCGCAATCTTATCCCTAAGCAAACATCGCCATATTGTCTGTAAAGCTGGTCGGTCCTCGTCTTTGACACTTTCCATCCATGTATCCACACCCGAAGACCTATTGTGTCTTGATATATCCCACCACATATCGTTACTGTATGTAATGTGACCTTCCTCGTCGGCGATAAACATCCCAACTGGAGCAAATTCGGCCATTCTCGTAAACTTTAGTTCGCTCTCCTCAACCTCTTGTGTTCTTAAGTGCAATTGCTTTGTTAATTCCTGGCGATCTGCTGCGGCGATCTGGGCTGCCTTCTGACCACGACGAATTTCCTCTTCGAATAAGACGACGGACGCTAGCGAAGTTGCGAGTTGTCGAGATAATAGGTTAATGAAAAGTTGGTAGTCCTCATCGTATGGCCTTCTGGGATTTACACCCATCACTATGAAGCCTACGACGCTCTCGCTGCCGGTAGTCGGATGGACAGGGAAAATGACGATAGATTTGCATGCATCGCCCGGGCCTCTCCACGCTAATCCATTCATTAGACCATCGGGTAATGATCCATCATCTGCGGATAGGATAACAGGTTGCCCCGACTTTGACATGGATTCCCGCATGTACGGAGCAAAACCTTCGCTACTTGTCCTTAGATTGAGAGACTCAACTAGCAATGGGTGGCCTTGAGGTACGCCGAGAGAAGCCTCGAGCATCAGCTGAGGTGGGTTGACCCAGCTGCCCGAGTGCATAGATGAAACGTCGCTGTCAGAGTCCTCAGTAACCGAATAAACCAGATTAAAAGGTATGTCGTCCTCGTTGTATTCGAGGCCCTTGTTGACCTGACTCCAGAAACTCTTCACGTCACGAGCTAAGGCAGTTCTTTCTCCCACTTCGCGCAGCGTTAACATTCTCCTTTCAGCAACTTTCCGTCGAGTATTTTCAAAGGCTGGATTGAATAAACCAACAACAGAGCCATCATTGCCGACGAGAGGTACGATCGACCACGAAAAGAACGTTTCTTCGTCGAAACCGTTACGTCGTAGAATGAGACGGTCGTCATTCTTCATTGTTGCTTGGCCTGACTTCCAAGCACTTTCCAAAATAGGTTGCAATTCGGGCCAGAGCTCGCCCCACGCGTCTTTATAGTTCTGACCCATGAGTGAAGGATGCTTCGCACCAGCTAGAGCGACGTATGCTTCGTTATACATGGTGGTGAATTCAGGACCCCAATACATCGCAGCAGGATTAGGACTACCCATAACCATATTCGCCATGGCGCGAAGTTCCGAAGACCACGTTTCAATTGGACCGAGCGGTGTCGATGCCCAATCTCTTGTGCGAGCGAATTGTATGTGTTCCGGAAGATCCTGAGAAAATGGTATACGAGTCCAGTCGAAGGAAGGCTGTAACACAGGTGGGATGGCTTCCGGCGTCATACCGTCGTCGTAATGTAACGGCGCGCTGATTTCCCCATCGCTACTCACGTCCCGCCGGAGTTGACCCTCAACCTCAATAGGATTAGCAATACTAAAGTAATCTCGATCGGGTAACACGATATCACCACTAGGAGATTTCGCTTGAGCAATGGGTGTAAGGTCCCGAGTTCGCGAATCGATACTAGTTTCGCGGTCCAATAACGGTTCAGGTGAGGTTCGCGCGATCGAGGCAACACTAGTATTTACACTGACAAATCGATACCGATTTCGAATAGTTGAGCAAGTCCAGCTAAATCCCCCGTACCGAAATGAGGGGAGAAATATATCGCCTTCATCAACGTTGCCACCGCCTGACTTCACCCAACTCTTGAAGTGAATAAACTCATCCCGCGCTTCTACGCTGTCGCGAGAGTCTACCGAAAGTAATTGACGAATGGAATCCGAAAATTGAAGAGCCGGATTCGCATAAAGTAAAGCCAGGGGGTCTGATGTGTTACCAATTGGAGTTAAAATATCCACAATGAAAGTTGGCCTGTCATCGCGCTCTAATAATTCGAGGACACCGATACCTTGTAGCGCTTGTAGTCCTGGTGTAGAAACTAGGGACTCGGGACTCCGCGCAAGGTTCCCGGCGTCAATCGAAGACCAACTACCAGGCGTGCTGGAAGATCTCCCCGGACTTGTGGAGCTTACGGTGCCCCGAGCAAGCTTTAGAGTCGTGACCTCGGTACCGTCCCGCACACTTTTTAACATGGTTGCTCCCTCAGACCCGGAAAAGCTAAGAGGTCTTGCGATGGGCGGTCTATTCCGATGCGAGAAGAATAGCGGGGAGGTCAGGCCGTCAGCGAGCTTGGGTGGAAACGTAGGCTTGGGGTAAGACTTCAGGTCAATTTTGCGGGGCGGCGTCAGGCGAGCGCGCGGTTTCTTGAGTGCGCGCCGATTCGTCTCCCGGTCGTCGGGTTCACCCTCCGGTAACCTCTTCCCTTTCCCCTGTGTTGTCGCCGAAGTGGTAGTGCAGTGCGACTGTTGTACTACCGTGGTATTCGCCCTGCTTGCCGCCCAATTTGTCCTCGATCTCGTGTTTGACTCGTTCAGCGACCACACCGTCGAGTCCCCAACAAACGACTGTTGATGAGGGGCCGCAGCAGGTGTTAAACCATAATGTCCAATCTCCGTCGAATACTCCTCCAGGATACGGTTTACAGGGCCAGCAGTATCATTAGCGAGTGGAAAATGGCGTTGCCGCGCCGCTCGTGCGAAGGGACGAGTGGAGGCGGCGACAGCGGCAGCAGCAGCAGCAGAAGCGGCAGAAGCGGAAGCGGATGAGGGAGCACTTGTTGCAGATGTTGTGGTTACTTCGGGACGGGCGTTGTCTTCAAGGGCGAAGGTCGGATGGCTGCCCGAGATGGTTGGGAGATTAGGCTTGTCTGGATTACTTTGTAGAGTCATGAAGGAAATATTTCTCCTTTCAGTAACACACGAGATACGCCGGCGCCAAAGTCGAAGCTTTCTCCTCCTCACTTTGAGAATAGCCCCGAATTAACCTACTAGCAACAATTGGGAAGTGGAGAACCGTCGGGCTGTGGCCATGGATGGCGTAAGGCCCGTGGACAAGAGGAGGTCGAGGAGGAGAAGAGGTGGCGAGGACGGATATGAGAGATGTGGATACGAATAGTCGAGCCCGAGGTCCTCCTCATAACCATATACGCATTTGAAGATCTCCGATTTTTTTTTTTTCCAAACCGGACAGAGGCGCTTTTTAGACGAAGATGGGCTTGGCTTGTGATTAATACGAATGGTCCCTGTTTCCAAATTTCCTATGTTTTATTCTGCCTTCTCTTTCTTTTTCTCTTGCTCTCTACCTAAACCAACGCTAGATTTATCCCCTTCGTACAGCTAGATGGAAAACAGTTCGTTGGAGAGAAGGGGAAAGAGAGAAGGAAGGGCGAGATGTAAGATGAGTTGGTAGACGATAGACGTTAGATAGATGTATAATGTATAAGCCCAGCCCACTGGAACTGCTAAGGCCAGAAAAAATTGTGGTAGGACTGGGTTGCGTGGTTTAGGTGATCTGGCCGCCTACGGGAACCTACGCCATGCCAGGACCTGACATGCACTGATACTGATAGAGATGGATCTATCGACAGGGTTGGATGTCCTGAATGGGATGATATTGATATGTAGCTTAGGTAAGAGGGATTTTTTTTTCTTTCGTTGCGGATCAGAGCTAATGGGATTCTAGAGCAATAGTAATAATAGGGAGCGGTAATAGTAGTAGCAATGGTAAGAGTACAAAAACATTTGGCTTGAAGATAATAGGTAGGAATGGATGGGATGTATGTAGTAGGTTTGGTAGGGTAGCAATGTGAACTGTGTACTTTTTTTTTTCTTTTCCTCGATATTTTGTTCTCTTCTCTTTAACTGGACAGAAGTTAAAGGTGGAAATAAATGTGAGTGGAAGGTTTGGATTTGGGTTTGGTGTGCTGCGCTGTGCTTGCGCTGTAATGTGCCTATGTGTGTGCTCTGTGTTCAATGTCTCTAGCAACCTTGGAAAGTAGCAAAGTAGCAAAGTAGCAAAGTATTGCTAGCAAGTACATAACAAGTAGCAGCAATAGAGTTGCTTCGGCTCGTTTTCTTGGTTTGAAGTAAAACATTCGCGTGGGAGAAGTACCGTCGAATCCAGATCCGAAAGAAATTGGGTTTACAAGGGTCTAATTGATTTTCACGTTCCAGACCCTCTAGTAGACTTTTTAACTCCAGCAGTTCGGGTATCGCTTTGGGGAAAGTATCACTGAAGATCTCCTTAGCGGGCAGGGGGGTTTCTGGAGCTTGTTGATCACTTAAGCCTAACTAGGCCAACCACTAAGAATTCCGTGCGGGAGAAGATGCTACCTAGGTACTTACCCAAGTATTGTACCACACGAAAAATACATCCATCTTATGTATACCCACATATATCTTACAAGCTGGAGACAAGTAGATCCCTTATGGATGTAGAAGTAATCCATATTATTTTGTTTATTACCCTACGGTTGATATGCACTTGAATAAGTGAAATGAAGTAAGAGAAGAGAGTCAAAACAAGTTTAGAGTCGAGTTGAATATTACCATCCTTCGCACGTCTCTACCTTTTATATTATGGGCGGGAGGGAGCTGACCCATCGTGAGTTTACTTCTACTGTACTTGATGTGCATTACTGATAGGACTAGGGAAGTACATATGTATGTACTAACTGACGTTCAAGGTTGACGTTGTATAACATGTACATTAACATTACCGAACCGAGGCTAGAACTTTTAGGCGTCACATCTCCTACGTGATGTGTTACACGAAGTATCCTATTGCTTTGGAAAACGTAACCTTATAAAGGTAGCAGGACATCTGAATGATGTGCGCAAGTAGCATCTCTCCGCGTAAAACAACCTTAAAAGCATAAATATGAGAGATTATCTATAATAATACAAGTACTTGTCCTCCAGTGGTACGATATAGGTATAAGGTAAACAGCCTACATAGGTGCATACACGTAAATGTCTATGACAACACATTCCCCCACATATCTCATGATATAATACGTTGCCGGCATGACTAGTAGTGAGCGAGAAAAGGCGGCTTGAATCAATGCAGTAAGCAGGATTCTCGGGATTTTCAATGAACGAATGCACCATGCAGAGCTAGTGGTCCGCTATTTTATAGTACTCAGATAATTTTTATACTGCTTATTGTACGGCCTCGGTGCTTAAAAAGAAGAAATTAAGCACATGTATACGTTTTGATTCAACTTACATAATGTATGTAGCTATAAACTACAAACTGAAACGAAATCTCTATGTAGCGTCGTAAACCATCGTATAGCTATTTAAGTTCAAAGAATAGGTATGTCTACTATAAATCTCTAGGTTTCAGTAGACAGCCATAACCTTTCTGGGTACATAAACTCTCTACTAAAAAGCCTATAATCCCGGCACATACTCTACATTAACCCTCTAGTAATCATAGCTATCGTACGATTGATATACACAGTTCTTTCTGTTTTAATATGTGTAGGAGGGGCGGATGTACCGCATATGTAACTATCCGTTCCTACATAAATCCCACATTCTCTCTTTAGGTAAGTACAAACCTCATAAAGCTTCGCAATAGGTAAGAGCCCCATAGGCTTGCTTACATTAGCAACTTTTATTACCTAAGTTATACCTAAATATTCCTATCTGGGCAGGGACATTAAACGAAACGAAGCGAACACCCAATCCGTTTTATTTTAATTTCCTCTTATTATTTTCTTCTCTTTCGAAACAATACCTAGTACCCTCGACAATTGTGGATTTTATATTCTCCACGTGCCCTGTGCCCCAGCCCCCAGTGTTGATCTCTTAACTTTCTAAGATTTCTTGCATCAGCATGCCGGCTCCAACGTATTTCTCCTGCTTCGGATCGTCAATCCCTTTTTCGATACACCTATTCTCCACGCCTACCTAGGTAGTTTCCCCATGGGAAATCGGCAGGAAAGAGATCTTGATTTCGTTGCAGCTTCTAACGGAGCATTTCCCCTGATAATGAACGATGACGATGGAGCCTATCCAAGCTTGGCCGAGCCCTCCGTTGTGCTGAGCAAATGGGCATTCGTCGGTCGTGTCGATCTATAAGTCTAGACCAGTCTGATTTCACAAAATGGCGCGAGTCCGGCGAACTTGTTGGTGTGTCTGTTACGCAAGTCACGAGCCCGGGAAGCCTTTCTTCAATCCCCCGAGCTGATTGCTGCTGACCGATTTGGGCGATCCTCGATCTTCGATCCCGTCGGCTTATCATCGGGGGGAGGCTTTGTTGGCTTGCGTGTTAGAGACTTGGAAGGCTGTGGTATCTATTTGTGTGTGAGTATCCTAATCAGGATATCCATCATTCAAGCTATCAAACGCCATCATCTAGCGATCTTAGCGGGTCTTCCCGGTGACAAAAAAGACAAGCGCTGACCGACCTTCCTTGCGTTGAGGTTCTTATCCTGGAACAGGTTTCGTTTTTGTTTTAAACACACATTCCCGAGGCTTTCTTTATTCTATTCTATCTCCCTTCTTGAAATTTCCATAATTTCGCTACTATCTATCCACAGTAAAAAAATTCGAGTTTTTTTATTCTACGAATATGCTTGTCTTGCTTTGCAATCATTCTCAAACCCAGCCACATGCAGGGTCTTACGCATCTAAATTTACTATCCCATTCCAAAGACATTTCCAGATCTCAAAACCAAATGACCATTCATAAATGCATAATTATAACTTCAATGCCATTCTCTCAACAAAGGTAAAGACATTAGAGATTCATTTCCACTATTTATTTATTTTTTATAAAAAAAAAAAGTCATCTCTCACTTAGTAACCTGTCAGGGCTGTTTTATTATGTCCCCCTACTTAGTACAGTAGCAGGTCTTATCCGACATGTTTGTTATTCCTCTTCACTGAGGACCAGCCATTCATTTCTACCTCGTAGCCGCATGCAAGGGCTATGTATCCGTTCATAATTAACTCGCATTGCAACGTGGCTAGTACTCCACATTCATTACATTAACGCACGTTCGCAAATATAAACCCCTAGTCAAGCGTAGGATATTATGACTAGAGCATCAATTATCGCATATATTAGACAAAGATGGATTCTTTTTATTATCAGATGGAGGCCGCAGCAGAATGGCCAGATAATCAGTCAATTAGCTCCCTATCTTGGCTTTTGGGGGCCATTGCATTCATCAAAACGGAACGGGATCGGTCACCAAGATCCGAAAGGGATGAGAAAATCTGGGGGCCACAATCCAACGAGAATCCTGGTAGTTATATGCATAACCCGACCAGCGTCTTTCGCAACTATTGGCTCGTCTGGTTCGCCTAACAGCTGGTTGGTGAAATGGTTGACCAATGCCACTGCGGGACACAATCCTCGCCCAGAGGTGTGCCGGGGCGAAGCGCCCACTAACGAACCACAAGCCGGCGCTTACAGCTGCTCGACATCGCCGCTGTCGCTTCTCATTGGTCTTTAATGGTTGTACGCACATATCACAGCGCACCCTTGTGATTGACCTGCAGCCACCCTTCCGGCACCATCTCGTCGTTTAGCGCCCATTTCCTTAAAAATGGCCGACCGACCGCCAACTCCTCTTAACCTTGATCTCCTTCGTGAGTTTTGACGTAAAAACCTTTCATCATTCCCGCCGAGATCTTGGTCCAATTCCTACGACGATAGTCGCCATTGTAGGCGTTCCAATGTGAAGTACTAGTCGATTTGCTGGTGTCCAGCGTTGTCGCGATATCAGCCAGCCTAGGGAAATCCGCGCATTTATTTAGCCGAATTCTGTCGCGATCCAGCCGTATCCACGGTGCTCGAGAAATTAGACCCTCACGAGACCGCACTTGAAAGATCCTTCGTGGCGCGGGTTGTTTCAAAATGGGCTACAAACTACTCCATCGACAATGGAGGTCGACGAGAGCTATGTACATTACGATGATAGCAGAGCTTGGCGGAACTGTGGCAGTACTGGTTTTATTCGGCATTGCTCAACCAGATCTATACCGAACGAAGTTATGGCGGGCCGGCAATGAACTCGGCTTCAACTCTAGCCCAAATGTTATCCTCTATTCATACGCCAACTATGAACCATATCCGGATATCCCATTTGTGTGGTCTCAATTGTGCGTGATGGCTAGCCTCTATTATACCCAGAGCAAAAGGCTGACTATACACGTAGATTAACTAATTTCAATGTCGCCATATCCGTCCTCAGTCTTTTCCTCCTCCTCACGAAACTCATCGCGTTCATTATGCACGTGTGGTTCCCAATTATTGCCGCGATTATCAATATCTCCATGATAGCATTATACGCGGCGAGTATGGGTGGGCAAGCGGGCCCAGATCATCTTGATCCGACGTATCCAAGCTCAGTAGCTTGGTATATCGCTAAGCCCTGTACTGTGGCAGCAAATCAAAAGATACAGGGTTACTGCCGACAAGCAAAAGGCTCCTTCGCCGTGACGTGTATCATGTTGTAAGCAGAGAAAAGCATACTCTTATCGTCGGCATTCTCAGCTAATTTTTATAATAGTGGCATCTACCTTGCTAACCTAGGCCTAACAATATGGGCCCTACTACCGAACCCAGCCAACGATAAAGTTGACGAGGACGACGAGGATGAGACATCTTCGCCAGCAGCTTTAAAAGGAGGCAATTGGGAAATGCATGGAATTCCGCAGACACCGAGAACAGGTGGGCTGCTGTATACGCCACGGACGACGGCTTTCAATACGCTCGAAAGTAAAGCTCCCCTACGAGACCAGTATGCGTGAGGGACCGAATTCAGATCCTGGATAGGGTTGGTCTAATGACTATGGAGAGCGCCATCAGAAATTGAATGGTTGGTGAACTTTTCATCTCGCTCTGGAAGCGGATATCACCAGGATATAATACCACGAAGTGCATGCCATGTAGAAGCCCGGGGGAATCTTATAAGACTCTTGTTTCACAAGGAAAGGAATTTCGGGGTATGGTCTGGTGTTAAGGGAGTTGGAGTTTACTGTTGCCCGTGAAAACGGATTTATACCACGGGAGATATTAGGGGTCAACCCCCATGTACGATGTACACTACCTACCCACAGAGTTAACTGAGATACATTTCTCGTATTTTTTTGAGTTGTCCATGTCGACGGCTTCCCTATTCTGATGATTCTGCGACCATAATTAATTCGTGTGCCTCTCCTGACATCACTTATGATTACAGGGGTATGTGCGGGCCGTTACGGTATTGCTACTTGTCTTGTGACGTCGTAGTTCCGGTGGGATGTGATGCTTGAGATATCGAATGCGTATACCTACATTGAAGCGAACGTGGGGGCTTTGATGTCGATGTACTTCTAGACCATATTGCATATATGTTTATGAAGTTATTGAACGGTAGCTTTGATGTGCTCATATAGAAGCATCGCAAATGCTCATCCGCGTCTCCAGTCTCATTTACCAGCCTCCATTCCTATCTAGTGCCTATTCGCACATATCATTTCCATGTATATACGTCTCTTTAACACACAAATGTACTGGGTAGATGAAAGTGCGTCTAGTATATTTATCGCCTCTCGAATTATCTAGAAGGAAATAGCTACACATTTCATTTCTCCTCTACTCCGTCCCAAAATCCAAAATCACAGCCTGCGAATCCGGAACACCAACTTCAACCGTACCACCCACAACCTTCGCCGTCTCACCCACCGTAACATTCTCCAAGCGCACCGGTCGACCATGATCAAGTTCATAATTATAACTCCAACCATCCCACGTGATACCCGTAACCGCATCACTGCCATTCGCATACAACCGTCTCACCGTCGCCTCTTCTAACCCAAGATTTGATGAAGTAGGTAAAGAAAGCTGATAAGTCCGCGTAGGTCTCGGCTCTGGATTTAAATCCGAACCCCCGGTGCCGTTAAGCGTGTAATTATATTCACGCAGATTAACAACCAACAACCTAACCAACCCCCCATCCGCCCCATAAGCCGCATACGCAACATCCGTACTCCCATCCAACCTATCCCCCTCGCCCTGCAGCGCGACTTCACTAACACGAGTCCCCTTCTCCCCGATAAAAGCGGCCGCAGCCACGTTCCCGTAATACGGGGCCTTGGTGCCTACCGTCGTTTTGTTCGTCTCTATGGGTTGCCAGGAAGCGTACCGGTAATCGGTGCCCATGTGGTAATGCACGCGGCGGATCCCGACGGAGGCGGAGTATAATGCGAAATCGATGGTCCATAGCGCGGCGCCGAAGGAATTGGATAGGCCGGGTCGGCCTTGGTTGTATAGGGAGTTGGTTTCGCCTAGGATGTAGGGGATGCCGGGGTGCACGGAGGCATTTTCGGCGATGTGTTGGGACATGCTTTGGACTGTGCGGGTGTGGTTTAGGAGTGTGTTGGAGAGGGTTACGCCCGGGGTTTCGGCGCCGGATATGTAGCTTGGAGGTTGTGAGTTATGGTCTCGAGGTGGGAGTAAAATTGGCTTACTTGTGAGAGGAGAAGAGCTTGATATCACCGTCCTCGTCGAGGCCGTCGGCCCATGTGAGAGGGGCTTTGAGGTGGTTGCTAGTGCCGGCAAATGAGGGTGCTAAGTATCCGTATGTATCGTTGCTGACAAGATCTGGACAGGCATCCTTGAGCACTCGTTTGATGGCTCGGGTTCCTTCAAGCCATTCTGCTACGTAGTCCGATTCATTGTAATTGGATGGTCGGACGGGGCCTTGGGAGCTTGTGGCGAAAAGGTCGGGTTCATTGCCGTATTCCCATAGGTACAGTTTATCCTTTCCTATTGCTTTACAAGCTAAAGGGACGGTCGCTAGGAGCGTTGCTAGCTTTCTGTTGTCGTGATTCCCGCCCAAATTGAAGCCGTGTGAGAATTTCACGTCGGGCCAAGTTTCGTACGATTCAAAATATGAAGGTCCGATTTCAATAGTTGTCGGATAATCCGCAGATCTTGAAAGGTTGTAGGTACCATTGAGCGCAATTGTCAGCTCGGAATTGAATATGGCGTAGTCTTGGGTGTTTCCCCCGACGCGTATATACGGCTTTATTCCACTGAAGGCGCCGAGGTTGTCAAGTAAGTTGTTTGAGAAATCGTTGGGATTTGACTTATTACCTAAAAAGATATTAGTTATATCCAATGCCTAAGTATCCGACAAGCCGAAGATCTTACCAGCGAAATCTGGAAAGGAGGCAAACTCGATGGAGTAGCTTATGAAGCCATCAAAGGGCTCAATGGCGTTTGCGGAATTCGCTGTGTTAACAATTGCTTGTGCCACTGGCTTTGCCGCCACCAGGCTAATCTGCGTTAGCAGCATCGCGAGATTATACATGGTAGACTTCTAGCAGTAACTAGAATTATAAATTAATTTAACACATATGAACCGAGTGTATGTGAGTTTCCATGTAGTATATACGGGTGGCCGTCTTAGTAGATTATGAATTAGCGACAAATTGCCTCGGGATCTTCACTTTCCTCTTCAAGTTTACTGGGAATTGAAGCATGTTCTTATTCTTATACCGTCGGCGGAATATAAGAACGAGGTCATCATCCCTAACCGATAAAAGTCCCCTGAATTGCTAAGAGAGTGGTGGAATATCTCTGCCGGTCCCATGCTGGATCGACATAAGTTCACCTAATAAAGCTACCTTATTTAGACATAGAAACTTGACTTGGGGTTCAAGATCACGTCGTCTTTGGAGTGCATCGTATAAGAGATGCGGGGGAATGACTACGTTGCATCCTGAGAAACACCATTATAAGAGTCGGGATTCCTCGCCTCTGGTTTTTACTTAATGAGGCAAATGGTGTCGATTTGTTCTTAGTCGAGGTCTGCTTAGACACACCATTAGCTAAGGAGGTGAGGGAATCGGTTGTAAGTTGAAGGTTGCAGTAGGTGTATCGTTCACTAATATTTTCGATGATAAATATTAGAACCTCGGATAGCGCCCTCGGGGTTAACGTATTTTATCGAGACAGTGCTGTACCTACCCTATTAGCAGCAAGGGACAAGGCAGTTGCCCTCTGTGCCGTAGGTACCCCACAGTGATTGCTCCCCTGGGTTTAGCGTCTCTGCCTTCTGACCGATGTCGTCAGGCTTAATGTATCTGGTACCTATCCCACCGACGTCACTTTGTTGTATACTATTTCTTTCATCTTTTTGAGAGTATCATGACAAATCGGGTCATAGGTTACGAAATTGTTGTATGCACAGGGCCGATTAATACCCCTAGATCTCGTTCAAGTTCGCCTCCTTAGAGATCGAGCTGCTTTATTTAACCGATACCCTTCGTATCTTTCAAAATGAGTTTCCTTCGGGGTATACAGAGGACTGTTACCTCTTCATCACGACTCGCTGTGAGATCCAATTTTCAAAGAACCAGCCTGCCACTCGTCATGACGCGATTAGCATCTAGTAGAGCACCAAAGGTAAGCTTACTTTTATAATATGTATCATATAGCTAGCATGTATTCATTTTCACATTATACAGCTCAACGACCCCTCACTCTTCAAAACCGATGTTTGTTATGTGAATGGAGAATGGGTTAAGGCCGCATCGGGAAAAACCTTTGAGGTATTTGATCCTGCTACGGGTGAGCTCGTCGGCACCTCTCCCGAGTTCACCGGTAAGGATACCGAAACAGCTATCGCCGCAGCTGCAGCGGCATTTCCTAGCTTCCGGACAAAGACAGGTCGGGAAAAGGCGAGACTACTCCGCAAATGGTACGATTTGATGGTCGAAAATGCAGACGACCTCGCTAAGTTGATAACATGGGAAAATGGCAAGCCACTTGCGGATGCGAAGGGGGAGGTAACCTACGCTGCAAGCTTCTTCGAGTGGTTTAGCGAGGAGGCACCAAGAACATACGGCGACTCGATACCAGCTACGGTGCCAGGTAACAGGGTTCTAACTATTAAGCAACCTGTCGGTGTTTGTGGTCTAATTACGCCGTGGAACTTCCCTGCTGCGATGGTTACACGAAAGTTGGGTCCCGCTTTGGCAGCTGGCTGCACAGTTGTTGTCAAGACGCCGGGGGAGACACCTTTTACCGCTTTAGCCTTGGCCGAATTGGCGCATAGGGCTGGAATACCGAAAGGTGTTGTTAACTTTGTGACGACCTTGGCGAATACGCCTGAAGTTGGGGAGACGCTGGCGACTCACCCCGTCGTACGGAAAGTGTCTTTTACAGGATCGACCAATGTGGGAAGACTTCTCATGAAACAAGCCTCTCCAACATTGAAGGTTTTGTCGATGGAACTTGGTGGCAATGCACCGTTTATCGCATTTGATGACGCAGATGTGGATGCAGCTGTTGCAGGCGCGGTCGCCTCTAAATTCCGCTCATCCGGACAAACATGCGTGTGCGCCAATAGGATATACGTGCAAGAGGGTATCTACGACGAATTTGCGAAGAAGTTCGCCGAAAAGGTCAAGGCCTTCAAGGTAGGTAATGGGTTTGATGAAGGCATTACACATGGACCCTTGATCCATGACCGGGCCATTTCTAAAGTTGCTGCCCATATCAAAGATGCTGAGAAGAAGGGTGCTAAGGTGGTTCTTGGTGGACAGAAGTTGCCGGACCTGGGATCTAACTTCTATCAACCTACTGTTATCACGGGTATGACGAAGGACATGGCCATTGCGTGCGAAGAGACCTTTGGACCTGTAGCTGGATTGTTCCCATTCAAAACGGAACAAGAAGTTGTGGATCTAGCAAATACTGCTGAAGTTGGTCTGGCAGGTTACTTCTTCTCGCGAGACCTGGAGCGAATTACTAGAGTAGCCGAGGCTCTGGAAGTCGGTATGGTGGGCATCAACACCGGCATAATCTCCGATACTGCTTCACCTTTCGGAGGTGTGAAGCAATCTGGATTCGGCAGAGAAGGATCTAAGTATGGTATTGAGGAGTACTTGAATATCAAGACGATAACATGGGGAGGCATGAACAAGCCATTGCAAAGCTAGGTGATGTTTAACTACATGATTAATAAGGCCGGCGTTTCATGTCATTAAAAAGGGATCTTAGATGACTTTATGAATTTGAATCATTGAAGAAATAAAATGAAGCTCGCTGTCATGGAAATTATAAATGTCTCTAAAGGGACTTATGCTTGTATCCATGATATAACTATATTTGACTAGCGTATACAATTCAACAAACCGAAAACCACCCACCAAAGCTGCAGGCTTATCTAATCGAAATCTCGAAAATTTCCATTAAACTTGAATTCGAATTCAATTCCACCATCGAACACAACCACATCACTCGGAGGCCACAATGATTCGGCATCCGCTACACACGGCCATAGGCCGCACAAGACCCGACATAACCCGATTAACAGACGGCATCGCAAATTCCTTAAGACAATTCTCCATATCCGCGCACCGAAGTGCCGGTCCCGATAACAACTCCAATAACGATAATCCTTCTCGAAGGCCGAGTAGCCGCGAACGTGCTGCTGCTGCTGTTGACGAGTTAATTGCTACGATCGATAACGTCGCTTCTTCTTCCCCGTCACGACAGACTTTCGCTACGAGCTCGGGAGCTAGACCTACGGGGAATGGGGAGAGTTTGGGTTCGAACGCATTTACGCCGCGATCTCAAGGCCCGAATGTAATCACCGTCAAGAGCCCACGCGGCGGCCTCAATTTCCGGCGTGTCGCATTCCCCGAACCCGGCTCAGATGGCAGAGCTCCTAATATCATCCGCGGCGGTTTCCGAGGTCGCGGACGGGGACGGGGACGTGGTGGTGGACGAGGAGGTAGACGAGACGACCGACCGCGAAGGGGACGCCGTAGAGATGGCGAAGATGGGGATAGACGCTTTGGGGGAGCGGATAATACACCCCTAATAGACGATAGTCCACGCGTGAGAGCGTACCTCGAAGAACGGGATACCGGGTCAACATTACCGTATAACCCCTCGCTAACCCTTGAGTCACTTGCCGGGTGGGGTCCTGCGGTCGGTACGGGAAATTCGTATGCGCAGGGGGAGACGGCGTTACGACAGGCGAGGGTATTAGGTGGGGGACAGCATTTCCATCCGCAGCACTATGTCTGGCCGAATACGATTCGTGAGTGGTATGGCAAGAGTACCGAAACGGGTCTTTTTGTGCCGCCGTCGGATGACGCTAGGTTGTGGACAAAACAGGTGCTTAAGGATAGGCCGATTGAGGCACCGGAAGAGGTTAAGACGGCGGTGTTGGAGGATGCGCTGCTGGGTAAATATGATGGGCCTAAGTATGCGGATCCGAGCGATACGATTGGGACGCTGAAGAGCTATATGAAGAGACATGGCACTTGGAGGGCGCAGGCGGAGAGGGGTATTGAAGAGAAGGTTAGGAGTCTATTGGGACAGTCTGCCGGAGGAGCTGCTGCGGCTACTGCTAAGGCTGGTGGTGCGAGAGCGAAGGAGGTGAGACCTAAGGCATGATCTATAGCTATATGAAAAGCCTTCAGCTCTATTCTACTCTACTAGAGTTAAGATGTGTACATATGATCCTGAATCCTGAATGTTAGATACGGGTCTGGATTTATTTTGCAGCATCATGAGACGCTTGTAACAACACCTAGTCTAGTGTACATCTATATATACACATGGGTATGCACATCTCTGTTGACTTTATATGACCGAAAATATCAACTACTTTGCAACTATTTTTTATGTAATGCTCCACTGGTCACGATTTTATGTCGAAGTTCGTCCATACTATATCGTACTTCACTTAACCTCAACAGCCTTGAGCGCCTGCTTCTCTGCCTCATCAATCTCAGTCATCTTGGCTTTAATAATCTTCTCAAGCTCTTTCTCAACAGTCCTCTTCATATCGGGACCAATAGCCCCATCCTTTCTCCACGCCGTAACCTGCTTGTCCCTCTTATGCCGTATACTCCTAACCCTATCCCTCCAATCCAGACAAGCCGCCTTGATCCTTCGAATCAAACCATCCGGCTTCTCCGGCTCGATCTTGATAATAAGTTCGAGCTCGTTATCAGGATCCCGCTGCGGCTGTTGGTTGAACTCCTCGCTTCCCTGCACGGCGCTCATGATGGGTTTGATATACGCCTCCTCGTTTACGAGGATTGAAATTGTACGTCCGCCTCGGTGGATCACTTGCGCTACTTCGCGTAAGGGATATGTGATATCGGGTTCTTTGCGGTTGGGCGTTACGCGTAGATTGCCCATTAGATCGGGGTTGAATCGTCCGCCTGTGCGCATCTTCTTGAGAGTGTCTCGGAACCGCTCGTCGTGCTGCTTTATTCGCGAGTGCACGTCTGAGAAGTCGAGGGGTTCCTCGGGGTTTGCGCGCGGGTGTTTCGATCCTTCGCCATCTTCGTTGTCGTTTTCGGCGCGGTTTGTTGGTGCGGGTTCCGGCTTCTGGTTCTTTTGGTTTTTAGGAGGTTTGGAGTTTTTTGCCTTGGCGGGTGAGTTCTTCGTTGTGTGGAAGGATCGTTGGTTTTGTTTGTTATTGTATGGGGTGAGTTGAGAAGAGGCAGTAAGACTGAAACTTCGTATAGGAAGACATTGCGCCTGTTTCGCACTGGCGAGGCTGGCTTGTCGAGTTATTACATCGTAACTGTTTCTGTGGGCGGGGTTTGGTAAATATTTTGATTTCGATTTCTATGACCAATTGGGAAAAACTAACGCTCTTCCTGGCTCGGGACGGGCGAGGGCATGCCGCAGGATTACTCTAGCGGTTGTATTCCTCATTGTTTTCTTTCTTTTCTACTGAATTGAGCGTTGTAAGTTCGTGAGCTAAATTTTAAGTTGGATTTGTTGGTGGAAAGTCTTGCATACAGTTCCCTATTTCAGAATCCTTATCGATTAGTGACCTACTATAGTCTCTGGAAGCAAGCACAGGGCCCGGAAGGCATCTTCTATAACACATTCTACTCGGCATTGTAGAGAGGGAAAGAGTGATCTGGTATTCTAAGTAAGACTTATACATACAACTATAGAAAGTTCAATAGGTTTACCTGCAAATCTTGAATATTATACTTCTCTGTAGTTGGCTTGGGATAAGTACCCAGACATCATACAAGCTTCGAGTAATAGGTATATTAAACATCTAAACTACAGCGCTTAACACCTATCACAATGCGCTAGAGGAAAGAAACTCCCCTATATCCAGACTGCTAGACAAACTCTCAGCGGCCTCAAAGCCCCCACAAAGCTGTATGCGCTAGTTCACTAACACACGGGCTCACATAGCGTTATAGATATAAAGCAATGCAGCGGTGCAATTTACCATCTGATTAGCACCCACAAATCCGAGTGGCAAGTGGTCGACTGGTGTAGTGGTTATCACACCCGCCTTACACTAATACTAAGCAGCAACGCATTAGCGCCGTTTGCGATGGTATATATGTGAGCGCGGTAGGTCGCAGGTTCGATCCCTGCGTCGATCAATCTTTTGCCTTTTGAAAGAATTTGGTCTATATTTTCTTGTTCTTATAATGCATATTTGCATCACATTTTTATCTTTTTGTGCGAATCGGTGGGTTGGCAAGTACATTAGGCCGCTAAGATGCCTGCGGTATTTATACATCGTCATTAGAACATATTGAGGGAATTTCACACTGGAGGAGGATATGGCATATATATATTATACACTATAAATCCATCGTAGGCATATAAATTCGCATACCTAGTGAATAGCACATATACATGCAAAGTGATTTATATATCAAAGCATGTATCCTAGCTTTACGAAGACGCCTTAGCCCTCTTTCCTCTTTTCCCAGTTTTCCCCTTTTGCTTGCCCGTAGCCTTCTGAACGCCATTTCCTTTACCATTTACATTTCCATCCCGTTCAGCGCCATCTGCATAATCCTCATCATCGTCATCATCATCAATCGTAACCGTATTTGTAGCTTTCCTCTTCCGCCGTCCGGTTTGTTGGGGCGGTGGCGCAAGATCCTCGTCCTCTGCAGGGCTCACTGCGTCTTCAGTAATGGTGGTGATACCGTCGACTACTGCATTCGCGCGTAGCTTATTGACAGCATTGGCCATGCGCTTACTGCCCTGAGCCCTCTGGCGCGGCGCGAAAGCTTCCTTCGCTCCGGTGCCGACGCCGCCCTCAAAGAACCGGGTGATATTGCTCTGTGTACCCTCGGCTTCGCGACGATTCATATCCCGTATCACAGGGACAAGAACCTCATCCGTCCTATCCTCACTCCATCCAATTGTGCTCATGAGGAATTGTCTAAGACCAGCCACATCCGGTACACCCCACTGGAACTGCTCCGGATTGCTATCGACTTCCGGATGCAGGTAAGCATCATATACAGCTGGACTCGGGAACATCGTAGGAAGAAATAGCTTCGTGCCTTGAGACTTGCGAAACTTCCTCCGAAACGTAGAAGACTGGTCTGCCTCTTTTGGTCGGTTATGGGTCTGGACATCCTGCCACCAGTCTCGAAACTTCGTAAGCCCGTCTCTACCGGGGAACTCGGAAAGTATTTCAACGGCGGTTACGGGTCCAACTCCAGGAAGACCTTCTGTATAATCAGAGCCTAGTAACTGGGCTAGTGAGATAAGCTGCTCTCGAGAAAGTGAAAGTTCCTTCTCAAGATCGGATCCTAGGTAACATTCGACAAATTTGTTACTATTAAACATGTTCTTGTACACCCGCGTACCGCCGAAGAGGAAGGTATCCGAGTCGTCTGTCACTATGCCGTCAACGAGACCAAGTTTCACTAGTTCAGCGCATTGAGCTTCAGCTTCCATGGGCGCGGTGATGTAAGGAATACCGAAGAATCGCAATAGAGCTTGACATTCGGTAATCATGATTTGTGTGACTTCATCCGCATCTCTGCGGTCCTTTTTCTGTTGCGTTCGCAGTGCTTTGAGTTCTCGCTCATAAGCCTCTTGATTTTCCTTCTCCGACTTATTATTCAATTGGCTAGCAAAACGCGCGTGCTCTTCAGCTTCTTCGGCCATTTGGGCGAGAAGTTCTTCTTCCTCGGGATCACTGAATTCGCCGTCATCGAACTCGGCATCGCCAAAGAGCACGTCATTGACATCTTCGGCTGCGGCTTCTATTGCCTCGGGCTGTTCAATAGTATCCGGTCCTGGTACACCAACATCTTCAAATGTTGGTTCTGGAGATTCGGCTCGCGCGTCAGTGTTATCAATGGTAGGCTCACCTGGAGGCTGTGGAATCTCAACTTCTTCAAACACTGGTTCGGGTGAGGATGATTTAGATGGTGATTTTGGATTGGAAACCGCGTCATCCATCGCCTCCACTTGAGAAGTAGTCTTTTCCTGTACAAAGTCTGCTCGCCGCGTATCCTCAATTTGATCTTCCTCGTCAGCAATAGGAGGATTGACTCTAGTTAAAGTAGCGGGAGATAATCGTGGTGTACTTCGAGTCTCTTCCACAGCTGTAGGACTTTTCTGACGAGGTACTGGAGGAGCCTCGATAATTTCCACATCACTTTCATCGTCGGAAGACTCAATCTCAATGATCGCGTCCTTACGCCGCTGTCTTTCCTCTTCAAGTGCTGCTTCTCGGTCCTGCTCGTTGATTTCATTCTCAATTGCCCGTTGGGCTTTTAATGACTCTCGAATGTCCGTCTCATCCTGCATCATCCACGGTGGTAATGGTCGGGGCTTTTCTGGACTTTCTTGCACTTGTGTGTCTTGTACATCATTTTCTTCATCCTCTCTTATGAATCCACCAGCAAATTCCTCATCGGGATCTCGCTCTTCACCAGCTCCATTCTCGGGAGCTTTGGCAGGGGGCTTCTTTTCTATATTTGCGAAAATACTAGACTTTAAATCTAATTTCTCAAACGGTAAAGGTCCATCAAATGGATTCTTCACATTCGAGACAATGGGAGCAACTTTCCGTTGGAATGTCGGTGCCTTAGCTTTCTTCTTTCTTTTTGAAGCTAGAGCAGCCCGTAAGTCAACCTCGCTGTCGCTGCTATCATTACTGTCCCGTCGCTGAATCGTGGGTTTTGGTACAGATGCATTGGCTCTATTATTCACAATATGTGCAATCATGTTGCCACTTGAAAATGCAATTGGTTTTGACTGCTCGACGGCTTTTTGAGTCCACTCGGGAACGGGGACGTCTTCAAATACTTGGTTTTCGTCTTCATCCTCTTCTTCTCCCGAGGCTACCCCATGTTGATTCTTAAGCGATAAGGCGATGGCTCGGTTGAGATCTTCCTCTTCATCATTTAAAAGGTTTTCATCACCGTTATTACCTCCAACAAATAGAGATTCCTCATCTTCATTGGCACCAAACAAGTCTTCATCACTTTGCAACCCAGCATCGTGAAGTTGTTGCTTTCGTACCGCAGCGTCGTAGGCAGCTCGAGCCGCTTCAGGGACTTTTGGTAACCTATTCAACCCTTCAATAGGTACGTCCTCAAAGTCATCGTCGTCTTCCCATTCTTCATCCTCTTCTTTGGCTTGATACTGGAAATCCAATGCGTCCACATCAATAGGTTTGTGGATTTCGCCGCGGTCTTTCTCTCTGCTCACAACACCAAGGGCGTAACCACCTTCAGCTCCCTCATTTTTGACCAAGATATACTCGCGATCCTTCTCACCAGCTATACGAGCATTCTTCGCCAGCGTAAGATCTGTTCCAGCCATGCCAGCTTCTTGCATGAGTCTTTGTGTAAGATGGTTTCTCTCGCGTACTCTTTCGATCTGGAAACGCGAGAACGCCATCCTGTCAGGAAACATGCCATCCAACTGGTCTTTGCTTAAACCCATTCTCAATCGACTTCGTATTCTCGCCGCATTCAGAATGTTGTATCTATCCACAGCCGGTAGACTTTTGAAGAACTCGCCCTCGAAGTCGATCTTGCTGAAATCGTAAACATTGATATCTTCGCCTCTATCGAACTGTCTCGCGTATTCTTCCAACTCCTCAATACTCATGATACGCGGATCTTCCGGCCGGCCCATGCCTTCAATGCTGCCATCTAAGTCGGGAAGGTGATACGCATCTTGTTTGTAAAACTTCCGACTCTTCTGCCGTTCGGCTTGGTTCATGCCCAGCTCATCGACATAAACCAGTTTACTCACATCCGGAATCTCCTCAACCGGTTCATCAATCTCCCGTCTCCCTTCCTCCTCACGCTCCGTCTTCCGTCTGCGCTTCTCCCCATCCTCTTCAGCGATACGTTGCATCTGCACCGCCAACAACTTCCCCGCTGTACGCACAGCATCCTCCCTCCTACCCTCACGTCTCCTCTTCCTGCCCGTAATCGTCTGACGCTTCAACGCAGGTGCGCCCCCATCGAACACAAACACAGGTCGGATGCCAAACCATAACAACTTGCATATGCGCCGGAAGAAACCCACGACATGCGAGTTGCGCAGCGCGTTGCCTTCTTTGTCGCGTACTGCTTTGAGGAATTGGTAGATCCAGATCGATGCGTCGACGGCGAGTCGCTTGCGGTTTAGGGTCGCGAGGTTGGTTGGGCGCGCGCAGGGTTGGACTACGGTCCAGAGGCCGTTTACTCCCATGGTGTCGGTTTGGGAGGAGGATGGTCAGGAATAAGGATGAGCTGTCTGGTAGTTTTAGGGAGGCGAAATGCTCATGTGTGGTTTAGGTGTGGCCACATGATTAATGAATTCGCTGTAGAAGCGAAGGTCGAAGGTTGGACTAAGAATAGAGAGTAGAGAAATAAGGGAAGTCGCCGCCTCGAAATGCTGTAGACAAATAATTATGGCAATGATGACTCAACGCCGCGCTGCGACGATGATCGCGTCCAGGCAGGGACGGCCCCGGCGACTTTAAGTACCTATTTACAGGGGTTCGTAATCGATAGGAAGCTAGTATTCTATCGATAAGCCCCGCGGTACATGCGGTCCTTGTCAACTCCGATGGTCGTACACATAAAATATATTCCCTTGTAATCATACACAAGGCATCTTGAGTAACCCAGCATACTCTTCAATTGAAACATCGTTTTCCATACTTCTAGGACGACTCGCATAGGAAATATATGTTGCTGTAATGGAGAACATTCCTGTGAAGGAAGAAGCAGACACATTCCTCAAGTCCCTCATCAACAAGAACCTGCGCATCTACACGACGGATGGAAGGCTATTCATAGGCACATTTAAATGCACCGACACTGTTCGTCGTCCTGTGCTCTTTTTATGATTATACTCTTTATATTATAACGCCATACTAATCCGGCCTTGTTAAATACAGCATAGTAACGTAGTCCTCTCACTCACCTACGAATACCGTCAACCGTCGCAACAGAAACTAGCCGAAGCCGCCGCCGCCGCCGCCGCAGCCGGATCGGGACAAGCCACCGTAACGGCGGATATGACATCGCGGTATCTGGGTTTAGTCGTTATCCCCGGCGAACATATCGTTAAGATGGAGGTCGAGCAATTCGCTAGTCAGATGAGAAGCCGGTCCATATTAGAGAGGCGGGATATTTATGGCGGCCGGTGACCCGATGTTGTGGATACAAGACGATAGGACACGAGTTTTCACGAATTTTGTTATGACACTATTTGCGAGAAAGATGAGTTGGGGATTCGACTTCCGAAATGGAACATAGACATACCAGAAACGGCAAAAGAGCCAATTGGTTAGGTTGTATTGATAAATGGAATGCTTCACGAAGATACCCAATAGAGCCCGCACATATGCAGATATCAGTATTAAAGAGATGGTAGCGTTATGAACGCTGTTACAAAGCCTCTGGTGACCACATCCCGACCAAAAGAAACCGCAAATAGGGGCGCGACCCGATCTACTTGTGAAGCAAATTACTTGTTCCCGAGTGGCAGGGAAACACCAATTCTGGCTTTTTCGGGTCTATTTACTATTGGTTGAATCCATGATGCTCACCTCGAACAAAACTAAGCGTCCAATAGCGAGTCTTACCGAAACAGCAGTATCCATTTATCCCAGGAGAGCCGCTCATAGGCACTACTTTCAACGTTCAACCCAGTCCGAATAAGTTAACATATAGCTTAGTATATCATAATCGAACCTTTCAAGTAAGAGATGCGACCCCATATATCTCAAGCTGCATAGTGGGTTTCATTATAACACGACTCTCATTTCTTTAAAAAGCAGAAATCAATCTAAACCCGAAAAAGACTCTCCGGCGTAAGTACTGAAGAAAATATTATATCGGATTACTGCTTAGGTGGTTTCGGGAGCAAAACTAGAGGGACGGTGTACCAGTTAGGGCTGTCTGCATTATGGATCGGAACCCGCTATAGAGCATCTCGGGCGGACTAAACTTGCATTGAAACCCACTCTGGTACAATGATCATCTCCGCGTTAGGTATGCTTCACTGTAGATTAAGCGTGGGATGTATCGCTTGTTTGGAACTTTTCGGCGTTTCTCGAGAGGCTCCGAAAAACGTGGAGAGCTCAACTTCTAGTAATATGACGATTATCTCCATCGAATTAGAGCTTTTCAGCCAGCAGTCGACTGGATACATAAGGGTTTCTGTAATCCGATTGGTCCGTAGTATTTTAACTATCCGTCAAATCGTAGCAGCTCATATGTAAGTGACGATTACATATGTAGTTATGTCCTTGCGGAACATAGGTATAAGTTGCCTTTGTCCGTCACATGCCGTCAGTACTAATAGCTTACAAAGCGGCAAGCCCATCCTTAGAGAACCTCGATCGGAATACAATACCCCTAGGTACCTACACCCCCTTCAATAACCGAGAGAAAGTAACATAGGCTTTACCCACGGAGCCGGTATCACAGCTAATTTATTATTCATTTCCCGTCTGAATATACCGGGAAACAAGGGGTTCGGGGTAGCGCTATGTAACTAGATGCGGGGCCAATTAGCAACGGTATACAGGAATATGAGGGGCATGAGCTCGACGTCAGGTGGGAAGCGGGATGGATATCTATGAAAGGTCGTATTTTAAGATCGATCTTTGGGAATATTGAGATCACCTTGAGATTATACACCGAAATTCGCGTATATACAAAAGGTGACAACCACGTTTATATCTCCCCGGATTTTGTTGGTTTCAGAAAGTCTTTATTGGGTGATACTCGAACTGAAACCTACTATCTTTTTCTTTTAGCGTAACCGAGAAGAGCATTTCACCAAGGACTAAGAGATAATTCGGCAAAGCGCCGCACACATCCCAAGCTGAACTCGTTCATCAAGTCTCCGCAACAATGTCAACATACGTGGTACCATTCGTCATTAATGGCAAAGAACGTCATGCTGAAAAGACCTTCGATGTGGTTTCACCCGACACTGGGAGGTTTATACACAAATGTGGCATAGCGACGGAGGCAGATGCTATCGCAGCCGTTGAGGCTGCTGCGGCCGCTAGCGAAGAATGGGGAAAATCGCCCGCAGGCGAACGTCGAGATATTCTTCTCAAGGCAGCTGAGATTATGAACAATAGGCGAAGTGAGCTGGCACAATACTTGATAGATGAAGTCGGCGCACCACGTGCATGGGCGGAGAGTAATCTCAATCTCGGCATCGACCTGATTAAGGATGTAGCTGGGCGAGTCGGCGCTATTGAGGGTGCTGTCCCTCCAGTTGCTATGAATCTTTCGGCGATGGTTGTGAAAGAACCTTATGGCGCTATCTTAGCTATGGCCCCATGGTAAACACCTCTCTTAATTGATGGCTGGCGATAATTATAGCTGATAAATCCAAAGGAATGCGCCGTATATCCTAGGTACACGATCAGTACTCTACCCTATCGCTGCTGGTTGCACGGCCGTTTTCAAGGGCTCTGAATTGTCACCTCGGTCTCACCGCGCTATTGTCTCGGTTTTTAGCGAAGCTGGTCTTCCCGACGGAGTAATCAACTACATTGTGACTGATCCGGCCAATGCGCCCAAAGTCACAGAGACGATCATCGCACATCCGAGTATCAAGAAAATTAATTTCACTGGTAGCTCAGCTGTGGGTAGGATCATCGCGAAGACTGCGGGTCAGTATCTGAAGCCCCTTGTCCTAGAGCTTGGAGGCAAGGCACCAGCGATTGTATGGGAAGATGCGGACTTAAATACTGCCGCAACGGAATGCACCATAGGAGCTTTCATTTTCGCTGGACAAGTTTGCATGAGCACGGAGAGAATAATCGTGCATAAAAATATCAGTGAAGCGTTCCGAGAGAAGTTGGTTGCGACAATCGGACATGTCTTCCCGTCCAACGGCGATGCCCTAGTTTTAATCAACGCCAATTCCGTGGAAAAGAATAAAAAGCTTCTAAAGGATGCAGTTGGCAAGGGAGCTCAGCTCCTACATGGAGACGTTGACGCCGAAGAGAGCTCGAGGACGCGACTAAGGCCGATAGTGGTCAATAAGGTCACGCCAGAAATGGACTTATACAAGCAAGAATCATTTGGTCCATCGGTGAGCCTTATCGAGGTTGAGACTGAAGAGGAGGCACTACAATTGGCCAATGACACCGAATATGGTCTCACATCCTCCGTCTTCACTGAAAATTTGAGAACCGGCCTGCGGTTTGCAAGGGGTATCGAGAGCGGCGCTGTGCATATCAATAACATGTCTATCCATGATGAAGTAACACTGCCTCATGGAGGAGTTAAAGCAAGCGGATATGGCCGATTCAACACACAGACGGGATTGGAGGAATGGGTTCGAACGAAGACTATCACTTGGAAAAATTAGTCAATCCTAATGACAGGACGGGGAATTTCGTATGCGAATGAAGGTATAACTTTGTAGAATAAGGCAGATCATGGGTTTAAAGATATTTTTCTATGAAACATGAAATATTTTTGAATGGGAAAGTGTATCAAGTTTAAATGTTCAGCTCGAGAAGCAAGGGAAGGTTTATGAAATTGGATTACGTAAGATTATAGATCGAACGGTGATAGTGATACTTGGGTACTTGGGTACATACAACGGCCCAAGCTCCGGCTTCTACCGGGACTTACCGATAGGAAGCTCCAAGGGAAGGGCACCTGGGATTCTTTGCCGATGCACTGTAAACGCAATCATAACGTCATCTGGGATTATTTCTTTTAACTTCTAACTTTCACACCTTTTTTTCTTTTCTCCCGACAATAATTAGGACAGAAACTACTTACAATGGGAGCGAAAGCATCAAAACCCGCCCAATCGGCGACACGCAAATTCCCTACGAGGACGCCTGGTACTGCTGCTCCTCCACATGCTCGATCGCGACCGGCAGCGCAACGAAGCTCGGAACCACGTGCCTCGTTCACAAAGGACGACAGTGAGTAGCTTAGCACTCCAGCATTGCCCTCTTTTCTTTATCGCGCAGCTGACTCAACTATCTCACCCCCAGCAATTAAAGCAGATGGCGCAGATCCAGACCCAAATCCCGTGACAAACGCAGCATTCTCGCAACGATTAAAGCAAATGGGCGTCGCAACGCCGAATCCGACACTATCGAACTCATCCACCGCTACACCCTACCCCGAATTCACAGGGCCGGGACCGCATTCAGGACCCAATTTCCCCGCTGCAGCGCAAAATCCCACATTAAGTGCGCTCGACGCCCGACAGCGATTACAAGACCGCGCGGACATCGAATTTGAAAACATCGGCCAGGGAAGGGAATTCCTGGATGTCGGGACGTTACGGCAGATGCTGATTATGCAGGCGCAAGGGTCCCCGGCCGGTGATATCGAGAGGCGATTACGGCTCAAGAGCGGCGTTGTGGGTAGATTAGGGCCGAGGGGCGTTACTTTACCGTTGGCCTAAGTTTAACGAATATCACGGTTCTAAAAAAAAATAATAATGTGGAAAATAAAAGGACCGGAAAATCACGATTATGAGAAAAGGCATCAAACTTGGGTGTATAATATAATGCATTTGAGGTATGTTCAAAGCGCCGCCATCTATCGCATTTGCTGCTATATATTCATATTTGGTAGTACACTTATTCCAAATCCATAATCCTCAAGCGCAGCCATGAACCATAAGAAACGCTCTTGCGTTTCGTTCGTTCATTCGAGATGGGTCGCCCTAGCTTATATCTATACTTGCCAATTTAAGTAGATATCGACATTATATCTCCCTTTCATTGGACTTTCTCACGCATTTCTACTTATATGTAGTTTGGTTCTCTACCAGGCGGCGTGACCACCGTCGATACGCAAATCGGCACCAGTCATGAAGCGGCTGGCGTCGCTGAGTAGGAAGACGGCGGCGCCCCGGTAGTCCTCGGGCTTGCTGAGCTTGTTCAACATGTTCTGCTTAGGCCACTCGACAGCCCGGTCGGGGAACTTCTCAAAGAGCTTCTGCACCATCTCGGTGACGATGTAGCCGGGGGAGATTGTGTTGACTCGAATGTTCTTGATACCCCATTCCATGGCCAAGTTGCGGCTTAGTTGGAGGACGGCAGCCTTGGAGGCGTTGTATACACTGGAATCTAGATTAGTTTTGGTGCTAATTTTGAATGTGTTCGGAGTAGGATGCAGAACTTACGGGCAGATCAAACCACGGTTGGCGATGGTGCCGCTCATGGAAGCAATGAAGACGATGCTACCGGGAGTGTCGTTCTCGTACATGTGCTTGGCCACGGCCTGCGCGGTCATTAGGGCGCCGGTAACGTTGACTCCGAGCATGCGGTTCGAGTCCTCCGCAGTGTAGTCTAGAGCTGGGGTTTCCTGCTGGATACCAGCTGCAGCGACCAACCCGTCGATGTGTCCCTCCTTGGCGACGATCTCTTCGGTGACCTTGTGAAGCTTTTCGGCCGCGTCTAGTACATCGACTTGGTGGTAGGTTAATGAGGTACCTAGCTCCTCTCTGGCTCGACGGGCTACCTTCTGGTAGGATGAGCCGGAGCCGGGTTCGGGTTGTCTGTCATAGACGTGTACTATTTTACTAATGTTAGTATCGTCTTGAGGAAGAAAATTGTCAATCTTCATACCTTTAGCGCCTGCTTCTAGTAGAGCCTCGGCCTGGACGAGACCGAGACCTTGTGCACCACCCGAAACGACGATAACCTTGTCCTGCAAGCTGAATTCAGGTAGCACTTGAGGGCTGTTCTGAATAGTTTCACGCTTGGAGGCGCGCGCCGGTGTGTTGTGGAAAGAGCGGCGTGTGTTCTCTTGAGGGGTAGGGAATTGGCAGGCGGCTGTGCTAGCTACTCGAGCGGCAAGACCGCTTGCTGGTGCTACACGGGGAGTGGCACGAGCAAGTCTACCCACTGAAGGGGCAACTCGAGACATCCTCGGAGCTAGGTTCGACATTGTGAATAGTCCTTTGTGGAATGTGGAGGACGTTAAGTTCCTTTGTTTCTAATTATACGAGACAATGTATTGTCTCGTCTGTGATATTTATAGCCTGCCGAGCTAAGAAACACGAAGGATAGTCGAAGGTTTGGGTGTCCGAGGATGGGAGTGGAAAGGGGACTAGAGAATGAGGAATGAGGAGGTGCTATGAACATTGAGGTGGTGTTCCTCCCGGGACGTCATATATAGTGAAGCTCTAGAACCCCGGTTTAGGAGCTATCGTGGGCCGAAAATGCCATTTCCGCCAAGGTGCTTCATAGCACCCAAGTCTAGCCCCTCCTGCCCTTGTCCCTTTTAGACAAAGCCGGTTGGAATTACTCCTGGAACTAACTAAACGGTGAGGCAAATGAGGAAGTCAGCTCATGGGGGTTCCGCTTCCCTCCTAAACTAGAGAGGGGGGCTAAGTTCCCGGATGCCGGACGAGGATTTGATAAATCTAGAGCTAGAAGTGGTCTACTCCACAGGTACAGTAACATGTGTGTGTGTGTGTGTCTATAACTGGCCTTGACTAGGTAAATTTGGGGTGAGGGGGACCGGTGAGAGTTTGGAAATCCGATATGTGATTGACAACCTCGACGGGCATATAATTCCTGTCTGTAAAAATGTATGAATTTGGGTCTCGGTGACACCGTAAGGCTACAGAACGCTGCAGAAATGCAGAAAAATACCGTAGCTTTGACATCTATTAGCCGTCACGAACCTAGCATCACCCCCCACGTGCCCTATGTCGAACAAAGAATACCGCTGATGATTCATCAGCAGACGGTCCATCACGAGGGGCAACAATTTTATAGGCTTCGGATTGCCTATTCAGGTAATCCACGACGAGCCAACAGTGGTGGAGCTAATCCGGGTCCGCTAGCAACGTCAGCTATCTAGGTTCTCCCTATTATAAAAACATCGTACAAGGTTGCCATATCTCGCTTCAATTTTTTCGGTGATCATTTTTAAGACTAAGCTGGCTAGCATATGTTGAGAGGTTTAAAGCTGGGTCTGATATTTTTTTTCTTATTTCTTGTTTCAACCGGTCGAATCTGCGAGTGGTTCAGGGTATATTATTCCTTGTTATATAACTGGTACCACATGATCGCCTATCTTTTTGGCTTCTTCCCAATGAATGCATAGCTGCCTCACTAGATCATGTAAAGAAACTCGTATGTGCTGTATACCAAGCTACCAAGCTGTGAATCCCCGCATTTGCCATGTTTTCCATCCCCCGCGAACCCATGTTAGGGTCTACAAGACCTGCAGATGGAGGTTAACCACAGGGTCGTTCTAGGGTGGTTCATCATGGGGTTAGCTCCTCCGTCGTCCAATAGCAAAGCGTTCAAGGAAAAACCATGCTATTAGGGTTAGTTCTGCGTACAGTTCCGTCACATTAGCGTTTTTTTAGGATTGTAAGACATACAGAGTCTAGTAAAGAATCTTCGAACGAGATCTGGAATTCGCCTAGACAATTCCACCAAGGTTCTTCTGCTACCTATTGTCATTGGATAGGTTCGAGTCTGACATGCCTACCCGTCGGCTTTGAGGCTTATATTGCGCGGGACCGTCTCCCCGTTATTGACTTGTCAACTTCAAAAAGAGAAAGTAACAAGATTGCCGGTCCGCTGCTGTCACGCAAAATACGATAGATCAATTCGGCACTTGTCGTAAGTCACCGGAGTACCTATGAATAATTGACTCATGATTGGGTATTCTCGGTGTAGTCCCCTTGCCCCGACGCACGCCAAAAGACCCCTACTGCAGGATATCTTTGACAAACGAGTCAGGGATGTCTTCAATTGGGAATCCGTCCGTAATGTTAGAGCTCTAATCACGCGTGCTCCCTCCCAAAACAGATCCCCAATGCTACAGGAAGGGTCCGATACAATAAATTGATCTAGCGACGGTAGTATTCAGGGTCTCGCCTCCGCTCAATGTGATGTGTCCATCACTCAGCCCTACCTGTGAGCTCTGCAGCCTATTAGAAATTTTATGGCGGCTGTTGCGGATCGTATAATAATTGATATTAGTTACAAATAACCAAGTGACGCCTCATTATCAGAAATTGTAAGGCAAGATTCGTGTACGTTCAAGTCGCACAACAACCAGCAGCAGCATCACATTGTCAAGCGAAGGCGAAGCAGGGAAGAAATAATGAAGAAGAAAATAGAGGGGAAATATTGGTGAATTGCCGAGTCGAAGGTATCCCAAGACGACCGAATATTTGCTTACTGCCGTTTAGTAAGGGTCCTTCTTCCCTGTGAACAGTTGCGTTCATGAAATTGTCATTGCAGCCTATTTCGTCTGTTATCTCGGCGCCTCCGAGTTTCGAATGGCAATAATTGATGCCCAATATGAGGAGAAAAAGCAAGTTGTCCAACCTCCAATTTCAACATCGAACATCAGGGGGTAGTTGGAGATCCGGACAATGCCACGAAAATCAAATTCTCTACTATGGAATTTATGCCAAATACTAGACTCAAGCCCAGAATCAGAAACGATAATATCGCAGAGGATAATGTTATTGAAGCCATTCTATTACCATCGAGTCGTATCTTGTACCGATATCTCCCCTCCTTAACTCTGTTCTCCGTCCTTTACAACGGTAGCTGGCGAAGTGTTGGCGGTTCGGGGAAACTTACACCGGGAATAATGGAAAATAAAACCGCGATGTCTGGGTAATAGAAAAGCATACGAGGTACTTGAACGCGATTGGAACTTAACAACTCATGTGGTAGGTTTGGCAACAATTCCATCGAGGAATATTCTCGGAATTCTTTACCAAGACCGGCAACAACTTCTTGTGTAGGATCCCAACCACGTTGTTAGATTGAAGCTCGCATCTACTACTACCCACGACTCGGAGAAGCGTAGATCCTTGATTAGCATGTGACAAGTTTTCAAGGCTGCCAGTGAAGCTCTGGAAGTTGATTGAAGTAAATGCCGTCTCAAACCGCGACGGACATTCCCCATTCCCGCTTCCCCAACTTGTCACACAGCTTGTCACGTCTTGAAGCCCAATAGTCAGTAGCATGGGTGTCATCAACCAATGGGGTTCTATACCAAAAGCCATGGAAGATGGGGGTGGCGTCTTTGATAGCTACTAAATTAGCTCATTGCTTTCTCATCGTACCTTAGCCTTGATGACGTACATGAGAAGATAGACTGTAGCAATTTTCAGATAAGGTGTGCCGTAACGTTGCTTAGTCGAGTTCAATGCGGTTAGAAGCCATGTGTGATTTTATTCTAATGGGTGAGTTGCAGTATGCAGAACGACTTAATATAATGTTCTTGCTGCCAACTCACATCATATAGGAGAACTCCGGATGTTACGATTTTGATATGGCTCCATGGTGAAATAGGGTAATCCCATTAGCTAACAATAGGGACAAATACAATCCCATTCTATACTCTTGGGGAAAAGACGAATTTAATGTTGTATCTCCATGGCACATGGAAACAATACTATGAGTTTCAATTGCCATACATCAACCCGGATAGGGTCTTTTAAATCCCCAGGGAGATATTATTTTCTAACCAATAACTTTTTAACACATGGTTCATGGAATAAAGTTGGCTTTCGATAAACGGCAATCCAAAATGCCCAAGTGAATGTACGACTTGGTTACTGCCGATCCAGGTATGGGCGTTTTCTTGAGGCTAAATAGAATGACACATACTGTCACTTTGCACTTTTCTATCATACATTTTGTTATGACAGTTTATTGCCGATCAAGATGCATTACAACCTCACTTACGCAGTGTCGACATTCCCATGATTAAAAAGGAAAAGAAATCACAAAGTCAATGTAGCACTATCTGATGCCATTTATGGTAGGCAACATACGGCGAATATACCTCAACTTTACACTAATTTGCTTTTATGTTTCACCCGGAGTTTCTATTTCTTGGGCGTATCTCGTATTCTTATTCTCCTATTCTTTCCATTAATAATACACAAGATACGGTCTTGGATTTGATCGCCGTTATATAGTATGGAAAAGGCATATCAAATCCTCAGGACCAAAGCCGTATGTACTAAGTTGATTACTTGCCATCATTACTCAAACAGCATTGAAGATATATTGTATTCTCGATACCAGTTCGTCGCACAATATAGTCCTACCTAGGTATCTCAATGCTGTCTCACTCCTTAAAATATTCAACTAAGCCGTATTCCCAATAGTTGGCTGTTCACTTCTCGACTCTTTTGTAACCTATCCTCAGTCTTCTTATAGAACTTAATATATTTATAACTCCATAGCGACAGGAAAGACACAACATTTTATGCCTCTAAATATAAGTGTCTGTATATTTTGTGCCGTTTGTGATTTCTATAATCCTGACACGATGCCTGGGACAGTATGCTAATTCAAGGCATTATGCATTGAACGGCTAGTAATATGCTTTAAAAGGGGATAGTATCAACACTGTAACTCGCGCTAAGATTAGCTGCGCCACAGTTTTAGGAAACAGTTTAAGGAAATAATTTGAAATAGGGATCTCCATTTTCGGAACTTTTTACATGGCTCTCTTTTGGTTACCATTCACAACGCATTTTCAATCCACTTCTTTATTAGAAATTAGAAAATAATCAAATGCCATATCTTCATTGAATGGCTTCGATAAGACAATACTCTTTATGTAGTTCTAATGGCACGTGATGGAGGAGGCTCGAGGCTGACAGCTGTCTGGTAAGTAAATGTAACCCCTGAGTCTCGTCAAGTAACCGAGAATGGCAACTAACACAACATAGCTTTCTTGCCTCATATATCTGGCTATCATCTTCCTTGCAAAGACATTCTTTAATAGGTACACTCATTCCGATATCGACTTTATCAAACGAGACGTTTGGGGACTCATAATATTGTACAGATCAGCCACGACTGTCCTCATTTTTACTCCTATTCATCTCAGGCGTCATAGCTTTTGTAGCTAGCCTGTTTTCAAAATGGCTTCCAGGCGCAGATGGTAGATTTGGTATGTTCAAAACACCAATTTAAAAAGAACTCATTTTTTGACATTACACAATAGACTCGGAGGCTGTTCTGAAAGGAATGCAGTCATCCATGCCTCACCGCCCTCGTCGATTTTATCTACCATGTATCATATTTCTCATCGTTTTCCGACTAGAGATCGCGCATAAAGTAATGAATGACTTTCAATGCGCCACCGAAGGCATAGAGGTATGTATAACACGGCTCATCTAAGCTACATATATATGGGATAATGAGACTGATATCACATAGGCGTTTCTTCCTGTACTCCTAGCTGCTTATGAATTCTTCTCTCATCGCACCCCTCATATTCCATCTGATGAGCCAGAAGATATGTGGGGCAGCCCTCTAGAAGACTTCAAGAACTGGCTCATCAGCTCTCCCATTACTCTTCTCTTCACTACTGTTATTTTTAGTTATGGCGTTTTCATGGCCGGCGATCTCGGTGCAAAATCTACATATTTTTGTTCGACCGTGGTGAATCAGAGCTCATCTACTGCGCTCATGCAATGGCTAGGGATCTCCGTTGATGCGATCATCATAGTGATGTTATGGAGGGTACTTTCGTGGGCGCGAACTACGAAGAGCCGTCTTCGGACCCTTGGCGGATTGCTGGTTTTAGCATCTATTGGCGTTTCGTTCCTATGGATGGTGACTCGGATCTCCCAGCATCGCGAGATCATCGGCCATCACCCCTTTAGAGGAATCGGTTCTCTCTATTTTTTCGATGTGTCTAGTACGGCGCTACTTATTTCCACTCTCATCATATCGACGTCCCTTTGGGTTTGCGATTCAACGGCATTGGAACCTACGGCGATCGCAACTTTCACCTCTGGAATCATCGCGAGTGTTCAGAATGTTCTGTTGATCGGAACATATCAACAGACCTCGGTCGGTCAGCCGCTGGCGGTGCTCTCTATTATCTCGCTCGGGTTCGTTCTCTTCACATACGCAAATAACATGAGATGGATTGTCTTTTTCAAGCGAGTATTTCTCATGTTACTACTTGCCTTTATTATAACCACTTCGACAATATATGCTGTAGCAAAGAGTAAACAGCTAGAACGCCATCCGGTAGACGATCTTGTCTACAAGAACAGGGTGGAAGCGGATCGTTGGCTCCGACATGCGACCGTCAGTACAACATTAAAACTCGCGGTTACCGAATATAAGGATCGGCATCAGGGTCGCAATCCACCGCCAAACTTCGATAAATGGTTCGAATTCGCACAACAACGAAAGTCGGTTGTAGTCGATAGATTCGACCAGATTGAGAAGGATATCCTTCCATTTTGGGGCACGAAGCAACGGAAGATTCAAGAAGGATTAGAGCGATTGAAGGGGCTACCAGACATCGGAATCATTCAAATTTCAGACGGGAAGGTATCGCACAATCAGCCAACAGACCCATCGCAGAAGCGGATGTTGGATGAAGCGGGATTGATGATTTCTAAATTCGCTGAACATCTTCCTCCCATGTCGATTGCCATCAATCTCAAAGAGCGACCGAGAGTCTTGGTTCCATGGGACGATATCCACAGATTAACCATGGCGGCTGGGAGCAAGTCGCGGTTTCAATTAATCCCTCATCGCAAACGCGAAAATGACAACCCCAGGCTAGTAGGGGGTAACCCAATCGACGTATCGAAGGCGGATCTGGGGTCAGTCGCCCAGCCTTACGTTTCCCCAAAGAAGTTTCGGCAACTTGAAGCCTTAGCATGCCCACCCGGCTCGGCTACCCGCGGAGGTGTCCACTGGGACGTCCGGGATTTCTGTTCTTCATGTGTCAAACCGCATTCCGAAGGTCAGTTTTTGCAAGACTGGGACATGTTCCTTGATCCATGTCACCAACCCGATATTTTCAACCTCCACGATTTACACACTACGCCTCATCTCTACGAGCTCCACCAGGACCTCTTGCCTCTTTTCAGTGGTTCTAAAACGGATAGTTTCAATGACATCCTGATCCCGCTTGTTCGTCCTGACACTAATCAAGAGCGGGACGGGATCGAGTTTGCTGCCAAAAAAGACATTGTCTTCTGGCAAGGTGATGCGAGAGATTCTCAAATCGTAACACCCCAATCCCTACTCGGCGGGCATCGGCACCGTTTAGTACATTTTGCAAACAACGCCAGTGCCGTAGACAAAGTATCCATGCTCCTCGGCATCCAAGTCAAAGAAAAAGACAAATTCCAATACGAAGGGGTACACCTAAAAGAAGCAAACGGGCCTCTACCATTCGAGTTCTCTTTTTCCAACGCCGAGCCATGCGAAGACCCAAATTGTCAACTATTGCAACAAGAATTCGGTTTCAAAGAACCGGGAAACGCACTTGAACATCGGTATATTATGCTACTAGACACAGCCGACGGCCCACCGCGGGATTTACTCAGCACGCTTCGGTCTAACAGTGTGCCGGTACTGTCCTCTATATTTCGCGAGTGGTACACGGAGCGGCTGATGCCGTGGGTGCATTTTGTACCTATTGATCTGCGGTACCATGCGTTACATAGTACCTTGACGTATTTTGTAGGGCTTAAGAACAGGGGAACGATAAACGGGCGTCAGCAACTAACTGATGGCCGCCGGGAAGATGCTCGCTGGATCGCGGAGCAGGGACGGAAGTGGGCTGAGAAGGCGATTAGAAAGGAGGATATGGAGGTGTACTTGTTCCGTTTGCTACTTGAGTGGGGAAGGGTGATTGATGAGAATAGGGATAATTTGGGCTTTGTATTGTAAAAAGTAATGGTGGGGGTGGCGTGAGAATAATATACTCCGTGATTGTATTCTACACCGGTGTGGTTCACTGCCGTCTTTGCTTTTTCTACTCGTAATTATCTAGGATGTGGCTTGCCATCTGGGCGCTGAGTGACTCCAACCTCCTGAATTCAGGTGGCCGCATCCCATCTATTCCTATCCGAGCAATAATATAACGCCAAACGCGACGATTACTTCGTTGTGGCACGGGAAACACTCCTTTCCGAAGCCACTCGATGGCGCGTCACGGCTATTTATTGGTCGGCTCATCCCGTTCTACAACAGGTAGGGGGTTGCAGAAAAACAATCTGAAAGGCTGCATTCGCTCGGTTTTGCGGTAACTCACTCTTCTGTTGTAACTTGTTGTTGAACAAGAACAAGCCTTGTCTTACCTCTATCTTTTTGGGCTCTCACAAGATGCCACGAGCCAAGACTAGCAAACGCGCCAGCGCCAGTACTCCGACTGTTAGCCGGAGCAATAAGCGACCTCGAATCGACGAACCCATACCTAGTCCACCACGAGAATCCCCCGAGGCACCGCTTAAGGTTGAAGCCCCAGAGATTGATACGGAAACCGATACAGAAACTGATATGGGACTGGGTGTGGATTATCTGGAAGACGAGATAGACGAAGATGTAAAATTGTTGATCGGCAAGGGCCCATATGCATGTTTCCTGGAGCAACTTGACGAGGAGGAGGGTGAATACATCCCATACTTCCCGTTGGCCATGATGGTCAAATTGGAAGCAAAGCGCCTTATGCTCGCCTCGATTATAGAAGCTCCTGGAGTCGTGGCATACCTCATTACGACTCAGATGGTCCGAGCAGACGAAGAGGAGAAACCTGTGCGTATAGGGCTGTGTCATGGGGTGGAAGATGCCAACATTATAGCAATGACGGAATTCTCTCAAGAGAATCCCCGGTGCTTGAACGCAATGGGAGTCAAGTATTTCCTAAAAACCCTGGGCGAGATGATGAGGCGCTATGGGCCATCTAGGGAGCGCATTTCCCGAAACAAGAAGATAGATAGAGTGTGTTATGATACGAAAAGCTCTTTCTGGAGTATTGACATAAACGGGTGCCTATCTCTTGCGGTTCTTTATGTGGGACAGGGGTATATGGTGCGTGTGGAGAGGGTAAAGTTCATCAGTCCAGAAGAGTAGATATTGTCAAGATGGGGAGTCTTTGGTTTTCTCGTAGAGATAATACGGACCATGGTTGGCGGTAGTTTTGGTAGTGTCATGTTTGTATTAGTGATTAGCTAAATATGTGTATACTTCAAATTGATGGAGATGGTAGTAGGTAGAATAAAAGGGTTGATGGAAGGAAGGAAGAGGGAAGATGTGAGGCGTTATCGATAGACATTCATAAAATTATACCATATTAGTGCATAATGTGACGTCGTCATACCATTAGTGTCAGAAATAGTGACTTACGTAGGTACCTTACAGGGCTTACAGGGCGCTTTACAGGCCGATAGGCAGCTCTCAATCCGCAACCTGCTCCCCACTTACAACCAATCCCAATCTCAATCCCGCATCAACTTCGACAACTTCACATTTCGACAATTAGAGCTATCATTACTTTTACACTGCCTTGAAGTTTAAGCGCATTCCATAACGGCCTAGTGCGACAGAGTTTTCATTATCCCCATATAATCTTCTACAAATAGAATACCTCGTCATCCGAGCTGCAGCTTAAGGCTACGGCGAACCACCGGACCGAGCCACCACCCACCATGGCGGTCATTGACGAAGACACATTCTCCAACATCCCTTGGAATAGCAGTAACAGCGAATCCGGGATGGCGGGGTCCAGCTCTTCAGAACCGACTATAGAAGCAGAGCCACCCACCGCCGAAGACCAACACCACGGAGAGGATCTACAACACCAAGATCCCGGTCTATCAGGCGATATACTAGAATGTACCGTATCCGAGCCCCGCAAGGAGCAAGATGGCACCAAAGATGCCTTCGTATCGTATCTAATTACTACAAATGTACGCCAACACATCTACCATGCCTTAGAGGACCATATGCTAATCTCTATCATACACTAGTCTACATTCCCTTCTTTCCAAAAACCAACATTCACCTCCCGCCGTCGCTTCACCGATTTCGTCTTTCTATACAAAACCCTCTCCAAGGACTACCCAGCATGCGCCGTACCCCCCTTGCCGGACAAGCAACGTATGGAGTATGTGCGAGGCGATCGCTTCGGTCCGGATTTCACAAACCGACGAGCCTACTCCTTACAACGCTTCCTAGCGCGCCTCACCTTGCACCCTATCCTCCGCCGAGCCCCCATTTTCCACACCTTCCTCGAATCCCCCGACTGGAATGCGACTATGAAATCCCGCGCTTCTAGAACTAGCACGGCATCGGAGCAAGGGACCGGGGGTGTCTTCGACAACTTCGCCGACACATTTATTAATGCCTTTACCAAGGTACACAAGCACGACAAGCGATTCATCGAAGTCCGCGAGAAGAGCGATAAATTGGATGAGGATCTAGGACATGTGGAGAAAGTCGTAGCGCGAGTCGCCCGTCGGGAAATAGACCTCGAAACAGACCTTCGAGATCTCACCGAGCAGTTCCAGAAACTCATCACCCTCGAACCGGGCGTCGAGAGCGCGGTTCATGGTTTCGCTGCCAGTGTGGAAGATACTGCGGCGGGGTTGAAACGGCTACGTGAACACACGGACCAGGACTACCTTGGTAGTCTGCGGGATATGCAGGCGTATAGCCAGGCGTTGAAGAATCTGCTCAAGGCGCGAGAGCAGAAACAACTTGATCATGAACAGTTGACTGAGTATCTCAATAAATCGACTGCCGACAGGGACACTCTGGCCTCGGGCTACGGGTACGGATCTGCGGGCGCGCTCGGCGGTGCCGGTGGATACATACGTTCCAAGATCGAAGATGTGCGGGGCGTCGACCACGAGCAGAGCCGTCGCGAGCGGTTGCGTAAGCTGGAAATGCGGATCGATGAGTTAACCTCCGAAGCCGAGCGTGCGAAGAAAACAAGCGAGGCTTTCGATGAGGAAGTCGTTAAGGAAGTAGTTGATTTCGAACGGATCAAGAGAATCGAGCTGAAGAAACAGTTTGGTGGCCTCGCGGATGCACATGTCGAGTTTTATGGCTCGGTCGCGGATGTCTGGGAGCAGTACGTCAGGGATATGGAGAGGGAGGAGGGGTTAGGGTCTACGTATACGGGGTGAAGGTAGGGAAGGAATGTGAGGGGATGGGATGATGTTCCAAGGAGGGTTTGATATCCTGCTTGTTAAAAGCGTCGTTCTCCTTTACATACACACATATTACATCTCCACGAACAAAAATTATTGGCCATTGTGTTTAATGGACATTATCGATTCATGAGAATTCGGAGAACGGCATTGGGGAGGATGGCATTTAACGTGCCTACATGAGATAGCAAGGGTCGGTCATAAGGAGGCGATTAGGGAAATCATGGGCGTTTGGGGGGATTCAAATCAACTCTTGTGTAGACGAGCCTCATGTTATCATGCACTAGTTCTGCTTCTGCTTCAATTTATATATTTATCAAGCATCGCCTTGCTCGTTTTATTCAAATGATTTTATAAACATGGCAAATGTCACTTACATCCCACTTCAGATGAATTTGCAATTTAACATACCTATTTACTTACACGATTTGGATTCACAGGATACAATGTTTCATAAGAGAAATTTACACGATCAATCAACGAACGGAATACAATTCTCCCCACCCAAACGCCGTACGGGAACATGCCATATGCCGATACTATGATAAGTATTTTATATACACATGAATAGCAAGCAAATACGCAAGCTACGGTGATGCTAGGATTCGATGATAGTCCGAAGAGTTCATGAATTCCCGAGAAAGGGTTTGCTTCTACTAAAGCTGTTTAAACCAACCTAGATACTATCTTCGATCGCCTAGTAACCTAGAACCCTGCTTCTCGTTATGGACTTCCTCTTCCTCATCTTCGTCGTCATCGCTTTCGTCATCGTCGCTAGCGATATTGAAATGATCTCTTTCTAGATCATGCTCGTCCTCGTCTTCACTGCCGCCTGCGAAGGCATCGTACAATTCACCCGCACGTCGCTTCTGGCCACCCTTCTCGCCAGTAGCGGCTAGACCGTCCCCACCGTCGTCGGCGTTGAGGGGCTCGAATTCGTAGTCATCGCGGGGGTTGTTGCGGCGTTGCTTTCGACGCATGAACCAGAACCATGCACCGAGACCAGCGCAGAAGGCAACGATAAGGCCGAGAGCGCCGTAGATCCAGGCCTGCGTTCTAGAAGAGACGCCGAAGGTGGGGAGGAACGAAGGCAACCACGAGCTTCCGGGGGTTGTGGTCTCCGCAGCCGAGGTGCCTGTTTCCGTCGCAACTTCGTCGCCAGACGTCTTACTAGGCTTGGTAGGACGTTCGGGGTGGTCTGAAGGAACATCGGTAGGCAATGCCGTGTTAGTGGCGTCTGGGTTAGGAGGTAGGCTGGTGGTCGCAGCGGGTAGCGTGGCGGTGGAAGTGACATCGTGATTCGCATCGTCATCATCGTTCGGCATGGGTAATAGTGTAGCCTTGGAAGCATCGATACTTTCACCCCATAACTTAAGATGCCAGTCGATGAAAGTACCGGAATCATCGTTGACCTTAGTATCGCGTACAATGAGCGTCCATTTACCGACTCCGGACTCGCCCCTATATTGCTATTAGCCTCAATGCTCACTTATGAGCCCTTTGATAATAGTGTAGTGTACTTACCAATGCACGACGGACATGAAAGTCCAGTCATCATAACCCTCATTGCTAGTATCCATCTTGCGTACAGCTGAGATGTGACTGACAACATTATTCGGGCTGATGAGATCGACGCTCAGATCACCTCGGCGGGTGTGCTCCACATTCATTGTCACCGTAACATGCTCAAGTCGTTCGAGGTTTGCCTCCTTTAGCATGTCTTTTGTGACTTCGAAGTTAACTGACAGTCCTGCATCGCCTTGGGGAATCTCTTGGTGGACATGTAACCATGGCGAATAGAACCACGCCTGTGGCTTAACATTCTTCCAGGTCTTTGCGATCTCTACGAGAGCATAGCTATCGATCTTGCCGTAGCCAAAGGTGTGGCTGAACTTCTTGCCAATGGTGGTAGTCTGCCATCCGAGGTCCTTGTTGTCGGGATCGATAGGTACCGCACTCTCCAATGCGATGTATTGCATATCTCTCCAGGATAAATCGGGACGAACCTCGAGGGCAAGAGCAAAGATACCAGCAGCTAGAGGTGCAGCAGCAGAAGTACCTCCGTGTCCGTTGTAACATTGATTCTCGCCAACATCAGTAGTGTGGATAGCATCTCCGCTGCCACTGCTGTAGGTGACAACAAGCTGAGCCGAACACTTCTCCGAGTAGTAAGGATGCACTCCTTGCCTATCAATGGCACCGACAGTAATACTGTAGATACTGTTGGTATAGCCGTCGAAATTGCAGTTGTCGTCGGCTGCGGCACCGTTGCCACTAGCAAAAACGTAGATCGACCCTTTTTCGCCACGTCCCTTCTGTACACCGTTCAGCATGGCCCTCTTAATAAGAATACCAGGAGCGTCCATTGATTTTCCATCATCCGGTGGACCCCAGGAACAAGAGTAAATGTCATTATTTTGGAAGTCGTAGTTCATCGCGTCGGCTTCGTCGGCATCGCTGATCAGCTTACTCAGGATTCGAATGCCAGCAATCTTGGAGTCATATGCGACACCAACACCACAAACATCGTTTCTCGCAGCTGAAACTTCGCCAGCGCATCGGGTACCGTGCTTGTCGTCGGATAAAGTCGGACGGGGTTCTGGCCTTTGATCGTTGAAGTCCCAACTACCAGCAGCGTAATAATTCGGCTTCAAATCGTTGCTGTACATATCCAACCCATCATCCACTATAGCTACGGTTGCGTTCTTGCCTGTGACCCCCGACAACCATACACCAGTCACATTCACATCATGCCCTACTTGGACAGTATTCAAAAGATGCCATTGTTCGTTGAAAATCGGGTCGGAAATGCTAAGTTTCTCCATGACAGACTTCTGCTTCTCCACGGCCTTCGCATCTGCCTTGTCTGCTCGCTTGGGAGGAACGTAACCGGCTGGCGCTGGTGGAATAATTCTTTTTTGCATGGGTGCTCGTAGTTTTTGCTTGTGAGAGGATTTCACACCATCAAGGACGTCCATGCCACCGAGTGATCGCTTTCGCCTTCGTTCTTGCACCGCTCGTCGTACGACATCGTCTTCGGCTTTCAACGTAGAGAATACATAATGACCGGGGAGTTGACCTAATTGACCTTCATTTCGTAGACCTAATCGAGACGCGATTAAATCGGGGTGGGCGTCGCGTTCGAGATGGAGGACATAATAGTCATTTGAATCGAAATTTCGGCGTTGTAAGGACGCGGTTCCTAGTCCAGCCAGGCTACCAACAACCAGGCCGACCAAAGTAGTAGGCTTCATGGCGTGGGATAGAGTAGGCGTTGGTCAAAACGCCACGCGACTCTTGACACTAAGAAATTCGAAGTTCGAGGGATGTAGGTATAGGATCGATAGGATTGGACGGAACGAGGTCGAATAAGACAAGTCGGCAACCGACGAACGAGTCGAGTATTTCGTATGTAGGATGAATAGATAAATATTGGAGGTAGGTAGTCAGAAAAAAAACGACTAGACGAAACGAAACGCCTTCGCTCAAGGCACTGTACGAAACCCCTTTATGAAACTGAAAGAATGTCTTGGCGAGTTAAGAGATGGCAGTCTCTCCATCGAAGGATGGATAAAAGAGACGTGCTAATCAGAATATATCTCACAAATTTGTTGATACCCACGTAAACAGAAGTGATTGATATAAACCTATAAAAAGTGAATAAGGAAGAAATAATAGGGAAGAGAGGATGAATCTCCCCCCAGTCCTTACACCTTAGACTTTACAGTTTACAAGTTGGGGCGCGGGCAAGTTGGTGGCGGCTCCTAGGCTCCGTCCAATCTTTTCTGCTCCTGCCTACCCTGAATACCAACTGATAATCCCTGCTGACTTACGTAAAGCAGAAAGCCAGGTGTTCTAAAATGCGCTTCTCAGCCACAAGGCCGCGCCAGAAGTGGAGATTACCCCAGCTTCAAAGGCTATGATTGGTTATTTTCAGTTATCCAAGACCCCTAAAAGGCAACATCTAGGGGTACATTAGAGTAAGCCGTTTCTGCGCGCACATAATGCATCTGGAATGAATGAACTAACAGACGCGAAACTTAAACACCTAACGGTTAGAATCATTGCTCAGTCTATTTATTTACACCTGCGACTCAAAAATTGAGAATTAACATCAGATTAATCGGCGATGTTTGGGCCAAGTTACTATTAATACTTTATTATAGTGACAAACGCAGAGTACGAAAATGGATTCATTGGCGGAATCAGACTACGTAATCGGATGCATGCAGCCGCTTCGTACTTGCCCGCTTGCCCAGCTTCAAGTTCAGCCAAACTCTATCGCATCTCGATAAAATTAAAAGTTCAACTAATCACTGCTCATGAAACAATTCTTCGATCCTCGACTAATTTATACAATTTCACCCCAAGACCAAAACAGACTCAACATTGAAGTCTATCAAGTCTTAAGGTCTACTGTTGATTTGACACGATTGGTGGAATGCATGCATTCCATCTTACAAGGATGATATCACCCACCGAACTAAGATCTACAGATACACTACTGTCGAGATCTAATTAAAGAACCAAAAACTTTCGAGTTTGACCAGTTTGGAGACACGCCATCAATCCGAGACTCAATCAATTTCCAAAATGGATTAATTGAATTTTAATTCGAGAAGACGCGAATACTTGACTAAGAGGCAAGGCGATTAGGTCATGAAATCGATATTCAACATACAGATCTAAGTATACCTACCTAGAATCGCTGAACCTGACAGCTGCCTATCTGGATGATGTGAAATCAGGTATCTTAAGTAGGTAAACAAGTAAGTCTTATGATATCGCCTTCATGAAAGGAAACTATCGTATGTCTTATATGATATATCAAATACAGTATACATAGTTTCAATCATCAAGATCCGCGCTTGTGACCAGCCACCGTTATTTCGGGTTTCTCGTTGTCTCACACAATACGACGGACAAATCCAAGCTTTAGAGAGCCCCTCAGCTCCGGGTACCTAACCGTTCGAAGAGGGAAATTTTCCTATTCCCAGCTTGTTCAACTAACATACTATATGTACCTACATATTAGTCTGCATAGACGAATCCACCTGCATACACAGAGCAGAACAAAAAAGAAAACTCCGTCGAATGATTGACCGCTTCTTTTCCGAATGGGCTATCTTCACACACAATGATAACGGAGAATAAAACGTCTTCTTCGGAGGTTGGGTAAAATTGTACGAGGCTAGCTAGATCTGCTTCTTACCAGGTTACATGGGCTGTTCACCATCTTCCGCGCCAGGATTCAAACGAGAAAAATCGAGAGGCTTGCCTTACAAGGCTCCCGAGATCCAAAGAGGAAAGAAGAAAAAAAAGATCCTGGTCTCTTTTTTACTCTCACCAGCCTCGGAAAGCTTGGAAATACCCTGAGCTCTACCAGCCAATTTATTTTCTTTTCTTTTTTTTTTCTTCTGAGCACCTTAACTTAGAACAATACACCCAAAGCTTCGAACGACTCTTATGTCCGCGACTACAACTCCGTTCTTGGCGTTCCTGTTTCCCCTGCGTTAATTACCTACCTAACTAACTGCTACCTACAACTGCCCGAGTCGCATGTGTTTGCATCGTATTGGTCTACCATGGAAACCCGCATATGAGAGCTAGTCCGACACGCCTCCCCAGTCAGTCCAGACTTCAGCCTGTCTTTGCGGCCCAATCATCTCTGAACCTGACAGCTGCCTATCATGTCCACGCCATATTGGGGCCAATTGCCCCCGTCCAAAGCTCGTCGCATGTCCGGCGACTTTGACAATGCCGATCGCAGACAATCCTTAGATCAATCCACTTCCCAGCCTCAGTCCCAATACCAATCCCAACCACAGCCCCAGTCGCGATCGAATCGGGCATCTGTACAAACCACACATACCGACGCCCGTACAGAGTCGACCTTTAGTCCTCTCGAGTCACCTGCGGCCTCGAATTTCCAAGGAAACGGGTTAGCTCCTCGTCCACCTTCTCTTCCTTACGGACAAAATCAATACGCTCCGGAGCTTCAAGAGAGACGGCGAAAACGCACCAGTAGAAACCAAGCAGACGACAGCCCTCACGACGAAATCATCACTGCCGCCTCACCTCCACCTCCTCCAGCTGCTCCCGATGTTCCCAGAGCTCCGCCAGTTAGCTACAGAGACCCTTACAGACACAGCAGCCCTGCTTTTACTCCGACATACACCTACAACGCCGACGGTCAACCTGGGCCACCATTATCAGCTTACCGATTCGGCTCTCCTAGATTCAGTTCTCCCGGCCTTGGTTCTCCTCGATTCGGGTCCCCGCAGGCTCGAATGGCGGGCATGGAGTCAGACCATTATTACAAAGATGCTACTCCTGAGGCTGAAAGGCAATTTAGAGCACCCATACTCGACCGAAACAGGCAGAATTTTGATGAAAATGGAGGGACTGGTGGTCAATTAGATAGGGATAGTGAGAGATCCGGATCCATACGTCGAGCAGCAAACGAAGATCCGGCGGATCCCTCTTTACCTAAAAGACAAGGGACCCTCAGCGCACCATCGAAACGTCCGACGTGGGCCGACGATCGATCGCCGCTTCAAAAACTCGAACTTACACTTGATAGTATTACCAAAGAGGAGAAGCGAGCCCGTGTAGAAGCAGCGGAGCATCGAGCAAGAGAACGCGCAGCACGAAAAGAAAAGGCTTTGCTTCAAGAGAAACTACAACCTCATTCTCAGGCTCAAGTTCAACCCTTGCCCCAATCAGAGCGCTCAAATGGACAACAAGTTCGGTTTAGAGACCGTCGTCAACCTCAGGACCAGTATGAAGAATCGCGTGCAGTTGTTGCTGATCCAAATCAAGCACAGCCGTCGGCGGCCGCATTCCAAAGTTCTTTGTCTCGGAACTCGCTGGAGGAAGACAAGCCACCCAGTCAATCCCCGCCCCCTCGCATCCCAGTCGCTAAGAATCAAAACGTTACAAACAGTGAAAAATCCGGGTTACCCCAGCGTAACTTAAGCTTCCGTGAGAGAGCTGCGAAGAATGACATCAATCTACCAAAAGATGGGGATAGTAATTCACCACCGTCACCGGTCACTCCACCAAGTGGGGGCTTCGCTATCAGCCGAAGTGGAAGTAACAAACTCAAGAAGAACCCGCCTGGTGATCCATGGTATGCTGCGCGCAGAGACGCCGAGGAGAAATCTGCAGCCTATCAGAGGCGCAGCTTACCAGCTGAGAAACCAAGTGAGCCGTACAGAGACTTTGGCGCGACAACGGCAACTATCAAACCTAGAAATGAGACATTACCGGGGGCGCCTCCTTCACAATTTAGCGACCGACCCCCAGCAAGAGGAAAGCAATTCAACCAAGAAGATTACTATGAAGAACCCCCAACCAAACAGAGAGGGTTCGCTACTACAACTGGGTTCGGCCCTGGCGATCCTATAGGGAACAATCAATATCCACCTCCATCACAACCAACCTATCAACCCTCAGTGCAGGATGAAGAAGTTCTGCCAGCACCCACGAGAAGCACAGTAAAATCCGTAAAGTTCCCAGATGAATATGATGAGTATGATTCTGATGGAACCCCCCATGAGTTTGGCATTCATGATTACATGCACCGAGGCAAGCTCAAGCCTGGTCGAGGGATGTACCAACCACCGAGTTACTTAGACGAATGGAAGAAAGCCACAGTTGGAACATTGGGTGGCGCTCTATTGGATCTTAAAGAGGAACCTGTTCAGACTGGGGATAAGAACACGCCGTGGTGGGAGAACCATGGCAGGCGTAGAAGTAGTACGACAACGCGGCCACCGCAGTTGGATGCTTTCAATGCGGTGTATGATGAAACCAAGGGTCCGACCAGATTCAAGCCAGCACTGTATCTCAAATGTGGACCGCTGTTGCGTTATTGCGGTATTCGCCATGAAAAGCCACTTGCGCGAGTAAGTCAGAACGACGCATCTCTAGATAAAGAAATATGGAGAGGCACCGTTATGATCGTTACGCAAGACTCAGAGTCGTCCTACGATATCCCGCCGATCCTTCGGCTTTTCGTTCAACCCATTGAACTCTTACCTCCGCCACCCGCCGAATTGCGTGGAGAACAAGTCCTTCCACCAGAATATGTGGATCCAATTGCCGGTATCCCCAAACTTGGTCGACGGGGGGAGACACTCTATGTGCGACCAGTGGAACATCTGGAAGAAGCTAAAGACGTGTCGAGGCTAGACCCTGATGACGGCCTATTCGAAATCACGAGGACCGCACCCGATCCGCCTGGCTCTTTTGCTAGTCGCAAAAGACGTACTCCGGTTGACGGTGAGAAGCTCGGGAAGTACAAGGATGTACGCGGATTCCGTCTACATGCTGAGAGGGGCCACACGTTCTGGAGGTTCAACATCGAGGTTGAACTTGGGAGCACTCAGCAAAGAATTGCCTACCGCATTAATCACGGTCCCGCAACAGGCTTTTGGGTACCTGCTCGAGGCCAATCGATGAACATTATGTTTCACAGTTGTAATGGGTTCAGTCTAAGTGTGAATTCAGATGAGTTCAGTGGACCAGATCCCATGTGGCGTGATGTGCTTAACAACCATCAAACTCGACCATTCCATGTGATGATCGGGGGCGGAGACCAAATTTACAACGATGCTATCATGCGGGATACCAAGCACTTCCAGAATTGGCTACAAATTAAGAATCCGCTGCACAAGAATAATGCTCCTTTCACTCATGAAATGCAAAATGAAATGGAACACTTCTACCTGGAACGGTACATGATGTGGTTCTCCCAGGGGTTATTTGGTTTGGCCAATTGTCAAATTCCTATGGTCAATATGTATGACGATCACGACATTATAGATGGCTTCGGTTCTTATCCCCACCATTTCATGAAATCGCCAGTATTCAGTGGCTTAGGCAACGTCGCTTTCAAGTACTACATGCTCTTCCAACACCAGAGCATACCCGACGAAACCGAAGACACGGAGCCGAGTTGGGCTTTGGGAGTCAAACTAGGACCGTATATCCAAGAGCAGAGTCGCAGCTTGTTCATGTCCCTAGGCAGCAAAATTGCGCTCCTCGCTGTTGATTGCCGGACTGAGCGCACGAGAGACGAGGTGGTACGCGAGGATACATGGAAGAAACTCACGGAACGTTGCTATGAGGATATCGTCAAAGGCGAGACGCAGCATTTGCTCGTTCTATTAGGAGTTCCTATTGCTTACCCTCGACTCGTATGGCTAGAGAACATGTAAGTACTATTCCCTACAACAAATACAATACAGCATGTACTAATAATCTGTAGTCTGACCTCGCGATTGATGGATCCCATCAAAGCCCTTGGAAAAACGGGAATGCTGGGCAATTTCCTCAATCGCTTCGACGGAGGTGTCGAAGTTCTTGATGACCTTGACGACCATTGGACAGCGAAAAACCATAAGAACGAGCGGAGATTCACAATCGAAGACCTTCAAGATATCGCCGGAGACAAGTCTGTCCGAGTGACGATATTGAGTGGTGATGTGCACTTAGCAGCAGTCGGGCAGTTCTACTCAAATCCAAAGCAGAACCTTGCTAAACACAAGGATTTCCGTTACATGCCTAACATCATCTCATCTGCCATCGTCAATACGCCGCCTCCCGATCTAATGGCCGATATTCTTAACAAACGAAACAAGGTCCACCATTTCGATAAGGAGACCGAAGAGGATATGATTCCTATTTTCACTAATGGTGTCGACGGCAAGCCGCGTAATAACAAACATCTCTTACCTCATCGTAATTGGTGCTCGATTCGTGAGTATGTACCTGGGCAGACACCACCGCCTACGCCGCCACCTGAGGAGTACGAAATTACTCCTGAAGGTACACCACCGGGTAGTCGTCGTGGTAGCATCCTCCGCAGGTTTTCATTGTCCAAGAAGCGAGGGCCCTCTGTCCGTCCAGATGCGTCACACGACCCCGCGGACCGTTCGCGGCCACCCCTCTCTGGTGGTAGTTTTATGCGATCTTTCTCGCGACGAGCTTCATCCGACGGAGGATCTCGACCAAACAAGCTCCTACGAACCTTGTCGCTAGGTCGAGCTGATTCTTCTCGTCCACGTGGAAACCTGTTCGGGCGGAGGAATAGTACAGACCGACCCGACGACGGCGGTATCAACGGCGATTGGGGCGCGGATAGCGGGGATGAAGATTATGACGGCGTCCATGAAGCGCCTCCTGCACGACAGCAATCATCGCGACCTACCGTTTATGCTCAAACTGCACCAAGTTACGGACACAGCACCAGCAACGGGAAACTTACCAAGCCACCACCTCGAAGTAGAGGCAATGACGAATATGAAGTCGGTGACGACGCATTCTTCACGGCACGCCCGCCTAAGCGCGCCGTTACGCAACCGATGAGGAACGAGTACGAGAATTACTACGACCCAGCCTCGTCAGACGAGAATGCACCGCCGACGCGGCCGTTCCACCGCACACCTACGGGTCTCACGACGAAGCAGTTGAAGAAGAAGGGTGTAGCGCATCATGAAGTCGATCTTGAGGGCGGACTCGATGTATGTCTGAACGTCGAGGTTAACGCCAAGGACCCGGCTGGAATCACAGTTCCGTATAGACTCTTAGTACCTAGACTATGGTACGAGTACCAGGGCGAGGATATGGAAAGTGATGAGCCGGAACCAGAACCGGAAATGACATCGGCAAACCAACATCACGATCAGCAATATGAACGCGATCAGCAGAGATATGAATACGAGCACGATCAGAGGTACGAACATGAACAAATGCAAGACCCGGATCAGGAGCAGGCGCCGATCATGTACGAGGGCGCGTATGCGGATGTTGGGGAGGATGAGAGACCGCCGAAACAAGGCGTGTTAAAACGCTTGTTTAGTGGGCGTAGACGGAATACAAGTGGTGGTAATGGAGGTGGCGGGAGTCAGTATAGGGCGAGGAGACAATCGCCTTAAAATACGATGAAGAGGGCAAGTTGTAATATGCTTGTAGCAATACCCGGGTTTCAAAGGCCATTTATTTTTAATTTATCAGCGGGGATTGGGAAAAGTTTGGGGCGGGAAATAATTTGCGCTGAAGGAGTTTTATACCTTTTTCATTTTTTATCTTCGTCTGCTCGTTGGGCGAGGAAGAGCTTCAAGCGTTGAAGATACGGCGAGTTTAAATTTATTTACAGCGATGCGGGCAAGTTGGCCTAGCTGGACGAGGCAGGCTTGCTTGGTTCGATCACAATTCGATTCAATTCTGAGCAAACTAACGAGTTATGACGAACGTTTGGGATGTTGAGTTGTATTCATTGCGCGTATCTAGGTACTTTTGGATTTGGGAAATATCTAGGGCTATTGGAATGGCTGGTTGGCTGGATAACTGGCTGGATTGATGGATAGACTCGTATATTCGTGAATATTTTGGCTTGAATATAAAATTGCCAACTCGTTGTGAAATGTTATCATCGTCCTCGTTTGTTTTTTTATTTGTGTCATAATCTTAGAAGCCTACTACCTATTGAAAGCCACTATAATTATCACTGAGCTCAGCGGCTCTGTGCTGTAACCACTCAATTCAATTGAAGTCGGTATTTTTTTTTTTGTTCTCGCTACCATACAATTATCTAACTATCTATAAATTGGATTCATATCTTCCTAATGGACTATTCAAGTAGTATGTTACCACGACAGTTGCTGAAAAGTCATTCAAAGAAACAGAAAGCTAAGAAGTTAGCTTTAGCAGTGTGAACTGTAGCCGTGTCTTTCTGGCGTAACATTTTCGCAGGTGTCCCCTGGAACTATCCTATCAACAACAGGGATGTTGAATGCACCCCTGAAAGTGTAACTGTAGTATTTAATGTGCCTAACCGTCGATATAGACCAACTCGCCGATCTAAATGCTATTCTTTCAATAAACCGCGAGGTGTTCCATTGGGTGGCCGATAATATGAAGTGAAAATTGAACGGCCCTCACAAGAGTACCCCTTATTTGGCCTATATAATCCCCTAGGTACCTACTCGACCTTCGCAAGAAGTTGCGCCACAAAGGATTACCTCAATGAAGCCATTTCAAACCTGGAGCAAATTAGACAGGAACACAGCATGTGTGTTACGTAGGGCATTTAGGAAGTCCGAAGGTGACTCATTAGGATAAGCGTTGTAATTACGTCGAAACCACTAGCGGCTGCCACCATGTATATTGGCCAGCCTTATAATGTCGCGTGTGATGCCGTGTCCCGTAGAAACACCATAGGAGCACCAAAACTCCTGTTTCCTGCACTCAATTTTGCAGTGCATGGGGCGACTTAACCGAAGCCAAGCCTGAGTTTGTTCATCAGCATCGTATCAACTGTGAAGGTTAAGGAATTTTAGTAGATATCGTTCGAGAATATTGTCCCAACATGAAATTGTCAATATTTGCGGGTACCATTTCGAGGAACCCGAAGCCCCCGTTACACGACCGACCGGATGGCTGCTCATAAGCCGGTGATAACATGTGGAAATGAATGTCAGCATATTTGATCCTTCTCGGCTCACACTCATACAGTAACCAGAACGCCCGGCCCGCGCTCCAGAGCCAATATATTAACGTAGGAGGCCCAAGCCATGGATGAAGCAATTTGGACGACCATCCAAATTAGAATCGTTAGCATCTATAGGCGACCTCCCCCAATATTCCTTCACATACAGATACATATGTGGATACGTACGTAACTAATCTGTATGTTCAAAACAGTATGCTTAGATTGACGGATGCAAGATATCGCCGCTTTAGACCGATCCGACGATTAATGGTCAAAACCTGCATCATTGACGAGAGGGGCGCTTTTGTGCTACCCCGGGGACTGCGGGTGGGCGTTAGTCGAAGACGAATAAGCTGCAGGAGTAGTCAAATGCATAGCGCCGGCATAGACGCAATGTAGCGGCTGGGGGTACTCCAGGAGGTTCCGGTCCGAACGTAAGTCTTCAAAACGGGAAAGATGACGTGCAGCTTTTCGGCTTGGCATATTTCGTCGATTTCCGATTTTGGGAACACGATGACTTGATCCCCATCATGATGATAAAAGATGCATCAGTAACCAGGTAGATAGGAGACGGGCCGTGTCGTTGCAAGTTGGGGGTCAGAGGTTGCTATAGGGCGTTTAATCCGGGTCGCTAATGCGCCTTCGGTGTTCCAGAACTGCAGGATCCACGAATGGTTGGGCCGTCGCCGCGGATGAGATCTCAACGGGATCTCCTGAAGTAATGTTAAAATGGGATGTTAGATTAAGTCTGGCTGATCATATGCACGTACGAGCCGCCTGCCTTTCATTTTGACGCCTTACTACAACCTCATTGATTGATGCTGGAGCAATAGTGTAGGACTTGGCTGAAGGCGGCTTAGATGGTGGTTGTAACCGGCCCTCGAAGAGCTCTCGACGTGTTGGGGGCGACGGCGGCTCCCGTTGTTGTTCGGAAGACATTAGATTAGAGAATATATATCACATGAAAAATGTAGATATGCGTCGCCCTTTGGCTGTAGCTTGAGGCCTAGTGTGATTGTGTTGCAGGATTCAAGCGATAAATGTAGGAATATGTGATTGTAAGGATGTAGGTGATTCGCATGTTGTCGGATTTAAAAGTCAAGGATGTTGTAATCCGAGGTACCTAAGAAACCTAAGAAATTAAGACATTCAAACCGATGGGAGCCGAAGAACGGCCGCTTATACTTCGGTAGTTCCAGCACAGGTCATACGTATAGTTTAAAAACGCTATGACCTCCTGGGGGAGCTAGCCACCTTACCTATTTAGTTTAGGGTAAGAATAATAAAAGACTAGTCCCTTGCTTATTAGAAACTACCTACGTAAGTGCTAAAGAGGTAACTAAAGTAATTAGTCTCTTAGTTGAATTGAAAGTGTCAAACATGAGACCACTTTGATTTTTTGTGCTACACCAAATCAATTGCAAATTTTTCAGCTTCTATACCATTTTATAGTAGGTAAGAAGAGTTTGTTCGCAGTCAATTGGAAGTTGTAAGTAATTTGCGAAGTGAATTATAATATTGTTTCCCAAGCTGTCAGGGTTCTCATTCGAAAGAACAAATTGGGGTAAGAGCACCTGACCCCTTAGACCGGGATTACCTTCCTTAACAAGTATTCCGTTAGCCAAGAAGAGTATAGTGTGACCGCGTTACCCCTCATTTTTACTCGTCCTCAGGAAGTGGCCAAGGTCCATCGCATGCGAGGTGTACATCTCATGCAGTTCAACGACTGAACTTTGCAGAACTTTTCACAATGAACAACTCATTCTTTATTAGATGGATGTTGATTTGTTGTTCGGGCACTTTTAATTGCCTTAGGTAGCCTTAGGTAATCTAGGTACCTGACCCTACGTGCATTCCCAAAATCCTTACGAGCCCCTTTGAGCTGGTCGAATCCCACTCATCCCTTTGGTCAATTGAGGTTCTACCTGCTGATGTTCACACAAGGTTCCAAGGTTGTGAATACTTTTTTTTTCTCCGTTTGACTTTAGACTTTTTAAAGTTTAGAGTAGTGCTGACTCTTGCATACTAAATTTTTTTAAAGTCAATTGACAAGAAAGAAAAAAAAAGGCAAATCATAACTGTTTTCCACCTTCCGTTTGATTAGTATACTTCTTTTTTAGTATCCACTTCTGCTACTTTTTCCCACTTTCCCACGGCTTTCTCCCACGCGCCCACCCCGCGTTAGCGGCAAAAAAAAAATTAAAACCAAAATTTCCATTGAGTAGAGAGCCGCCCGCCTCTCCCACCCAAAATTTCCTACCTACTATTCATAATCCTCTTATCGCTATTAGCCCAGTCAGACCCCCCCCTCCTCCTCCTCCAATTGTTCTCTTCCGTGATCGGTCTCGGACTTCGACGCGCGCAACGCAGTAGTAAATAGCTGAGCAAATACGCATCAGCCTCGGCCGGTACAACGGCACGGCGCCTTACGGAGGAAACAAAAATTGCCTCAGATATACTACCTATACGGCCTGTCACATCTCGTCACCCTGGATCCGCTTGATATTATTTGTCAATTGCAATTGGGAAGTCCAGAGAGTGCATGGATGGTCACACGGTTGTCGGCGCCGTTTCGGCTCCGTCTACAAGCCCTACCAGCCCTGTGAGCATCCATCGCCATGGCTCCATGAAGCGGAAACGCAGCGAAGGAGGTATCGGAGTCGATAGTAGTCCCGGGAGCGCTATCGGCGACGAAGACCAGTCTCTAGCTGAGCCCGAAAAGAAGAGGCAACCGGGCGTGAAGCGGTACGTGAACGAAACCAATCTATCTACTTATATGTCATACCTAGTCACAACTTACCTAACCCTTACCAACTACCTCTCATGCAACTTACTATTACTGTTTAAATCAACTATATATAATGTACATGTCATCTATATATATACTACTACATATACATATATATACATATGATATCTAACTAACATCGTCTCGACAGTGCGTGTAACGAGTGTAGGCAGCAGAAACTGAGGTGCGATGTTGTCCAAGAACCATTTCAGAGTTGTTCGAGATGTAATCGTCTAAAACTCGAGTGCAAGATCGAGTCCAATTTCAAACGTATCGGCAAGAGGTCCAAGCATGCTGAGATGGAAAAGGAGATTGATCGATTACGACGTAAGATATCACAAGCGAAAGCGCAAGGCTTTGTAATCGAAGACGATGAAGACCTCCAGTCCCAATTGCAATCCCCCGTCGCAAATAGTGCGTACTCGCATACCCGAAATCCTTCGCTCATGGGATCCGATGAAGCTGTCACCTCCCTTCTAACTCTTAAACGAGGAGGGTCGTATAGCTTAGCCGCAACCCATTATGCTTATGAGCTTGAGACAGTGCGGCTGACCGAACAGGACGTCCACAATCTATTTCAAGAGTTCTTTACATGTTATCACCCGTTTCTCCCTTTCTTAAACGAACATCAGTCACCCGATCTTTACTATCAACAACATGCCTTACTCTTTTGGACTATTATTGCCATTGCTTCTCGACGCTATCATGCCAAGCCCAGTATACTACACGAACTCTCAAGTGGACCTCTGAATAGGTTACTATGGGGTACTGTAGGCGACGTACCGAATAGTTACTTCGTCGTGAAAGCTCTTTGCTTATTATGTACTTGGCCACTACCAACGAGCACAACCACGGCGGATCCAACTCATATCTTGTGTGGGGTGATGATGAAAGCTGCCACAGGCATTGGCCTACACCGACCGAATCATACTCAAGACTTTTCCCGCGTGTCTGTCGAGTTAAACAAGGATCAACTTCACGATCGCGTAACAACGTGGGCAGTTTGCAACATTGTTGCTCAGACAATCGGAACAGGTTACGGTCAGCCTGCTAGTACACTCTACGACTGGACGTTAGCAATCCGTCCTGGCGAAGAGGGCCCATTTACGCTATCCCCTGAGCTTGAGGCCAGATTGAGGATAGAGAGGTTCTGCGATAAAGTATCGAAGGAAATGTATAGTAATGCAAGCGATCCTAGGGGTGTAGCTGGCGATGAGCACAGAGCAATGCTAATGCGAGTATACCGCCGAGATTTCCAAGAATTACAAACGTCGATCCTCTCTCAACGTCTATCACCGATCGTGGAGATACACTTAACAGCGGCTAATGTCCACCTTCGTCTCGCCGGCTTTTTCGACTCAAGTAGCACTCCCGGCTACATGGATGACCTAATGGGCCTATGGCGAGCTATCACAAGTTTCCTAGACCTCCTATTTCTAGATTCAAACCAGAACATTTTATTATACGCTACGAATTATATACAACAAATGCTTGTTGCTGCTGGGTTCGCTTTGTTGAAGTTGATGAGGTCGTTCTTCTCCAAGACGATAGAATTCGAGAGAGGCAGGGCACTCTTTCACAAGACTATCCAAGCAATCCGTTCGACGAGCGTGTTAGATAATGACCTTCAATGGCGGCTAGCAGAGCTAATCGTTCAGATGTGGAACGGTGCGCGAATTGACAATAAAAACAACACATTCCAGGACGACGACAGCTCAGTTCTAATCGACGATAGCCTACAACTGAAAGTACGATGCCGACATAGTATGAGCCTTGTATTCGACTCGATTTGGCGCTGGAGGGAAGAGTACCAAGCTCAAGGGAGAGGTACGCTTGATGGTGAGTCGACTCCCTTCCTCTCCATAGATACCACGCTTGCGTGCTCTGGAGGGCTGACTGATTCTTTGGCAGCTCTTAAGCATCCAACTAACCCAGACTCAGGTAATGAGTCTTCAGCGTCTTCCACCCATATGGATAGCACACTCTTGCCTCATAACAACCTAGCGAATTTAACGTCGATGGCGACAAATAATGGTGGAATAACTCCGACAGCGAATCACGGCTTGAATGCTGGAGCTAACAGCATGATTGGGATGGGCTATGGAAGTGATGCCAATTATGACTTCTTTGATCCTCAACACTGGATGCTCGATGGCTTGTTAGATTTTAACTACACTTTCGCCCAGCCTCTAGAAGGCATGTAGGATTGGCTTCCAGATCCCAATAACGCCACTGAATAACCGGATCTATCTGATGCCGATGGCATCATTCATACATCTAAATTTCCCGCTTCAAACGTTGAGTAAAAGCATAACATGCTTCTACATATATAATCTTGAGAATACGAGGAAACGAGAACAAGACTAGACGAAGCACCAGAAGCCTCACTCGCACAAAGGGGCAGATGCGAGGAGATTGTTCATTTCATCTGCCACCCCGGGTGGGTATTAATTACATTCAACACCGGGAGTGGCACTCCGGTATAGATTGATTACGATTAAAGAGAGACGAATTGCAAGGTGTGGTCTAATATCCCTCTGCATTGCGAACGGTATTGCAAAAAGGAGGGGCCGGGGGAGATACTATACCAGGAGCGTCGGGGTTCAACGTGGTTGCTTACATATGATATACCTGTATAGTTTGGTCGTTCGGAGTGTGTATTCATCGTGTAGTTAGCATTCTTCGGAGCCAGGCACGAAATTGAAATTGTTCAACACTATCCTAGGCTATGTTTTCTTAATATGAATAAACGAACGAGCTAGAGCTAGATGCACCTAGCTATACCTAGTCCAATAGCGAAAGCGACGATCAAAGCCATGACATTCTAGAATACGGGAAAGGGGCAAAGACTTGTGCACAAGACGAATCAAAGTCCAGGCTTAGCCACTTGATCTTACGACGTTGTTGGATCTATTATTTACGATTTAACGAGATTGAAGCTTAGAAGGCCGAGGCACTCTACGGCACAGTCGGGACCGAGCATCACGAATCGTGTCATGGAGTTTGGCAGAGTATACGCCATCCGATTCGCGACTTCGCTACCAGCGAATGGCACGAGTCAGCACGAGTCACATCACGATCATGTAACTAATAGTATTTGATACCGGCCTTAAGAGACCATATTGGTTCCGATCAAGAAGCTTTGATGAGGGGTCGGGAAGATCAAAAAACTACGCACTAGAAATAGCAGGATGGGAAGGAATTCATCCAGCTCGGTATCGGTACCCGTCAAACCGAGTAGGACGACACCACCTTTACCATTATCATTACCATTCTTTCGCGCAACCTTTAGCATTAGCCCCGGAGTTGTGTGAGAGTACCCCCCATGTAAGGCGCTCGGAGCTCGGCATACAGACCGACGTAATGACGAAGATAGCGAACGAGCCAAAAAAGACTTACCTGCCCGAAGCGGAAGATAGGAATTTGGGGGTGAGATTAGTCCGTCCGCTCTTTCAATTCTCGGGTCGATAGACTGGATGTTGTTTCAGGACGCTGCACAGGGCTGCTCCGGATTGCTACCTTCCTGCCCTACCCAGCTATCCTGGGATGTATGTATGCATGTATGTACATTCTTGCGTCGCATACATACAGTAAGTAAGTAGCATAATATCATGGGTGGAGATGCCAGTCGCGTGGCAAGTCGGACCTGAATGCATGCCGGGGGCGTTAAGCGATTCCTTGACGTAGTGGTCTTTTATTTACTTACATCCTAGGTAATAGGTGTGTAGATGGGTTGATGTAATTGATGTACATCGTATCTGGGTCCTAGATCAGCGCGACGACGACAACAACGTTGCAATCTGGAAGTTTTCGATCTTTTTTTGGTTCCTTGCTTGGGAGGGGGTTGGAAAATGTCGGGGTGTGTGTGTGTGTTGTTGGCTCGTGGCATTGGGATGGGATGCGGATGCGCGCAAGTACCGGGTTGGGAATGCAAGTTAGTAGCTTGCCTTTGTTTACTATGGCCATTAAGCGCCGATGTACTATAGTATTTGCCTTTGTATAGCTACTAATACTAATTGCCATTACTACCTGTCTCCATCTCATCTCATCTCATACCATGCCATGCCATACCATACCGTACCGTGCCATCGTTCATATCCCAGGATCCCAGGGGTCCTGGACTACTTATTTTGGGTTGTATTAATTATTGTTCAATTAAAATGAATACGTTGCTGATTGTTACTGATGATGAGACGCGATGTGACGCCCTGCGATCTACTTGACCTGCCGTGATTAGAAAGACGGTAGAAGGATTTAGAGAAGCCACTTCGAAGCTGGGGCTGATCCTCCTCACCTCCGCCTATTCAGCCCCCAAAAACGTGGTTCAAGGACATCTTGGTCCGTCCGCTCTCCTTGCCCCGTTATCCGCGGCCCACGGAGGGAGTATGGGTAAGGGTGGGGGAGGAGATGGGAACGAGAACCGCTGTCTGGGTTTAATTTTAGGATAACTTCGAATTGTATACTCCGGAGAAACAGGTTTAATCTTTTTTTTCTTCTTCTACCCTTGTGGTGAAGAAAGGAAAAGAAAAAGGAAAAAGAAAAAAAAAACTGCTTAGCGCTCATCGCTGACATTATCGCCGAAAATCCCCAAAAGTAGTGGGGGACGGTCTCAGCTTTGATCAGCGGGAATTTCATCCGTCCCGGTCTCCATCTATACTATCTAATAACTTGTAGGTATACAAGTATATAGGTAAAAGGAATATGTTTACTTTCCGCGCTCGCGGAACATAACGGCTTGTTTAAAAACACCGCCGGAGATAAACAGGGCATAATATGATGTAGGTATGTTTACTAGCAGCTGGATGCAGGGTGAACGCGTGGTAACTCTGCAATGCTACGCTTGTTTCCGCCTTGACGGAATTTTTCCTAATTGTCATGCTTTTTGAAATGATCTACCGCCATTCCTTTTGATGTAATTGAAGTCGAAGGGACATGCTAGTATGCCTTCATGACGGTAATTGGGATTGGTACCATGTACAAGGATTGTCGTTCCAGATCTCTCATCTATTTCGAGAATAGCCTACGATGAGGCACTATGTCGACTTGACATGGGGGTAAAACGAGGGTGTACTACGGAGTATAGCTACGTAGGGCTAGTCGACTCCCGTAGGAATGTCTATCAGATCTATATACATTAGATTCTTCCTTAATTTGGTTCCTCGCTCTCGTTAATTTCTCTTGTGCATCCCGACGTAGTACTGAATTATCGAAGCTATGGGCTCCTTAATCAGACGCTCGGTCCAATGAGGACCCACGATGTCGGGATGTTGGGACTAGGAATAATTAGGTAGGACGGTTCCCAGTTCATATCTATTACTTTGTAAGTATGTAAATACATGCCAGCTTACATATGTGCCTGTCAATTTGGCGTGGGGCGTGTATGAACGCAGGGTCGAAGGATTCAAACTTGCCTCGTGGCATGAGTGAGGTAGCTCTGGGGTGACGTCGGAGCTGGCTGGACACCTAAACTGCTTGGTAGGTCGGCATACGTACGTACGTAGGTCCCTACGGGCGGATATTCGTTCGGGCGTAGGCCACCTCACACATTTTTAATATAATAAATATATGGAAATTCTACACTTTGAAAGCAATCGTGGCAAGTCGATATGTTCCATTACATTGAAGTCAGCTATGGAGTAGTGCAAGGCGGGCGAACCACGAGGCAACTATGTCGCAGAATGTGGTTCTGGAACAATAGAAGATCTGGAAAATCTACTCGGCAGTGCCTACATGGGGAGAATTGTGGTAGCAAGAGATTGCGCGGCGTCATGCATGACCATTATGACGACCTTCTCATCTCTTTGCCACTCGTCTACGTTACAACTGAGATCCTCTTGTCCTCGAGGTTACCGGCCCAGTTTGTGAATTGTTTGATCTTAAAACGACTGCTAGATGGGGTGAATTGTCCCCGTGTTATCTTTTCCCCTCAAAAGAAAATTTATGATCAATAAAAAAAGCAAAAAAGAGGGGAGCTCTGAAAAGCCACTATGATTTTTCGGTGATAGGCGGCGAAAAAATTATTACCGAAGCTAACTCCATAAAGAGAAGCTTCCCTGCCGTCGATTTCGCTCTCTCACCCCGGGGCTAGGCGTCGCCTCGGTCCTTGTAAAAGCGAACTAGACTAGGCAAGGCATGCTGGCCTACGAGTCAGCGAGCCTACCTATCTAATAGGCGACCGGACCCTACAAGGTGGCTGTTATGGCTAAACTCCTAAAGTCGAAACCAAGCGGAGAATGGCCGGCGTAGCGGTCGCATGATTCGTGTAGCAGGCCACCGCTGATCAGCGACAAGTTGCGGTCGAGGAAGACGACATCTTCCATTGTCGAATAAGCGCTGTCTGAAAACCTGGGGGCCACTGCAATGCTGCGGCGGCGATGCTGGTCAGGCTGATTTTGCACTTTCATTTTTCTCTTGCTTCTTTCGGCTTCAGTAAGGACTCAGTTCCCAATACCAGTCCCGGGTCATGTACGTGACGTTGAAGTAAGAGGATATGTACAATCCTGCGCAGTTAATAAAACCTCATCTCGAATAAGGAAAGCTGTTGGTGGCCAAGGTTACATTTTCGCACGCTTTCGGTCGACTGTTAATACCTCTCCAGTCTCTGGTGTACTTGCAGTACTCCCCGGGTCCCGCTCTTGCCACGGCTGAGAAAAACAATTACACACAAGTTTATCGTCTCCTCATCAACAGACCGACCTGCTTGTTCTTCCTTCAGAGCTCGGGTTTTGATCGGCTTCTATCTTCCCTCAACAGATGAAGTGTTTCGTCGCCCAGCCCTTATGCGGCACAGACCAAGCTAGGAATTTGGGGGCGATTATTATAGAATCGTCCACATCCAACCCCATGTGAAAACTGGGCATTACCAAGTCCTAAGCCTTACAAACAGGACCAACAGATAGATCCTCCCTCTTCGGCTTGGTCTAGTCCGGGACTACTTTCTCACCATCCATACCGCCTAGATCATAGGGCTGGCCAATAGATGGGGTATAGTGTCAGCGATACCAAAGGATTGGCGTCCAATCCAAGTGACGCACATACGGGATAGGATGTCAAGAGATTCTAATTAATGTACTCGATATATCGTGATCGGCGCTAACATTCCGAAGCTAGCGGCGAATATGTGTCTGTTCAGAGATTGGCTTCAAGCCATGTAGGTTACCCCTATGCACCACGTCCTTTTCTTATCACCCTCAAGTGTTCTGGGGGGGCTCATATGACACGCAAGGAGAGTAAAATCACGAAGTGGATGGAGTCCGCTTCCTTGGGACCCCTTAAGCCATACGCTATCTAAGATAGGAATATGTGAATGAGAAATGTCAATTCCATTCATCCGCGCATGGGATGAATCCAA